AACAGAACCAAATACTTGTAAATCTTGAAACTATGCTTATCAGATTCCCTTTTATTTTGGGTAAAATGTGTAAAGCCTTCTCACGCACTCCCTATTATGCACCACAGAAATAAGCAGCGCACACACACACACACACACACACACACACACACACACACACACACACACACACACACACACACATGCGCGCGCACGCACGCACGCACACGCACACACACACACACACACTCTCTCTCTCTTTATAAACCATTGATCACAATATAGCCAACAGTATGTAATATCGATACAGATATACAATCCTTAAACTCTTAAGACTATCAATATCAAAACCATTGATGAAAACCCTATTATATTTACATGTAAAGATAAAAAGGCATACTCTTCCCTGCCAGGTCTTTACGAACGGACTTTAAACAGTACTCTTCATCTCTAAATGCTTATAAGTGGTTATTTGAATATGTTATGTTGAAGAAATATATAAGGCCAATGCGAGAGTATGACCACTCGATTTTCCTATGAAACATTAGACTTAAAAGGCAAAACGAGGTGAAAATTATATGAAGATATTTAAATATTTATATAATACATACATCTTCTACTTGTTATACTCTAATATGAAGTTAATATTTCTACAGTATATGAAATGTAAGAAAATTAAAAGTTATTATATCAGGGTAACATCATTCCATCCAGTTAAATGATGTCATTTTAGACAAATATTAAAAAGATTACTTATTATGATAGTAGAACACTCAGTCGTCTGATTGCTTTAATACCACAGGTCTGTTGAAATAGCTCTCATACCATTAGTATCAATATTGTATTATGATATTGCCTCATATAAATATACTACTCAACATTTTCTAAGGACCGAAATAGGTGAGGTGAGGTGAAATGGGGCTTAACGTCGCGTCCAAGATTATTGCACTTATATAGCGACGTACTGAAATAGCCATATGTAGTCAAGATGTGGTCCTTGGCAAATATTGAGTGGTATACACACACTTACTGAATTGTACCCTGTACCACTGTGAGTGGTTTGGGTGAAATAAAGAACTTGAACTTGAACTTGAATTCCAACGACCTCCGCAAAGTGGGATTCTGAATCAAACAATAATAATTAAAAAAACAACAAAAACATATTGATAATCAAAGTTACCAGTTGAAATAAATAATCTACATCAAAGATATTTATTATCTCGTCGATAAGTCAACGGTGAAGTGGACATGCTGCCTTTTGTAATTTATTTTGTTGCATTCACTCAATGATTGCTGTGTAGGATTTAGATTATATAATTTAAAAGTCTAAGCATGATGTGGTGATGCGTGTCCTGCATGAGACTCTGTGCGTGTGGCGATTTAACCAGCTTATTATGGTATCGAAGGCGTAGATGAAATTATTTTGACTGCATATGTTTTAATTAGACCAGCTTCATTCAGAGAAAGGTAGAGTGTGGCGCGGCCTCTCCAACCGACGGCCTCTCTAAAATGAAGCACGATCCAGACTATGAATATCACCTACAGTTTAAGGTCAGTTGATACTTTTATGACATGGTGTTAAGCATATATATATACGTCGGGGCGAGCTCAACATTTGTGTGCGTCTATCAAAATGCAATTATTGCTGTGTATATATATATTAATAAAACGTTTTCAAAAATGGTAGACAGGGGGGGACAGTTCTGTATTCGACGCATCAGTGATAAAAAGGATGTACGATGCAATTCACTATTTTGATTTGGCTTTGCATGTGCTTGTAACGTGTGACATCGGTTAGGGCAGGATATGCTCACCTTTCGCGAACACCTGGTATCATCACTATTTGCTAGTGATTCTCAACACATGCTCATGGTATAGTCGGAATGGACACTGTGAAAATGGAAATGTTTTTGTCGTTTTACTTCCAAAAATGTTGAACGGAACAAAAGGTACACTGATGCAACGTTTCCGCATGGCAGAGACTATATGTGTGATCTTAGTTGTTATTTTTTTTTAAAACTGATAACGACAAAACATTTTCCATGATCATAAGAAATCCCTCCTAAAAGCTGAGTCTATTGTACGCTTTCGGCTATATCATAAACATGTGTTCATGAAACACTATCAAATAGTGATGATACTAGGTATTCGAGAAAAGTTGAGCGTATCCTTCCTCACCGGTGGCATCCGTCACAAACACATGCAAAGGCAAGTGAATTGATTACCTGAAAGCCATATCTGTGGTCGTTGTAAACAATACTGAAGAACCGTTTTTCTTCCATGTACACAACAAACCACTTGTCGAGAAATTTCAGGTTAGCTTGATGCGCTTCTGAAACATATTGATATAAAAGAAAGTCCCACCTCAAACAAACTTTTTTCCATAAGAAGGCGTATATATACATACCTAATGGAGATGTAAATATCCAGACAATTGAGACTTCCTGCCGGTTCAGAATTAAGTCGAATAAAACCTTCTAATCTTTAAAGACAAGGGAGGTTTTAGAGTGATTAACTTCAAGCAATCACATGATGATAGTAAATTAAAAGAGAATATCCACAGTTACTTTTAGCTGTGAGTATGCACACTGTTCACGACAAACACATTCGTAGCTATGACAACTGACATCTATGCCAAACACGCTCTTCACTCGGCTGCGTGTAGACTGATCAGGCATATATTTACATGTGATGAATACACGGGCCCTTAAACGCATATATTATATATGAAGATATCTACTTAAAGTATCCTTGTAACGGCAAAATTGTTTAAATGAAATTGAAAAAGAAGTAATAATATTTTAATTAAATTATATAAAATTTAGGACAAAAATAATTGTTGAACAGATCTGATTTTCTTACATATACTATCTACATAAATATGGGAACTGATGATTTGAATGTAGCTATCATTGAGGTGTACGTTTACAATACCCAGGCTTTGCATCTAAACGCAACATCTAATAACAATGAAATGTCACATCATGCATGGACAGCACACGTGGCACGTGAACACAGACGCCAAACTGCATATGTGCAGCGAAAGGGAAACTCACTATCAATAATGCCATTGATCTAACCACACGCTTAAAAATGTCTGTTTGTATATTTGTTGTTTAACGCCGCATTACAGCAATATTCCAGCTATATGACGGTGGTCTGTACCTAATCGAGTCTGGACCAGACAATCCAGTGGGTGACATCATGAACATCTATTCACGCAATTGGGATGCGATGAAATGCAATAACCAAGTCAGTGAGCCTGACCACCCGATCACGTTAATTGCCTCCTACAAACACAGTCGCCTTTTACGGTCACGGATCTTCACGGGTCGCTTAAAAATGGACAGACATAATGGCGAATTGTGGGTACGACAGAGGGGAGGGAGGACGTCAATATCCCAAGTGCCCGAATGTTTGGCAAATTCAAGTTTAATTTCTCTACTGGGACAAATACCATCAAACGGGTGGGGATGCAATGAGGCCTGGGCGTGGCAGGCCCCAGAAATGACACCTAGACAAGAACGTCTTATTACAATAATTGCCAGATTCATGTCTGCTCCTGTTATCAGCAGAGTATTCCGTACAACAACAGGACGGCGAATTAAACATCTACCGGAAATAACCGCCTCTGCAACCTGCCTGAAAGCAAATTCTTTACAATGATCGGTATTGGTGCGGTAGTGTCATGGTGTGGGACGATATCACACGTGACGGGCGAACTTGTTTGGTATTTGTGATTGGACATTTGACTGGCAAGCGATATGTTGACAACTCTTTGCGGCCTGTTCGCAAGATGCACCATTCGCTAGATTATCGGCAGCAATTTTGAACTGCAAGATGACAATGCCGGACCAAACAGTGCCCAGGTCGACTCCGATTATCTCCGACAAGAAGGCATATGGACACCTGAGTCGCCCGCTAAGCCCTCTGACATGTCCCCAATAGAGCATCAGTGTACACCAGAAACCAAGCACCCGCCAACGTGGCCCAGCTTGAGATAGCTTTTCAGTCGGAATGGCGGGCGATGCCAAGGAAAACCATATCTTTGTTAATCAACAGTATGGCATCAATGTGTGGTGCATGTATCGCCCAACATGGTGGACACACCAGATATTGATTTACATTTCCCGAAATTAATTTAACAGACATTTATCGTCATTACACCTTCACTCTCATTCATCAGTTCATCTATTTTTGTCGGTAGTATGTTATAAGTTGTCAACCGATTCTGAGGGGTATATGGTGAGATGTACCCTATGTGTGAGCCTATGTAGCCCGAGCCGTCACACACAGAGTACATCACACCAGTTGCCCCGCGGTATCGGTTGACAACAAATGTATCTCCACCGACATTCATTGATACAGACCCGGAATATATGTCCGAAGTTTCGATGAGAAAAACGCTTTGATTCAGCCATTTTCACAGCTATCACACGACGAAAACAAAATGAGTTACTTTCCTTTACCCAATGCATTCGGATAAACATCGGTTTATTTTAACTCAACGGTACTTACACGAGATAAGCAAGTTCCCTAAGGTGTGTTCCGATTGATGTTTTAGCGGGCTATATGAGCGGGCTGCATGGAAAAGAATTGCCAGCTCTTTAACCAATCAGAAGCTAATATTTTAATATACAGTGAGATGACACAAGATGTATCCTTTTAACGTTTTGATGTATTTTGGTTATATTTCATAAGGTGTATCTTTTTAACATATCACAACAAGAAGATATATCATTTTTGACATTTCGCAAGATGTATCGTTTTTACTAATCACAAGATGCTTTTGATTATGTTTCAGGGGAAGAGATAACCTCAACTGCAGATGAGCTTCAGTATCAAATTGTTCCTACTTTAATAATTATGGTATGGATGTTAACAGCATCTCTGGTTTAAACATTAAAAGGATAGTTAGACACTATCTAACACGACTTAAAACAAGGTGGCTTGTACTACTACCATTAGTGACAATGGCTTTAGCCTTCCTATGGTGGTCCTATCCAGGAATTGCTTTCTTCACGCCCCAGAAGCGCAAGATCAACCCTCTGCAGTTTGAGTACATTATGTCACCTCGACATGTCTGCTCCAACTCCAACAGCCCTTCAATATTGGTCATTGTATTGACAACAGTTGAGGCTTACACCATGAGGAAGTCCATCCGAGAAACATGGGGAAGCGTCGCAAGGACAAATAAATGGCCTTCAAGACATATTGGGACCTCCATCAAGTTTGTGTACCTCTTCGGCTATTCAGACAACGCCAACTTGAGACAAAGACTTCGATCTGAGGCATCTGAATTTGGAGACGTTCTTCAGGTAGGAATTACAGAGGCATATGGAATTAATGTGACGAAGAAGATCCTGATGGGGTTCAAATGGGTAGAGGAACATTGTCAAGGGACTGGATACGTCATGAAGGTGGACGATGATGTCTTTGTAGACTTACCACAGGTTATTGACCATTTGCGGACACGACAATTCAGTTCCTACATAAGTGGCCATAAAGTCTGGTTTTCCTTTACCAAGCGCTCTGGCAAATACAAGTTAAGCTTCGAGGAATACCCTTTCTGTATGATTCCATCTTACATTCTGGGGTACTTTTATGTGATGCCAATGGGGATTATGTCGAGACTCTTGGATGCTTCTCAGTTCGTGCCTTATGTAAGAATGGAAGACGTGTATATAACTGCCATTTTGCCCAGGATAATTGGTGTCCCAATGAAAGCATTCAAGACCTTTTGGTTTGACAGAAACTATGAAGTAGACATTTGTGATTTTGTTACTAAAAAGCGGGATTTAAGTGTAGATGTGAGTCCTGACAACATGTACGATATTTGGAAGACATACGGTGATGAAAGTCTTTGTAAACACGAGCTACAATGAGCATGTATAATATGTTGCTTGGGACACTCCATGTTGACAATTACTGCGCTCTATTTCGTATACAGTGATGAAATAAGATGTGTAAAAGATCTATACTTTTCTCAAGTTGAATAGCATGCAGTTTTACGCGAGCGAAAGAACACTTTATGTTGGAACTACTTTCATTCTGTCACGATTATACTATGTTGTTTATAAAATATAAGATCAGTTAGAAAATACAGAACATATGGTGTGTCAATTAACATGGTTGTCTCATCATTTAAATTATTGCTGGGTCAATTTTGTCAGGTTACTCAATGACTTAAACATGTTATTTGACATATAGAAAAGTCAATTACCCTATATATAGTATTTAATTACCCAAATCCTGTTTGATTATGAATACGAACCCCCTTCCCCGATCCGCTCTTATTCACGGAAATGTTTAAATCATCATGTTGATTATCTTAATAATACAATAAAATAAATATAATAAAAGCGATAAAAACATTTCCATAATCATAATAAATACGAGTGAGTTTGGTTTTCCGCCGCTTTTAGCCATATTTCCGTCAGTATCACGAGGCACCGGAAATAGGCTACTCACATTGTGCTCATGTGGGCAATCGAACCCGGACCTTCTGTGTGACCGGCGAACATTTTAACCACTAGGCTACCCCACCGCCCTGTCATTGTAACAGTGAGTTGTGTTCAACTCCGAATTAACAGTATTCCAGTTATATCACGGTGAGTTATATGAAGATATGTAAATATTTATATAATACATACATCTTCTACTTGTAATACTCTAATATGAAGTGATTATTTCTACAATATATGAAATGTAAGAAAATTAAAAGTTATTATATCAGGGTAACAACATTCCATCCAGTTAAATGATGTCATTTTAGACAAATATAAATAAAATTACTTATTATGATAGTAGAGTGAGTTGGGTTTAACGGCGCTTTTAACATTTCAGTTATATCACGGCGTGTCAGCTTAATGTGAGAGGAAAGCCCGAAGAGATGCATATATCAGACGTTTACTACTTCGGTGAAACCCACGAGCACGGGTATGTTGCTGACAAACCTAGAAACATAATCGGGGCGAACCGGGATTCGAACCCACGATCATATGTTTTCTGGCTTTCCAAGGGACGCAACTCTGTAGAGCGTTTTCGACGATTTGGCCACCCGTACGCCCTTCCTTGTATAAATGTTTATCTGGTTATAATACGCTTAAACACAATTAAATGCACATATGTTTCCGTGAGAACATACAAACATATGCATAGTGCATATGCGGTAGATGAACTGTGTCGTTTATGGATTAAATCAGTTGTGTGTTAAACCCGATTTGTTTTTCTCTTTTATCAGTAACTACGGTACAGATATTTTAGATTCATGCGAAGGATGAATACAAGTCTATCCAGATATGCTTGAGACGTTGTTATATTGTTTACAAATGATGCTATCTTTACTTCTGATAGAGTAAGCGATGCGAAGAAGCACCCTGATGTACTCTGTTCGTTTTGTTCAAAACGGAATAGTTACTAAAATGTATTTTGCAGTGAGACGTAATAAAAAGTGTTTTCTATAACGGTCAAGTTGTTGATGTATTATAAACTAATAGGTGTCTCGATCACTCGATTACGCCTCTATAATCGGTATCTATGAAGAGTATTTTGAAATGTGTTTGACCATGTGGTAAACGCCACTTAACACCTATTTCGGAATATTTGATAAAAAAATTGAACCATTCCTCCTGGATATATTTATTGGGATTATCCGGGTTAAAGTTAGAGTGAAAGAGTTCAGTACAGTAAACTACGGTTATAACGAACACGCTTATAACGAACTGACGGATATAACGAACTAACTTTTTAGTCCCGACTATTTGCTGTAGTTATGCTGCATATATGCTCATAACGAACTACGGTTATAACGAACTAAAAATAGTAGTCCCTTTGAGTTCGTTATATCCGTAGTTTACTGTATTTAGTTTGTAAACCTTATCTGGCTTCAGGTACCTTTTATATATGTTTGAGACGGGTGCCACCTGTGAAACATCATGTGTGGACACCTGGTATCGTCACTGTTATATGATGATTCATAAGCACGTACAGTAAACTACGGTTATAACGAACACGCTTATAACGAACTGACGGATATAACGAACTAACTTTTTAGTCCCGACTATTTGCTGTAGTTATGCTACATATATGATTATAACGAACTACGGTTATAACGAACTAAAAATAGTAGTCCCTTTGAGTTCGTTATATCCGTAGTTTACTGTATTTAGTTTGTAAACCTTATCTGGCTTCAGGTACCTTTTATATATGTTTGAGACGGGTGCCACCTGTGAGACATCATGTGTGGACACCTGGTATCGTCACTGTTATATGATGATTCATGAGCACGTACAGTAAACTACGGTTATAACGAACACGCTTATAACGAACTGACGGATATAACGAACTAACTTTTTAGTCCCGACTATTTGCTGTAGTTATGCTGCATATATGCTTATAACGAACTACGGTTATAACGAACTAAAAATAGTAGTCCCTTTGAGTTCGTTATATCCGTAGTTTACTGTATTTAGTTTGTAAACCTTATCTGGCTTCAGGTACCTTTTATATATGTTTGAGACGGGTGCCACCTGTGAGACATCATGTGTGGACACCTGGTATCGTCACTGTTATATGATGATTCATAAGCACGTACAGTAAACTACGGTTATAACGAACACGCTTATAACGAACTGACGGATATAACGAACTTACTTTTTGGTCCCGACTACTTGCTGTAGTCATGCTGTACATGTACTTATAACGAACTACGGTTATAACGAACTAAAACTAGTAGTCCCTTTGAGTTCGTTATAACCGTAGTTTTATGATATAGCCGGAATCGCACAATAGATTTCTGATTTTCTGATGATTATTGAAAGGGTTTTATCGGTTTTATTTGGTACAGGTAACTGCGATTTATGATTCTACGATAGCCTCCCACTATTTACTAAAGTGCCGTAAAATAACTAGGATTTGGTCGGTAGACACAAATGGTCAAGCAACAGCTTTTCTCTTTTCAGAAATAGCAGGGACATGTAAGAAATTATGCAGATACACACAGGAAACCGAATTTGTTAATTGCATAGCGGGAATGAGGGCGGTGACCGACTATGGTCCGAGAGTCAGAGAGCGGCTCTTTCGATGGTATAAAATATTTATATATACATGTATTCATTCTTCCTTTTAGCGAAAGTAGTAACATACAAAATCCGCTCGTTTCGTAAAAATGGATTCCAACGAGAACGAGTGCAGTATTCTCTGCGTACAAACATGCTAGGAAGTGTATATCATAATATTATAAGCGACAAAACCCTTTCCATACTCATAAAAGACAATTCTGCCAAAGCAGAGTCGATTGTACGATTCCGACCATATCATGAGCATGTGTTTTTGTACCACAATAATACAGTGATGATACCAGGTATTCGCATGTAGAAAGGGAAGAAAATGAGGTAGAAATGTTCAAGTTAGACGTTTAGAAGTTTAGTGTCACAGCGAGGTGCTGAGGGTTGGAAGGGCGTTATAACGAAGTGCTGAGGGCTAGGAGGATGGTACAGCGACGTGCTTTGGACTGGGATGGTAGCACAGCTAAGTGCAGAGGGCTGGGGGAGCGTAACAGCAAGATGATGGGGGCTGGAAGAGTGGCAAGGCGAAGAGCTGAGTGCTGGAAGGACGTACTAGCGAAATGCTGAGGGTTGGAAGGAAGGCACAGCGTAGTGATTAGAGCTGGAAGGGTGTACCCGCGAAATGCTGAGGGCTGGAAGGAAGGCACAGCGTAGTGATTAGAGCTGGAAGGGTGTACCCGCGAAATGCTGAGGGCTGGAAGGAAGGCACAGCGTAGTGATTAGAGCTGGAAGGGTGTACCCGCGAAATGCTGAGGGCTGGAAGGAAGGCACAGCGTAGTGATTAGAGCTGGAAGGGTGTACCAGCGAAATGCTGAGGGCTGGAAGGAAGGCACAGCGTAGTGATGGTAGCACAGCTAAGTGCAGAGGGCTGGGGGAGCGTAACAGCAAGATGATGGGGGCTGGAAGAGTGGCAAGGCGAAGAGCTGAGTGCTGGAAGGACGTACTAGCGAAATGCTGAGGGTTGGAAGGAAGGCACAGCGTAGTGATTAGAGCTGGAAGGGTGTACCAGCGAAATGCTGAGGGCTGGAAGGAAGGCACAGCGTAGTGATTAGAGCTGGAAGGGTGTACCAGCGAAATGCTGAGGACTGGAAGGAAGGTACAGTGTAGTGATTAGAGCTGGAAGGGTGTACCAGCGAAATGCTGAGGGCTGGAAGGAAGGCACAGCGTAGTGATTAGAGCTGGAAGGGTGTACCAGCGAAATGCTGAGGGCTGGAAGGAAGGCACAGCGTAGTGATTAGAGCTGGAAGGGTGTACCAGCGAAATGCTGAGGGCTGGAAGGAAGGCACAGCGTAGTGATTAGAGCTGGAAGGGTGTACCAGCGAAATGCTGAGGGCTTGAAGGAAGGCACAGCGTAGTGAATAGAGATGGAAGGGTGTACCAGCGAAATGCTGAGGGCTGGAAGGAAGGCACAGCGTAGTGATCACAGCGTGAAGGGTGTACCCGCGAAATTATGGGGTCTGGCAGGGCGTAACAGCAAAGCGGTGTGGGATGGAAGGGTGGCACAGCAAAGCGGTGAGGGATGGAAGGGTGACACAGCAAAGCGGTGAGGGATGGAAGGGTGGCACAGCAAAGCGTCGAGGGATGAAAGGGTGGCACAGCAAAGCGGTGAGGGATGGAAGGGTGGCACAGCAAAGCGTCGAGGGATGGAAGGGTGACACAGCAAAGCGGTGAGGGATGGAAGGGTGGCACAGCGAAGCGGTGAGGGATGGACGGGTGGCACAGCGAAGCGATGAGGGTTGGAAGGGTGGCACATCAAAGCGGTGAGGGTTGGAAGGGTGGCACATCAAAGCGGTGAGGGATGGAAGGGTGGCACACTTAAGCGTCGAGGGATGGAAGGGTGGCACAGCGAAGCGATGAGGGTTGGAAGGGTGGCACAGCAAAGCGGTGAGGGATGGAAGGGTGGCACAGCGAAGCGGTGAGGGATGGACGGGTGGCACAGCGAAGCGATGAGGGTTGGAAGGGTGGTACATCAAAGCGGTGAGGGATGGAAGGGTGGCACAGCGAAGCGGTGAGGGTTGGAAGGGTGGCACCGCGATGCGGTGAGGGATGGAAAGGTGGCACAGCGAAGCGGTGAGGGTTGGAAGGGTGGCACAGCGAAGCGGTGAGGGTTGGAAGGGTGGCACAGCGAAGCGATGAGGGATGGAAGGGTGGCACAGCAAAGCGGTGAGGGATGGAAGGGTTGCACAGCGAAGCGATGAGGGATGGAAGGGTGGCACAGCGAAGCGGTGAGGGATGGAAGAGTGTACCAGCAAAACGATGAGGGTTGGAAGGGTGGCACAGCGAAGCGGTGAGAGAGGAAGGGTGGCACAACGAAGCGGTGAGGGATGGAAGGGTGTACCAGCAAAACGGTGAGGGTTGGAAGGGTGGCACAGCGAAGCGGGGAGGGATGGAAGGGTGGCACAGCGAAGCGGTGAGGGATGGAAGGGTGGCATAGCGAAGCGATGAGGGATGGAAGGGTGGCAGAGCGAAGCGGTGAGGGTTGGAAGGGTGGCATAGCGAAGCGGTGAGGGATGGAAGGGTGGCACAGCAAAGCGATGAGGGATGGAAAGGTGGCACAGCAAAGCGGTGAGGGATGGAAGGGTGGGATAGCGAAGCGGTGAGGGATGGAAGGGTGGCACAGCAAAGCGGTGAGGGATGGAAGGGTGGCACAGGAAAGCGGTGAGGGATGGAAGGGTGGCACAGCAAAGCGGTGAGGGATGGAAGGGTGGGATAGCGAAGCGGTGAGGGATGGAAGGGTGGCACAGCAAAGCGGTGAGGGATGGAAGGGTGGCACAGCAAAGCGGTTAGGAATGGAAGGGTGGCACAGCGAAGCGGTGAGGGATGGAAGGGTGGCATAGCGAAGCGATCAGGGATGGACAGGTGGCACAGCGAAGCGGTGAGGGTTGTAAGGGTGGCACAGCGAAGCGATGAGGGATGGAAGGGTGTACCAGCGAAGCGGTGAGGGATGGCAGGGTAGCACAGCGAAGCGGCGAGGGTTGGAAGGGTGGCACAGCGAAGTGGTCGGGGCTGGAAGGGAGTACAAGATGTTTGATTATCAGAGTTATAACTTGTAAATCCTCAGTGAAACTTTCAAAACGTTTTTTCAGGATATTTTCAAAACTCGATGGTCCATGCATTTCCCGATTCTTCACTTCTACCATATATTCCCTTGTGTTTTCAGGTGAAAAAAACAACTTGCCTTTACCTGTGTTTGTAACGGATGCCCTTGGCGAGGCTGGATACACTCACCCTTTCGCTAATACCTGGCATCATCACAATTGATAGCGATTTATAAACACATGCGTATGAATATATCGGAATCGTTCTTTTAGCTTTTAGCAGATTACTCATGAAAATAAATATGGTTTTAGCGCTTTTATTTCTGTACCACCACTTTGGAAAAACAACAAGATAATTGTCATCAATATTTCCCCGTACATGTAAGTTTCACAAATGTGCAGTAAATTTCGAAACTACTTCTTATGCGTCCTGTTCACATAGCTACTCCGCACAATGTAAGACAGGGTAGGGAACATCATGTTGTTCGCTGCGTTTGTTTTCACCTCTCTACAATGTGCCATGGCAGGTATGTATTTTGGTTTACTGTAGGTTTGAATAGTATTTAACGGCATGTCAGCTAAATGTGAGAGGAAAGCCAGTAGTGATGCAAGCCTTAGACCTTAGACATGCTAGGTTCATGGATGGTTTTAAGTAAACTAGAAACATAATCAGTCCGAATCTGGAATTCGAACCCATTAACTCTGGGACGCACAAGGGACCCAACCCTCATAACGTGAGTCCCGTGGAGATCCGGGGTAGAATAGGTCTTCAGCAACCCATGCTTGCCGTAAAAGGCGATTATGCTTGTCGTAAGAGGCGTTTAACGGGATCGGGTGGTCAGGCTCGCTGACTTGGTTGTTGCATGTCATCGATCCCAATTGCGTGGACCGATGCTCAATATATCAACCACTGGTCCAGATTCGATTACTACAGACCGCCGTCATATAGCTGGAATATTGCTGAGTGCGGCGTAAAACAGCAAACCAAACCAAACCAAAATCATATAGCGTGATATAGCTTAAATGTGTTAGCTGCGGTAAACCAAACTAAGGTAATTAAATAATTCAAATACACGCCAATTTCTTCCAGGTACACTGTTCAGAAAAGTTGGAGGTAACCTTGACGTTGATGTTCCGCTCAATTCGTTGCCATTCCTATATGTGGTCAGTCCTAATCATGAACTGTTATGTGTAATAATCCAAGTGAAAGAGACGATGGAAATATTCCCTGGTCATCATAAGATGTTCCGATGCAGAAATTCCACCGAGATGGGAAAGGTCAAGATGTCTTTGACCAACATAACCAGAGAGGATGCAGGACCCTATGGTTGGTCACTGGGCTCAATGCAAAGGACCAACGGCACGCTGATGACGTTGTTTGTGACAGGTCAGAGCATACAACCAAGATAGATATTCTAGAGACGTGGGACATGCTTATCCTTCTCACGAACACCTTGTGCCATCACTGATACAGCCATAAAAGTTTCACCGTCGTTCGGTGGTATCTGTTTCGGCAGATTTAGTATTGTATATTTCAACATCCCATAAATCAACAAAAATTGATTACAGTGGTTGCAGCGATGTTTGCTACCTTTAACGACGATTATTGATATATTTGATTTTCAAATGATTTTATACATTATCCAATATATTTATAAATCATTAAGTACAAAATGGTTAAATATAACGACCGCTTTCATGTTTGAGATCATCTTGAAATTGTTCAGATGCATTATGTAATGCTATGTAGAAATTATATATCATGACGCTCTTCTTTAAATTCCTTTGATCGAATTGTTGCGGTCTATATCTGACTAATATATATGTACAATATCTAAAATCATTACTTATTTCCGGATGGAAATGAATTCAAAACACAATGTTGAACAAAATGTTGATTGTTCAAAAGTTTAAAAAAGTTGAGAAGTCGCTGTGTGGCGAAGCTCCTATACAGCGCTACGGCGAAAACATTGCGCACTGTAACGTTAAAGTTGCTATACTATGATGTTACAGTAATGAAATGTTTCATTTTTCTATGGAATACTGTAAGGGACATTCTCGCGATCTCGCATTCTTGCGATCTCGACCTTTGGAAACGAGGTAAATATACCCAAAACACGAGAATGCGAGATCGCGAGAAAGCGAGATTTGGCCCAAATCTCGCGTCCTCGCGATCTCGCATTCTCGTGTTTTTGGTACATAGCACTTTTTGTCAAAAGTCGAGAACGCGAGAATGCGACATTTGGACATGATGCAAAATCTCGAAATCTCGCAATCTCGACTTGTCAAATTAGGCCACAAAAACACGAAATCGCGAGAACGCGAGAATGCGACATTTCATTTTCGCGCGATCTCGCATTCTCGTGTTTTGGGTATATTTACCTCGTTTCCAAAGGTCGAGATCGCGAGAATGCGAGATCGCGAGAATGTCCCTTACAGTATTCCATATTATTCACATTCTCACTTACCAGTTGTTCGGTATTTATAGGCTTAAATCCCTGAGCATGAATATGTTTTCATATTCAATTACTGAAACATAATGATTTTTTTCAAGAATTATCAGGGACAATTTATTATTTCGAAAGGATTCCCAGCCCCCGAATATCAATTGGTCAGTACCTTTCAAGAAATCTTTTACCCCGCAGACAGACCAACTCTCCCGACCATACACCTTCTAGAAACTCCTGTTTTCGGTCACCAAGTCACAGTTAGATGCGAGTCAAATTCAACAACCATACCCGCGAACCATTCCCTGGTAATGGGATACCAGTGGTTCCAGTACAATCATCTACTTGGTAACAACAGCAACATCGGTATTTTTGGACATTCGTTAATAATAACACATCTCAAAAGCCGTCGGGAACGCCAGTATGAATGCTTGGCAACTGAGGGAGAGTCTGAATCACCCATGGCGACACTAAAGTTCACTCCTGAATGTAAGTCCATCTTCGTTTATTATATGAACTTTAACCTGTCATGTCTCGTAATTGGACAAAGAGATAATATAGGACGTTGCGTATTTACACAAAGGTTCAGTTTTGTTCAAGGGTGGATCCAGCCTTTAAAAAAAAGAACAAAATGAAAAAATGTGCATACTCTCGTTACATGAAGTTTGCGATCCAATCCAATCTGAAAATATTTATTCTTTGACATGCGCACTGTTGATACCGTTTGTTTCTTTGTTGTTTAACACCGTACTGGGCAATATTCCATTTATATGACGGCGGTCTGCAATTAATCGAGTCTGGAACAGACAATCCAGTGATTGACATCATGACCATCGATCCACGCAATTGGGTTAAGATTACATGCATCAACCGAGTCAGCGAGCCTGACCACCCAACCCCGTTAGGACAAGCATAGTCGCCTTTTACGGCAAGCAAGGGTTGCTGAAGAATTATTCTATCCCGGATCTACACGGGTCTGTTGATACGAATTGATACTTATTTCTAGGCTGTATTAATGCAACAAGATTTGAAATGATGAAGTATCAATATCAACATCCTGTATCTAACCCGGAACAGGACATCTAAACCAAAACCAGCGTGAATAATATTGATAAGCAATTGTTGCAGTTTCTACTTAACTATATTACGTTAAAAATATGCTTGTCGTGAGAGCCGACTAACGGGGTCAGGCTCGCTGACTTGGTTGATGCATATTATTGTATCCCATCTGCGTGATTTATGCTCATGATATCAATCAGTGGATTGTCAGGGCCAGACTCGATTATTTACAGACCGCCGTCATATAGCGGGAATATTGCTGAGTGCGGCGTTAAACAACAAACAAAACAAACAAAAACTTTTAAATAGCTGGCCATGTTCTTATTTGTCATAGTGTGCTTTCTAAGAATTTGGTGTCATCACTAATTTTCAGTGATCCATATATTTAAGGAACTTTTCATCACTATTTTGCCGTTTACGCCCAATTTAATCGCTAGATTATCGAGACTTATTATTCTAAGACGTGTTATATCTTTTGAGGATTTTAACCGAAATGATGTTTAATTTCGCTGAAAATTGAATTCATAAACATTCTAAAGATTTTTATAAGTTCAATTCATAAACAAATATATAATTCAAATTGCGCTTTGCAACGCTTGTGCTATATACTCATGTTAATATTGAATGTCAGGACATATTCATTCCCCTTTAGTGTTGCACAAAAGGGAAAGTATTAAAAAGTTACAAACTGCATATTGTGTGATATAGGTTAATAGCTACATGTGTAATCTTAAATACAGTAAAATCTGAATGTCAGGACATATTCATTCCCCTTTAGTGTTGCACAAAAGGGAAAGTATTAAAAAGTTACAGACTGCATATTCTGTGATATGGGTTAACAGCTGCATGTGTAATCTTAAATACAATAAAATCTGAATATCAGGACATATTCATTCCCCTTTAGTGTTGCACAAAAGGGAAAGTATTAAAAAGTTACAGACTGCATATTCTGTGATATGGGTTAACAGCTACATGTGTAATCTGTAAATACAATAAAATCTGTTCACTGCAGATGGACCATACGACCTTGATGTTAATGTATCTGGGACAGCGAGGCTTGAAGAGGATACCAGCTTGTCTGTGTCGTGTGCTGCTGACTGTAAACCAGCCTGTACCTACATGTGGCTGAAACAGGAGAGACGACTGCATGACACAGAGTCAGGGATGATGGTACTGCAACAGGTCAGAAGGATACAGAGTGGGTACTATAGCTGCAAGGCTTCCAATATCCATGGCGATCTGTCAAAGCCAGTCCTTGTGGACGTTCTGTGTGAGTTGAAGATTTACTGACGTGCTTATCACGTGCTACTTCTTGGGGATGGGGTGGAGGGTCTGGGAATTTGAAAATAAAAAAATATGTTCTCGAAAATGTTGGAAACATAGTTTATTTCCTCGGAGTTTACAAAAATATTTATACTCGTGTTTCGTTCACTGGACTTGCTGGATCTGTCCCCAGACTTGTTTGCTTTTACTCTTAAGGTCAGAGTGAGTGAGTTCGATTTTACGCCGCTTTTAGCAATATTCCAGCAATATCACGGCGGGGTACACCAGAAATGGGCTTCACACTTGTACCCATGTCGGGAATCGAACCCGGGTCTTCGGCGTGACGAGCGAACGCTTTAACCACTAGGCTACCCGACCACCCCTGTAAGGTCAGATGTTTACCAAAACATGTAATAGTAGTGTATATCTCTTCTCTCGAAAGCTAATCTCTAGCCCAACACATAATGATTGAGATGACAGTCCACAATACCCATTCTTGGCAATTGTTAGTTCTTCTAAATATTCGTTTTCATTTTGCCATCCGCATAATAATATTTTTTATGCCGACCTTGAATTACCATAAACTATCTCTCATATAATCTTACAGTACTAAAATAAAATGGTGATTATCGATTATATATAATCGATTATTGATTATAGATCAACCACACATTGTAAAAGGAGCAACCTTTACTCGGACACAAAAAATCAACGAGGGTCAAGAGGTTGATATGAGATGTGATGTCGACAGCAACCCAGCACCAACCACCACGTGGCTGAAAGACGGCATCACAGTGAAGCAGAGGGTGCTCGATGGGGATGTGCCCACGATCAGCGGAGCCCAGCACATCTTCAGCAACATCTTCACAAAGAAAAGTGCAGTTTGTCGAGATGGCGGCCGGTACAGATGCCAAGCCAAGAATGGTGTTGGAACTGTAGCAGAGGAGACCGTTACTCTGAGTGTGATGTGTAAGCTGTTTAATATGTAAAATGATTAATATGTAAAATGTTTAATATGTAAAATGTTTAATATGTAAAATGATTAATATGTAAAATGTTTTATGTGTAAAATGTTTAATATGTAAAATGATTAAAATGTAAAATGTTTAATATGTAAAATGTTTAATATGTAAAATGTTTAATATGTAAAATGATTAATACGTGCCATTAACGACCGAGCATTTAACGATAACCGTTATAATATTTGATTGTTACTGTTTCAATGCATACAAGCTCTGTCTCTGTTTTGAAATTGGGAAGAATCATATATTTATCACTTGTTTTAGGACATGCTGCACGTGGAATTAAGAATTTCTTTTGTGATGCAAAATTATGTATTGCAATAATGTTCTGGAACAACAAATGTTCCAAATGATGGTTTACAGGAATATTGTGTTTGCTTGCAGGTTCTGTGCGCATGGCCGGTGATCATCCTCGTTCATTCATTACCCCGAGAGGAACAACGCAGAATGTCACAGTAGATGTCATCGCTTACCCCGAACCGGAACTTGTTGGATGGAAGCATATTGTGGGTGGCAAGGAGGCCGTGGTCCACAAACAGAGGGTTATCATGACGTATGTTGCCATGCCAAATGAATTTGAACATCGTGTGATTTTAACGCATATAGACGTGATGGACAGTGACCAAGGGGAGTATAGTACAGAAATGACCAATGGTGTTGGAAGAAGCCTTGAGTACAGTTACATCATAACTGTTCAAGGTATGTTGTATACCATCCTATGAGCCTCGAGATAGTAACCCTGTGTTATATTAACCTTACTGTGTGAGGCGGGGGCACGGGTGGCCCAGTCGTCTAAGGCGCCGCGATTCGCTGTGCAGAGTTGCGTCCCTTGGGCACGCCAGAAACCTATGATTGTGGGTTCGAATCCCTGTTCGCCCCGATTATGTTCCTAGGTTTGTCAGCACCATACCCGTGCTCGTGGGTTTCACCGAAGTGGTAAACGTCTGAGACCTGCATCACTTCGGGCTTTCCTCCTACATTAAGCTGACACGCCGCGATATAACTGGAATACTGTTAAAAGCGGCGTTAAACCCAACTCACTCACTCACTCACTACTGTGTGAGTCAGTTCGGTTTACAGCAGCTTTGAGCAGTATTTCAGTTATATCACATTGTGTCAGCTTGATATGGGAAGAAATCCCGAAATGATGCAAGTCTTAGATGTTTACGACTTTGGTCAATCCACGAGCAAGGATAAGGTGCTGAAAATCCAGTAAAACATAATCAAGGTGAACCGGGATGTAAACAAAGATCATAGGTTTCTGGTACATGTAATTGCGGAGCCGCAGACGGGCCACAGGACCACCTATTATTAGAAGGACGTAATTGTTTTTACAGAAGAACTGCATCTAACATCAATGGGCAAGATAGGGTATATGTTACAACTAGGGACTACGTGTCGTTCTACAGCTTCGATTGGCTGTGATTCACTTTTTAAAAATGTATATATAATAGTCTGTCCGTAAACACTTACCTCCAAATACGTATACTTTATGTTATCGAAAGTGAACTTTGAATAAGGATTCCAGATCGAAAACAAATAACCGGTAGCGTTTTTGAACCGGCGGCCATCTTGTTTTCCAAAAACCGCACCGGTTGTTGTCTGATGATACAGCTTTGGCTGTGGTGGTGGGGCTGATATACACATATGTCATTAACCACGTAGTAGTAGTAGTAGTAGTAGTAGTAGTAGTAGTAGTAGTAGTAGTTGAAGTAGCAATGGGCGTGCCTTTCGCTGTTGTTCGAGCCTGAGATTTTCTGTTTTCAGTCGCTTCCGAAAGGAGGACCCGAATCTTTTTTCAAATATCACAAACCCACCCACACAAACACCTTCACATACACATTGTATGATGGGTACATGTATTATATTCTTTTCTCACAGTTCCTCCTAAGGCACCCGAGGATCTGACAGTTGCCTTTGTTGGAGAAACATATGCTACTATCAAGTGGAGGGAAGGATTTAATGGACACGCTATTCAACACTTTGAAATATCATTCAAACATGCACGTGCAACCAAGAACCAACCCTGGACTGTTGACCCGACCATGATCAATGAAGGCACCACGCAGGTAAACCTCCGTGGCTTAGACGAAAGAACTGGGTACAGGATCCGTGTTCGAGCATGGAACGACATTGGAACAAGCGGTTACTCCAACGAGCTGATTATTCAGACATATGGACAAGGTATTTTTCAAGTTATTTTCTTCTTGTATTTCAGGGGGCACGGGTGGCCCAGTCGTCTAAGGCGCCGCGATTCTCACAGCAGAGTTGCGTCCCTTGGGCACGCCAGAAACCTATGATTGTGGGTTCGAATCCCGGTTCGCCCCGATTATGTTTCTAGGTTTGTCAGCACCATACCCGTGCTTGTGGGTTTCACCGAAGTGGTAACCGTCTAAGACCTGCATCACTTCGGGCTTTCCTCCCACATTAAGCTTACACGCCGTGATATAACTGGAATAATGTTAAAAGCGGCGTTAAACCCAACTCACTCACTCACTCTTGTATTTCAAAGTATAACATGCTACCAACTCTGGCAGGTTGAAACGAATGTTATTTTGTTGTTGTAAACGTTAAACTATCTAGAATGTCAATGCCAAAGATTTATTTGCTGATTTCAGAAACAAATTCCATTGGTTTAAAAATGCAAAATATTGGTAAAAATTATATGAATGGGAAAATGAAAAAGTGATGACACCTGTTCGCGAATAGAATAAGTATTTCCAGATCTACTGACACAATTTGTATACAAAAGTAAGTGTTTCATTACACTGCACAGCAGTACTCATGCCGTAAGGCCGCGGCCTGTGAACAATCTAGTCTTGACCAGACAATCCAGTGACACGAAAGCGCGTTTACTGATTTTGTTGAAACTAAAAACGATACGTTAATTTTAAATTTTCTGCTTTGTACAAGTGCAGAGATTATTGATAACGCGAGTTCAATACCAAGGCACGACAGTGCAGTGAAGGAAAGTGCGTTACTGTTTAAACATGACCTTTTTCATATGAACAAACTCGAACATATCCAACAGAGAAGGAAATAGAAAGAATATGGAATATCAAGTATGGGTGGATGTATATATTCTGTGTGAACGTGTAAAACAATGTTTCCTGTTTTCACAAGGAAATGTTGTTTTTTTTCTTTTCAGGGAAAACAGCCCAAGCAGAGAGTCGCTCGGAACCACGTGACCGGGAGGGTCTGTGTCATCGTGACCTCATATGATTGTTGTATGTGCGAGTGAGTGAGTGAGTTTAAGCGACGTTGTGAACAGTATTTGAGTTATGTCACGGCATGTCATCTCGGAGCGGAAGGAAAGTCCGAAGTAATGCAGGTCTTAACCATTTACCACATTGATGACAACCATGAGCACGAATATGGGGCGGACAATCCTAGAAACATAATAAGGGCAAAGTGGGATTCGAACCCAGGATCATACGATTCTGGTGTGCCCAACCTCTTAAGGGACGCAACTCTGTTAAACGAATTGCAGCGCCTAAGACGGCTTGGACAACTATATGAAGTTTGTTTTTATTAAACTAATAAGTTTCATTGAATTAATTATTTCGTTTGTAATTCGTATTCCTGCAATAAAAACACCTGTGCCTTATAGTTTTAACATTTCAGGACAAACAACCCAGCGCACAATATCGGATCACGCATCTTCTGATGAAAACACTCGTAAGCATATAGTTCCCTTTTTAAACTTAGAAACTAGCCCGTTGTTAATTCCTTCATTGAATCATTTTGGCATTACTCAACATGTTTATGTTTGTGATATAATTATTATCGTCACAAATATACATTATAGGTATAATATCCAAAATAATTAATTTCAGCAAACATAAAAACACGTTCATTCTATCTGTTTGTTGAAATTCATGATGTCTGTTTTCGACATTTACAGACGTGAAGGAAAATGAAACATCATTCAATGGGTTCTATCCTCAATCACACGGTATGAGTATAATTGTGTTCAGAATAAGACACGTATGCAAAGTGTGTGTGTGTGTGTGCGTGTGTTCGTGTGTGCGTGCGTGTGCTTGCATGTGTGTGTGGGTTTAGTTAACTGATAAGATCATCTATTTCAAAATTTATTATTTATTTATTTAAATATGGACATATTATCTTTCCATATATTACTTTTAAATCTTTAGTGATGGCATCATTTTTTTATCAAATAGAACTTAATCGGACCCGTGAAGATCCGGGGTAGAATGGGTCTTCAGCAACCCATACTTGCCGGAAAAGGCGACTATGCTTGTCGTAAGAGGCGACTAATGGGGTCGGGTGGTCAGGCTCGCTGACTTGGTTGATGCATGTCATCGATCCTAATTGCGTGGATCAATGCTCATGTGGTCAATCACTGGATTGTCTGGTCCAGACTCGATTATTTACAAACCGCCGTCATATAGCTGGAATATTGCTGAGTGCGTTAAACAACAAACAAACAAACAAACAAACAAACAAGAACTTCATCGAATCCTACCAAAAAAATACATAGATATCTGTTTTTTAGACAATAGCTGTTTATATATATTTGAGGCATTTGTGGACATTATATTTTGTTTTTGGTCAATTGTAGTGCATATAAAATATAACAATGGGTTACGTTGTTAAAGGTTCTCGTATCACTGGGATCGTATTCGCTTTGATCGGAACATCTGTGGTGTTCCTAATTGTTTGGTTTCTCTTATTGAAAGGTAAGACCTTGAATATTACCGTCATTTTATTATATATTTCAAGGTTTTTTTAAACATGAAAGATATTTAAGATTGAAATAATACATTTGAATCGATGTGTGTAGTTTAACGGTGTGCTGGTTCCTGAATAATACTTATATAGCTGCAATATTGCTGAGTACGGCGTTAAACAACAAACAAACAAACAAACAAGACCTTGAAAATACAATTAATTTATATGTATTTCAAGTTTCTTTTGAAACATGAAAGATATTTAAGATTGAAATATTTGTACTACTATGGCATATTCCTTACATTAAAATACAAGCTTCTAAATTATTTTTCATGTATCCCGTTGAGAAATCAATCCGAACACATCTTAGGTATTTGCCTATCTCGCATCAGCATCGTTGAGTTTCTGAAATGAACCAATGCATTGGGTAAAGGGAAGTAACTCGGTTTGTTTGCTGTCGTCTGCTATGATTTTTGTGAAACTGCGAACATATAATCCGGACCTGTATGGATGACATAAATTCGTTGTCAGCCGATCCCTCCCTCATCCCTCCTTCTCTCTCTCTCTCTCTCTCTCTCTCTCTCTCTCTCTCTCTCTCTCTCTCTCTCTCTCGCTCTCTGACGGCTACGGTTACACAGACTATCACACAGGGCACATCTCACCATATGCCCTTACAGATCGGTTGACAATTTATAATGTATCCTGCACATGGATATACACCCTATATTACATTAAAACTAGTCCAAAGCTAGTCCAGACCAATTTAGGTACCAATGAACTATGCTTTTCATGCTATGGTATTCTACCGGTATTTGTTTCCTATGAACAGGACCATTAAAGTGTATGCTGATGCGCCTCGGCGTCAGCCTGAACCAGCACAGGCAAATCAGAGTACTGGAAAACTCGTATGAGTTGTCGACACAAGGCGACTGTGGCGCTGATGGATATGATGGTAAGTGTACGTTTTCGCGAAGACTACATTGAAATGTCCAGTTTGGTTGGTCGATATAGTACCATATTGTATATTTGTTTGCTTCTAAAACTATTCATCATATCACATTTCACGCAAGGTTCTATAACTATCCCTCATACCAGCTCTCATGCTGAGGTCTACAACTATCCATCTTGCTACCTCTCGTATTGATGTCTACTGCTATCCATAATACCAAATTTCGTGCTAAGGTCTACAACTATCCATCATGACACCTCTCGTATTGATGTCTTAAACTTTCAATAATACCAAATTTCGTGCTAAGGTCTACAACTATCCATCGTGCTACCTCTCGTATTGATGTCTAAAACTATCAATAATACCAAATTTCGTGCTAAGGTCTACAACTATCTATCATGCCACCTCTCGTATTGATGTCTAAAACTTTCAATAATACCAAATTTCGTGCTAAGGTCTACAACTATCCATCATGCCACCTCTCGTATTGATGTCTAAAACTTTCAATAATACCAAATTTCGTGCTAAGGTCTACAACTATCCATCATGCCACCTCTCGTATTGATGTCTAAAACTTTCAATAATACCAAATTTCGTGCTAAGGTTTACAACTATCCATCATGCTACCTCTCGTATTGATGTCTACAACTATCCATCGTGCTACCTCTCGTATGGATGTCTACAACTATCCATCGTGCTACCTCTCGTATGGATGTCTACAACTATCCATCGTGCTACCTCTCGTATGGATGTCTACAACTATCCATCATGCCACCTCTCGTATTGATGTCTACAACTATCAATAATACCAAATGTCGTGCTAAGGTCTACAACTATCTATCGTGCTACCTCTCGTATGGATGTCTACAACTATCCATCGTGCTACCTCTCGTATGGATGTCTACAACTATCCATCGTGCTACCTCTCGTATGGATGTCTACAACTATCCATCGTGCTACCTCTCGTATTGATGTCTACAACTATCCATCGTGCTACCTCTCGTATGGATGTCTACAACTATCCATCGTGCTACCTCTCGTATTGATGTCTACAACTATCCATCATGCCACCTCTCGTATTGATGTCTACAACTATCAATAATACCAAATTTCGTGCTAAGGTCTACAACTATCTATCGTGCTACCTCTCGTATGGATGTCTACAACTATCCATCGTGCTACCTCTCGTATGGATGTCTACAACTATCCATCGTGCTACCTCTCGTATGGATGTCTACAACTATCCATCATGCTACCTCTCGTATTGATGTCTACAACTATCCATCCTGCTACCTCTCGTATGGATGTCTACAACTATCCATCATGCCACCTCTCGTATTGATGTCTACAACTATCAATAATACCAAATTTCGTGCTAAGGTCTACAACTATCTATCGTGCTACCTCTCGTATGGATGTCTACAACTATCCATCGTGCTACCTCTCGTATTGATGTCTAAAACTATCCATCATGCTACCTCTCGTATTGATGTCTAAAACTATCCATCATGCTACCTCTCGTATTGATGTCTACAACTATCCATCCTGCTACCTCTCGTATTGATGTCTACAACTATCCATCGTGCTACCTCTCGTACTGATGTCTAAAACTATCAATAATACCAAATTTCGTGCTAAGGTCTGGAAGTATCCATCATGCCACCCCACGTGCTAAGATCTAAAACAATCCAGCATATCACCTTTCGTACTGAGGTTTAACACTATTCACCATACCACATCAGGTGCTGTGGTTTAACACTATTCACCATACCACATCAGGTGCTGTGGTTAAACACTATTCACCATACCACATCAGGTGCTGTGGTTAAACACTATTCACCATACCACATCAGGTGCTGTGGTTAAACACTATTCACCATACCACATCAGGTGCTGTTGTTAAACACTATTCACCATATCAATCAGGTGCTGTGGTTAAAAATGATCCATTCAAGTTCAATATTGAATTATTCTCGACTTGCAGATGGTGACGAGAAGGCTGGATGCTCATCGCGATTAAGCGAACACATCTATGACGTGCCTGACGTGGTGGGGGCGTCAAGCAATGACGCACCTGCCCTGTACTTGACAACATCAGAAAGATACACAAAACTGGAACAACCCCGCCAGAGAATGACATGTGAATTTTAGTTATTCGCGATTCATAAGTCAGATTACTTTCTGATCCAAAATCCCACATTGACACGCCGTGATATAACTGCGATATTGTATAATCAGTTTAAAGCGGCGTTAAACCAAACGCATGCACTGATGTAAATAATATACTTTGTCATTCATATGCATATGATCGCAAACATAGTGTTCAAAGTGTAAACATATTATTCATATTAAATAGTCACAATAAAAATTTAATAAAAATAATAATACTATCGTTATTCAACCATAAGTTTCGAGTGTGTGTCCTGATCTCATCTTTAAAAACATTACGTGTATTTGAAGGCACACCATAATTATTTTTTTAAAAATTTATTGCACGGCGCCAGTTTATGGTTTGAGAAAGTTACATGGTGATGAGTAATAGTTGGAAAGATGTAAACAAACTTTTAAAAGAAGCTTTATCTTCGTCTCACATATTATATTATACATAAATTATTATGAAAATATTTTTTAAAACATTCCTAACTGTAAATTATTACCCTAAACATCGGGCACAATCCGTTTACCTGCCCCTTCGCCTGCAGCCGCAAGGAGGCGAAGCTAAGAGTACAGTCAAGCTGTTTCCAACTGAATTCAGCATTTCGCTGCGGTGAAACGTTGACCCATTTCCGTGTAGCGGGTCTGTCTGTCGAGAGGGACAGGGACAGACCTACATCATAGCGCTATGTGGCAAAAGTCGACCCAGTTATCGGGTAGCGAGATATTAGCACTTCTCGACAGTGTTAATAATAGACGTGTTAGGCTACAGGAGTAAACGTATAAGCATTAGGAAGCTTACTCTCATAGAGAAGTATGGTTCATGGTTAAAATAAACCCGCACTCACAACGTTATGGGTTTTAATTTTAACAATCTGCATGTCTCCACTAATTTACTTCATTATAAAATAATATTACAACAATGTAGCTATTACTTTGAAAAGATTAATTATGAAGAAATATTAATAACGTTACCACTGTAAATATATCATGTATACCACAATGATTGTGTCAGCCTTATACCCTTGTTCCTTCAAAACCATAACAAATGTTTCGGGAAGTCATTGTTGTGAAAACATATTACTAGTTGTGTTTTCAATAAATACTTTTATATTATATAAATAATAAAAACTGAAATGTGCCATATTCTTATTCTTGATTCTGAAGGTACCACATGCAAATTACAATCCTTTTATCGTATGCTGAGTGCATGTGCGCTTTGTGGCAGTATAGATACTTGCATCAATAGATAGGTATGCTACAAAATCCCTTTGCGCCGTGTTGATCTGCTGGATCAAAGTTGTCTTGTATTATATTATACTATACATACAACCCAAGCTGCTTAAGGGAGCTAGAGGTTTCCATCTCACATACTGGAACCTACCTATTCCCTGCTGGGTGAGCGGAGGCACATTTTAACTAAGTCACTTGGCCTGTGTGACACCACACCTTTTGACACGTGTTTCGTGTTTCCACCATCTGGTCATCTGGGGCGGTCGGGTAGCCTAGTGGTAAAAGCGTTCGCTCGTCACGCCGAAGACCCGGGTTCGGTTCCCGACATGGGTACAATGTGTGAAGCCCATTTCTGGTGTCCCCCGCCGTGATATTGCTGGAATAGTTCTAAAAGCGGCGTAAAATCATACTCACTCACTCACTCTGGTCATCTAACAGTGGATGAGTGGGTTCTTTAGAGTGCACAGGGTGAAAGAGTGAGTATGGTTTTACGCCATTTTTTTAATCAATATTCCAGCAATATCACGGCGGGGCTTCACACATTGTGCCCATGTGGGGAATCGAACCCGGGTCTTCAGCGTGACGAGCGAACGCTTAAACCACTAGGCTACTCGACCGCCCCTGCACAAGGTAAATGTCCTGTACACTAGGGGTGATGACAACACTGTAAAGACCTGTAAATAGTATTGGTACCAAGGCTGAATAACAACCCGGTGACGATCTCAGCACCTTACGATTGCTAGACTGGTTCTTTTGACCGCTTGCACAACCCGCCCCCATTCTCATTTTCAGATATTTAAAACGACCTAAAACCAGCCTTTGTTACACATTCTAGTCGTGCCGTGTTCGGTGTTGTTAAATTAAACACTTCAAGTGTTGAAACGGTGACTTGAATATTCATTTATGTTTATCCGTGTTTTCCTTATGTCTCACCGTAATAATCCTTCTTTGACAGTTTTTTTTATTGTTTGAATGTATATATATATAATGCATAACGTTTTGATAGTCACGATATGGCTGAAATACTGCCGATGTGACAATAAATCTTAACTCACTCACCCACTCACTCACCCACTCACCGTAATAACACGATGTTTTATATGTTTGTGTTATATCTGTAAGCTTTGTCATGTACAGATGTCAACATGTTCAATTCATTTTCAATATATATGCTACTGAATTGGTGTTGGAACAAATAAAGATTTGTTTCTCTGAAATTATCTTGTCATTTCCTAAGGAAATAGAAAACATATCAATTCCACCATTGCTGGTTAGTTGGTTACCGTTATGTGTCAAATTCACGAACTGACGTGTGTCAGATGCCTGTGATCTGATGGCACTCAGCCATATGCCTGCTACATGGCGGCGGTCTCGATCAGACAATACGGTGATTCAACCCCTGAATACACGCAGTATTGGGACACGATGATGCTATCAAACAAGTCACCGAAGCCGACCCCCCAGTCGATTTTGCGGCGTCTTAAGTTGCTGGGGACCTATAATCTACACCCGGTATCTCCACGGGTCTTCCATTGTGAAAAGGTGTCCAGTCCCGTTTTACTCAGCCTGTGATAAGTGCCCTGTGTGAAACAAGGAACCTTTCTGGATATTGTTGTTACCGTTACATAGTCGATAATCACTAACATACAACATCCTGCCCTGCTTGTAAGGACAATGGCCGCCGGGTCTATTACACATTGGTTGGACATTCGATACACTATCAAATATGAGATGACATTCAGTTTGTCCTTTTACTGGAAAAAAAATGATTAAATGAAAACTTTAAGAGTCGTATAAGCCACATAACAACTACAATCTCACCCCCAGTGAAGAGACAAATTTGGTCATCGTAGCAAAACTCTTGGATTAGACTGCAGGTGAATTGGCAATTTGATACAAAGGCGACATTACTACAGTAGCAGATATATAAGGCCTTTGAGCATTCAAATGTTACACAGAATCTTTACAAACGGTTACTAGTTTTCTTTTATCACCGAACATGATCATTCGGATCCATTTGGTCACCTCTCACGACATGCATCGGTTTCCGGGGATTAATTCTTACCCGGAATAGTCATTGATAACATCTATGTAAAAATGAAGTTTAAGATGAAGGCATCCCTATGGGCTCCAAATGAGCTCCCTTTCTTCCCGATCTGTATCTTTATGTATATGAATCAAAGTCAAGAGAGTGAATCTGGCCAAGATGTGTAAATTAAGCTTATTAAACCAGTCTGTTTTATGTCTAGATCTATGCATACAGATTCAGAGAGACTGTATGATAAGATGGATGACTTCAATTTTTCAATAGTCAACTTTCCCAGTTATGTCGAGCAATATTTCTGCAGCTCCAGCCCTCGGTGTCTTTCTACGAAGTTTTCAAAGAGCGTCATCCGAATCTTGCTCAATAGTTTCTTATCAAGGCCTCAGTAAAGCTTTCAAAACGTTTTATGGTAGAGATGTGGAGGACATTTTCAAATTGACGCATTAACACAAATGATGTCCGATTTGATTCCCTATTTGGACTTTCACATCTAATCCCGTGTTATTTCCTGGTAAACAATCAATTTACATTTGTATGTGGTAGTGACGGGTGCCATCGGTGGAATAGGCTACGCTTACCTTTCCCGAAAACCTGGTATCATCACTACAGTAAACTACGTTTATAACGAAAACGCTTATAACGAACTGACGGATATAACGAACTTACTTTTTTGTCCCGACTATTTGCTGTCGTTATGCTGTATATATGCTTATAACGAACTACGGTTATAACGAACTAAAATTAGTGGTCCCTTTGAGTTCGTTATAACCGTAGTTTACTGTATTTGATAGTGATTCATAAACCCATAAATATGATTTAGACGGAAATAAACCTACGATGATCAAGTTCCCCCTCTTTACTGAGGTTGATATTATGGTTGTTACATGGCTAATGCGACTCTTAAATTATTTATTTAGTCATTCTTTTCTCGTAAAAGGACAAACTGAATGTCATGTCATATCTAATATTTAATGGCCGCCTATTGTGTAATATACCCAGCGAAAAACAACCAGTTTCCCTACGGAAGTAATAGCACCAGTAGTACAAGTGCAGTATTGTCATACTACTGTCCTTCAGTTGTGAGGTTTATAAACACCAAATATCTCTGTTCGACAATGAGTAACAATGTGCCCATCATACACCATAAAACATGTGAGGTGAGGTGAAATCGGGTTTAACGTCGCGTCCAAGATTATTGCACTTATATAGCGACGTGCATGTACGTGTGTGTTTGTGTGGCTGCTTGTACTAGTCCGGACTGATGCCGATTTATAGTGCTAGCACACTGAGATACCATGCCGCAGTTTAACATGAATACCCCACTCAGACACAGTATACTGACTCCGAGCCGACCAGTCCTTGTTTTAGCCCCTTGATGCCGAGCACCAGACAGGGTAACAACAATACCATCTTTTAACGTCTTTTGGTATGACGCGGCCGGGGATCGAACCCCGGACCTTCCGCTCTCCGGGCGGACGCTCTACCACTAGACCACGGAGGCGGTCCATAAAACATGTATACTGTTATACGCCAAAGAATCTTTTACAAGCACATAGATGAACGAGTTCAATAATGTTATCATTTAGACACCAGGCTTCTACTCCATACATAAGAATAGGAGTATCTTTTGCGTCCAATATTTTAAAATCCCAGTTCGGCCTGATTATGATCGTTGTACTGTCAGCACCATTCCCGTGGTCGTGAGATTCGGCACCAAGCCGTGACGGTGATACTTTTCAAAGCGGCGTTAAACTGACTGACTGACTGACTTAAACTTTCGAATCCTAATCAAGCGTTGATTCCACGAGAAGACAAAACAGTGCCTTGAGTGTCCATATATTGCCAAGGTACCCTCTTTTAGTGTGCCAGGGTCCGCCAAACGGTTTTTCGAATACCAGATACGCACTGATTATGACCCTTGGTCTGCCAGGCCTATTCCAGCTGTGCTGTAATAATGTTCAAAGCGGCGGTAATGCCCTTGCTAACAATAACCTTGTACTGGCAAAGAAGGCTATTCAGTTGGCCGGCGTACGCTCAGACAAAGACTAATACTGTGTATGATAAATATTGCAGAGCGTCTTGTCATGTCCATCAAGAGGCTACAATCAGATTATGTTATTTTTCATGGGTGATTCCATTACCAACAGGGGGTGATAGGCAGTAGTTTTGCTGTGAGCTCACCCAGACATGTTGTTGTTATAAGCTGTCAGACAAACGGGAGCTTCCCTGTGTGTCGCCTGACTACGTGAAGGGTGTTTACGGAAATATTTGCGTAAAATAAATTTACTCAATGACTTCTCTTGGTCAGCGAAATGGTTATGCATAGAAACGTTTCCTCTATCCAATACAGACACAATTGTTACAATCTTCATTTGCTAGAACGCCTCTGTGAGCTAGTGGACACAGCGTTTCCCTAGAAAGAAAGGTCGGTGGTTCGATCCCCGGCCGCGTCGTGCCACAAGACGTTAAAGGAGGTTACTTGTCTTAACCTTCCTGGCCCTCGGCTTTAGGGAACAAAACAAGGACTGGTTGGCTCGGAGCCAGTCTTCTGTGCCATGAGTAGAGTATCCATGTTAAACTGTGTGATGGTATCTCTGTGGGCTAGCACTAAAAACAACAGGCATTATTCCGTGCCCAATCGGAAGTTAAAGTTGCCCAAGTGACGTCGCGTAACTTCAAAGATACCTCATTAATTAATAACTGTAAGGTTTGATATTTACATGAAGCTGTAAATACGTCCAATTCATTTTCTATACATTTGCGTCTGTATTGAAAGTGCAGAAACAAAATCAAGTTTTTGTTTTTCTGAAATTGTATTGTCATTTCCTCGGGAATGGGTAATGTATCAATTTCACCATTGCTTCCGTCTATGTTAGTTTCCATTCTATGTCATATTCAGTAATTTGCGGCAATATGTATTCAGGTAGTTTCGATTGTCACGTGCCCTTTAAAATAAAGAGGGATTAATTTCAATTGTGTTTTGTTTGTTCGTTTGTTGTTTTGTAATGCTGCACTCAGCACTATTCCAGCTATATGACGGCAGTCTAGAAAGAAGTGAGTCTGGACCAGACTATCAGTTGATTAGCATCATGCGCTTGGATCCACGCCTGAGTGCTCACATGACATTTGTTTAAGTCTACCATTCGGTAATATATATCTGAATGTATGGAGTCTAAAAACAAGACTTTTAGCACATTATAACTTACAATTCATTAGCAGTTATGATGTAACCGGATTTGTTCAGACAAAACTTGACTGCATTGACTCTGTTAATATTCCTGGGTAGCAAATTCATAATTTTACTAGATCTCCAAACTGCCTTAATCGATCTTGGAAACATGTACCTCATAGATGCATACACAGTTGTGGTGAAATGGGGGTTTAACGTACCGTTAACAAATGATGTACTTATATTACAAAGTGCAAGTTGTGTGTGTGTGTGTGTGTGTGTGTGTGTGTGTGTGTGTGTGTGTGTGTGCTTGTACTAGTCCCAACTAATGCAGACTTTATAGTACTAGCCCAGTGAGATACCATGCCGCAGTTTAACATAAATACCCCACTCAGACGCAGTATCCGAGCCAACTGGTCCTAGCTCTGGTCGACTTATACACATCCTCAAATATTACTATGTGATAATTTACTTAAGTGATTTCAAAAATAAATTACTTAAAGTTTTGGTTAAAGGTAATAAAGGCATTGTTGAATAACCAAATCTCCATCCCCGAACGATCAGATGTGTTGTAAGTTCGACAAGCTTGTCCAAGTTGTATGCGTTGCGGTGTCAGTCATATTGATACGCTGACACGATTATTGTTAAGAAAAAGAAAAAGCATTGCTGATTTGTGTAAAGGTTAAAGTTTTTAGAAATTATCTTAATCTATTCTGACGGACGTGAACTAATTTATTAATTCTTGGGTAATATTTCCTCGTGCTATTTATGTAACTATGAGTGACTTACACTCTACCACCTCTGGTTCAACCACTTGCAGCATACCTACCACACCATGTGCCTGCCTATTCTACTCCTCGTGGTTCTACTAAACACCAGTGTTTGTAAGTATTTAAGTTTTGTAAGAATTTAGTTTCACAATGTTGATTTTACGATGTCATTGAATATTACAGCTTTTCGCGTTCATGCCCGCACTAGGAAAACTGTTAGCCCTATCGCTTAAGACATTCGAGGTCCGGATTCGTATCCCAGAAAGTGGACACAGTCTTAAGCAAATTCTTTGCTGTCCCCTGCTAATATTCCTAAATCACATGACCCTCACACGAGAAAAGGCACCGTTTCCATAAAGTCACCTCTGAATCTAAAACAAATGTTTGATTAATGTTACACGTAACAAGACCTCAGTAAATCTTTCAAACTGTTTTATAGAAGACTTGGTTTGAGCACGATTCCAGTTTCTAGGTTATAAGAATGCTACCGAAAAGGATTGATAACTTTTTATGTCGATATGTGTTTTCATATTTGCGGTTGTTATTGAGTATTCGATGCCCAGAAATTGCATCTCCTAAATTTGTATTCACTTTAAGTTTGTATGTATTGGAGAAAACACGCTTACGAGGTTTTGGTAGACAGATGCTCTGTCTACCAAAACCGAGGGAAAGTGTTTTTCCATACTAATAAACCGAAAAAAGAAACTTAAAACAACATTTATCAACATTTTTATGTTTCGAACATACTTTCCATGAACCTTAGGAAACGCGCGTAAAATATCTGTTGCTGGCGTACGGATCTTGAAAAGGACATTCTAAAAACCAGCTTATCAACACCTCTGTAGCCTCGTGGTACACTCACTGGGTTACAGATATGAAGGTTGCGAGTTCGATCCTCGGGAATATAAAGAAAACATTTGTCATTTGATTTTACATTTCATTACATGTTACAATCTGAACGGAAGTTACATTAATAAAATACCCAGGACATTATATACAATCACAGGGATATTATATAAAATCCCAGGGACATTACAACGTCCCTGTTTATGAGATTTAACCCGACTGGAAAGTAAAACCTCACAATAGGTTTTAATGCCTATAGAAAGAAGTCTCTTACTTAATAGCGATCCCAATGAATAGGTTTATAAAATGTGCGGTTGACTATCCCTGTGTCTTTATAGATGTCATCCACTCTGTACCGGGTGTTAATGAAAATGTCGAGAAGATTATCATATATCTCCGCTGAACTCTTCCCGAGCAAAAGATACTATTGAGCCCTCGCTGGGTAATGTATATAATGATCTTGTATAGAAGATAAGATGTGAGGTGAGGTGAAATGGGATTTAACGTCACGTCCTAGATTATTGCACTTATATATATATATAGTGTGTGTGTGCGTGCGTGCGTGCATGCGTGCGTGCGTGCGTGCGTGCGTGCGTGCGTGTGTGTGAATGTGTGTATGGTGCTTGTACTAGTCCGAAATGATTTATAGTGCTAGCCCACTGTCATACCATGAATACCCCATTTAGACACAGTATAATGACTTGTTAAAGCATTTCTCAAAGTGAGAAATTGATGCGTATTGTGTATATGATCGACAACATCAACAAACCATATCAACGGTTTGCAGTGATGAACGCCTTGACCCACTAGCATCCATGTTTAGCTTATTTGTTTAGCTTTGTTGTCTGAACTTAACTTTTATTTACACTCAGGCCGCATCAGCGGCATCAGAAATTAATTCAAAAACATAATGCATATACATTAAGTAGAACAGATACAAAGACATCTTTGCCGAGCATGCATTCATGCATGTTTATACAGATTCAGTAGGGTAGTAATATATATGCAATTAAATAAGAGGCAGAGTTACTTGATAGGTTAAAACAATGACATGATGATTTTACAGAATTTGAACAGGCTTTTCGATGTTCCTAATCGTGAATTATTGAAAAGCAAAATAATTTTATGTAGAAGGGTTGATGTAGTAGAATCTGTGTAAAAATGTATTCTTTCGTTTTATAAAGATGGACAAATAAACAAATAATGGAATTCATCAACTCAGCAATATTTGATAAATATGAGGGCGGCCTATAAACAATCGAGTGTGGACCAGACAATCCAGTGATATATATAATGAGCATCAATCCACGCCGTAGGGATACGATGTAGCGTATGACCACGTGAGCTATTAAGTCGCCCTAGCGTCGACGTAGCCATTTCTTCTTACTGTTAGTTAATGTTTTCTCTTTCAGATACTACATCAGCCAAGCCTGTGGAATCTAGAGGCGCTGCTGAAATTGACAAACCATTTACTCTACAATGTCGGAATAATTCGTCAACTTACGATGAACATAAAGACCAGGCTAAGAACTGTAATTGGACGAGAAATAACAAAATGATACTGGAGTCTAACACTAACTGCGTTGTGGAAGGATTTAAGCTGAAAATCCGCCGTTTCATTTGGAAAAGGGAACAGAGGTTTAATTGTTCCTGCATTCCCAACCTGAGTTACTCTTTCACAATTACAGCTGAACGTAAGTATTGATTCTTTGAAAGGAGATGTTTCGTGTGTGCCAGGATCCGCTAATTGTATTTTCGAATACAAGATTCGTACTCGCTCGCAGTCAGGATACTGCGTCTGAGTGGTGTAGCCATGTTAAACTGCAGTATTGTATCTCAGTGTGCTAGGACAAAAAAACAGGCGTCAGGCCGGACACACACACACACACACACACACACACACACACACACACACACCACACACACACACACACACACACACACACACACACACACACAAACCACACCCACACCCAAAGCACCCACCACACACCCAATGGGACGGAACTCGACACATTGCGGAAGTTGAGGGTTGTCCAACTTCAAAGATACCGATCATTAATGGGAAGGGACTTATTTGCACTGATTGCTTCATTTACAATTTGTCTATATATACACTGTAGTGCACCTTCTCTTCAATTACACTGTTAGCTTGTAGACCTTATCTGTTTTTTCAGGTGCCCCTCTTGTCAACGTTAACACCATGCAAAGACATAGTAGATCGGAAAGGATACACCTGAACCTAACAGCAAACCCCGAACCCCAAATCTTGAATTGGTATCGAATCTTGTACAGTGGAAGTGTGTCTGAAGTAGATCGCACAAGGAGTAGTTACAAACTGTTGCCCATCTCCGGTACATCCTACCAGCTGCAGCTAGACCATGTGGATGTGACGGAGAAGGATGCCGGGCTGTATAGCGTCATAATCTCCAACGTCAGGGGCCTCTACAGCTACAACTACAGCATTATTATTCATGGCAAGTGTGAGTTTGGTTTATCGCCGCTTTGAACTTACCCTATTTCAGTTATATGACGGCGCGTCAGCTTAAAGTGGGAAGCTCGAATTGATGCAAGTCTAAGACGTTTACCTCTTTGATGATGCCCACGTCAAAACTAAGAAACATTATCAGGGACAAACTGGGATTAAAAGCCACGATCATAGGTGTCTGACGGCTTCGACCCGTGCCCCCTTCGTCTGAGCCTTAGAATCTACTATGTACAGAAACCTCGTTAATCAAGACGGCACTGTTACCAGTGCACTGATTCGGATTAATACTTTTCAAGATTAATGTATCAAGGTGACGCAGAATACAGAAATCTTACCAGAACGGTATTTAAACGTTCCTAAATCATACGGATTAAACAATAGCCATGTTTCGGAAGAAACATCCCAGTTTTGGGACAGCAACCGTTTGTGAGGGGATTTGTGAAGCGTGTTTACCAAGTAGATATATCCCTGTTCTACAAGGTTTCAATATAAATGTAGTCAGTGTACATAATGATAAATAATTCACAATTTGTGTGGAAACTTTTAAACATATCATGCAGTTATTGATCAAATGAATTTTCAGTAAAGCTTATTTCTACTTTACTTATGTCCAATATTATTTGTCAATACTGGGGAGTTCGCCAGCATGTAATGTGCAGAGATGCATCCCTCGGTGGTACCAGCATTTTATGACCGTGGGTTTCAATATAGATGGACACAGCTGAGATCCGCATCACTTCCTTTTTTTCTCTCACCTCACGCTGAAGAGGTGCAATGTAACCGAAATACTGTAAACACGTTCACAGTGGTGTTAAACCAAAGCCACGTACACAGTTAACATCACCTCATTATACCACAGCCTGTTGAGCCAAACCCACCCACTCGTTCAGCCTATCATACTATATACCACACCAGCCTATATTTAATCATACACTAATTTGTTGTTCTTGTTTCCTTATTTATTGTTAGATGAAACAAACACGGGGAAACTTTTCTTCTCAAGTAAGTTGAACTTTGGACTCTTTGGCAATGGTTTGAAATAACATATTGATGTGTACATAGGAGTGTACGTATATATTCATTGCTCACTGAATAATGAAAAATTAAAACTTCAATTAATAATTGTGTAGACAGCAAAACATTTTTGTCAGGTTAGCTTGATGCTGTTTGAATGCCTGTTGGAATCAAAATCCAGTCACATTGTGTACTCATCCCAGCAGATGTACATCGCTTTTGGGTAAAATCTGTAATCTGTAGGCAGAACATGAAAATGAAATCCGGAAGATAAAGAAAAAGAAAGTCTGTTACGTCAAACGTCGGGACTATTAAACAATAGGACACTTTAAATCTTTAAGGCATAAAGGCTACTTATCATAATAGAAGGGATATATTATCCTGTATTCTCCTTTGTCTGTTCGTGCATAAAGAATGTATAACTTCTTTGGGTTATATTTTCAAGGACCACTTTACATCGGCGCTTTACTGGCATTGTTCTGTGGTGTCCTGAGTCTGATGGTGGGATGCTGTTTGATATATAGAGGTAGGAAAACCTGCTTTCAAACACCGCAGTTTATATATATCTGGTACTTTCTTAATCTAAAAACAACAAATTATTGCAAACCTGATATAAACATTCTGACTGCATGTACATTTCTGCTTTGTCAACAGGGCTAGGAAAGCGTGTAATGTCTAAGTATCGAGGGATATGATGTATACATTACATGTATTTCTGCTTTGTCAACAGGGCTGGGAAAGCGTGCAATGTCTAAGTATCGAGTGATATGATGTATACATTACATGCATTTCTGCTTTGTCAACAGGGCTGGGGAAACGTGCAATGTCTAAGTATCGAGTGATATGATGTATACATTACATGTATTTCTGCTTTGTCAACAGGGTTGGGGAAACGTGCAATGTCTAAGTATCAAGTGACGTATATTACAGGTAGAGCTGAGGATCCTGAAGCCATTGAAGGTAATAATAACACGTCTACCTCGATATATATATGTTTGTTTTATTTGTGATTGCGTTTTATCTTCTAAAAAACTCTTACCGCATCAAGTGACCGTCACCTCCGTCATCACTAGACAATACTAGCCGTATCCTCAGTATTATCAGTCACAGTCACCTCTGTCAGCGTTGTCACTGACCGTCAACTCTGTCAGCGAACCAAGCGTTATCGCTGACCGTCAACTCTGTCAGTGTATCAAGTATTATCACTGACCGCCACCTCTGTCAGCCCATATAGGATCAACACTGACCATAGCTCTGTCATCGGATTAAGGACTAGTACTGACTGTCACCTCTGTCAGCGCATCAAGGACCAACACTGAACACCACCTCCTTTAGCGCACAAAGGACCAACACCGAAAACCACCTATTTTAGCCCAACAAGGACCAACACTGAAAATCACCTCCTTTAGCGCACCGAGGACCAACACTGAACACCACCTCCTTTAGCCCATCGAGGACCAACACTGAACAACACCTCCTTAAGCCTACCAAGGACCAACACTGAACACCACCTATTTTAGCGCATCAAAGGCTTACACTGAACATCACCTCCATTAGCCCATCGAGGACCAACACTGAACACCACCTCTTTTAGCGCACCAAGGGCCAACACAGAACACCGCCTCCTTTAGCCCCCCAAGAACCAACACTGAACACCGCCTCCTTTAGCGCATTAAGGACCAACACTGAACACGACCTATTTTAGCGCATCAAAGGCTTACACAGAACACCGCCTCCTTTAGCCCCCCAAGAACCAACATTAAACACCACCTCCTTTAGCGCACCGAGGACCAACACTGAACATCACCTCCTTTAGCGCATAAAGGACCAGCACTGAACACCACCCCCTTTAACGCACAAAGGACCAACACTGAACATCACCTCCTTTAGCGCACCGAGGACCAACACTGAACACCACCTCCTTTAACGCACGAAGGACCAACACTGAACACCACCTCCTTTAGCGCACAAAGGACCAACACTGAACACCATCTCCTCTGGCGCACCAAGGACCAGCACTGAACATCACCTCCTTTACCGCATAAAGGACCAGCACTGATCACCACCTCCTTTGGCGCACAAAGGACCAACACTGAACACCACCTCCTTTAGCGCACCAAGAACCAACACTGAACACCACCTCCTTTGGCGCACGAAGGACCAACAATGAACACCACCTCCTTTAGCGCACCGAGGACCAACACTGAACATCACCTCCGTTAGCCCATCGAGGACCAACACTGAACACCACCTCCTTTAGCGCACGAAGGACCAACAATGAACACCACCTCCTTTAGCGCACCGAGGACCAACACTGAACACCACCTCCTTAAGCCTACCAAGGACCAACACTGAACACCACCTATTTTAGCGCATCAAAGGCTTACACAGAACATCACCTCCATTAGCCCAACGAGGACCAACACTGAACACCCCCTTTTTTAGCGCATCATAGGCTTACACAGAACACCGCCTCCTTTAGCCCTCCAAGAACCAACATTGAACACCACCTCCTTTAGCGCACCGAGGACCAACACTGAACATCACATCCTTTAGCGCATAAAGGACCAGCACTGAACACCACCTCCTTTAGCGCACAAAGGACCAACACTGAACATCACCTCCTTTAGCGAACAAAGGACCAACACTGAACACCACCTCCTTTAGCGCACCGAGGACCAACACTGAACACCACCTCCTTGAGCGCACCGAGGACCAACACTAAACATCACCTATTTTAGCGCATCAAAGGCTTACACAGAACATCACCTCCTTTAGCCCATCGAGGACCAACACTGAACACCACCTCTTTTAGCGCACCGAGGACCAACACTGAACACCGCCTCCTTTAGCCCCCCCAAAACCAACACTGAAGACCACCTCCTTTAGCGCACAAAGAACCAACACTGAACATCACCTATTTTAGCGCACCAAGGACCAACACTGAATACCACCTCCTTTAGCCCCCCCAAGAACCAACACTGAAGACCACCTCCTTTAGCCCACCGAGGACCAACACTGAACACCCCCCATTTAGCGCACCAAGGACCAACACTGAACACCACCTCCTTTAGCGCACCGAGGACCAACACTGAACACCGCCTCCTTTAGCGCACCAAGGACCAACACTGAACACCGCCTCCTTTAGCGCACCAGGGACCAACACTTAACACGACCTCCTCTAGCGCACCGAGTACCAACACTTAACACCACCTATTTTAGCGCATCATTGAACAACACTGAACACCACGTATTTTAGCGCATCAAAGGCTTACACGGAACATCACCTCTTTTAGCGCACCAAGGGCCAACACAGAACATCACCTCCTTTAGCGCACCAAGGACCAACATTGAACACCACCTCCTTTAGCGCACCGAGGACCAACACAGAACACCACCTCCTTTAACGCACCAAGGACCAACACTGAACACTCTCTCCTTTAGCCCACCGAGGACCAACACTGAACATCACCTCCTTTAGCGCACCGAGGACCAACACTGAACACAACCTCCTTTCGCGCATCAAAGACCAACAAGACAGTTTCGGTTGTGCAAAGGATAATTCTGCACTTTCTACAAAGTATTAGTCTGTATTTTATAGACAAACATATTGCTATTTCGTATGAAGTGCTCAGACATAAAGAAAGTTATTCACTAACCACTCAGACATGCATGGAATTGGGGTAGACTTCAGTAAGTATTACATTTCTGTAACATTTACAAAATGACTCCAAACCTCTCCATAGAAAGACAACGATAATTTCTTTTGCAGATCACCCTGGATCAGAGTGGGACTCTGAAAGCCTCAAGGCCCCCAGGAGTGCTGTGTCGGAAGGAGTCACAGACGACTGCATATATGAGTTGAGAGACTATGAGTTGCCACTGAATGTACATAATAAGACGCATTAACCACAGAGATGAAAGATACAACGTTGACATTACTCAGGGTAGAGAAAGAAGTTTGGGAATCAGTTCTTTATCAGCGTAATGTTGGAGGAAACCCCGAATGGATGCAGATCTTAGACGTTTACCGCTCATGTGCAACCCACCAGCACGAGTACGTTATTAATGCGAATCTGGGATTCAAACCCACTATCATTGGTTTCTAGCGCTGAGACCAATGGGACGTTCGACAACTAGGGCAGGGGCACGTGTGACTCCTGTAGACAGATAGAAAGTAGCGTCAATCTCATACTGTGTAAATAGAATGCAAATGGATAATGTTAGATGATACAAGAATTTTACATTAAGCATGTATATACAAGTCTACTGTTTAGATGGGTTAATGGAAACGAAATTGCGTAGTGAGACGAAATGCAAAATGAATTCCATGTGGTGTTTTGTTTGTTGTTTAACGCCGCACCCAGCAATATTCCAGCTATATGACGGCGGTCTGTAACTAAGTCTGGACATGATAATCCAGTGATTGACATCATGAGCATCGATCCACGCAATTGGAATACCATGACATGAATGAACCAAGTCAGCGAGCCTGACCACCCGATCCCGTTAGTCGCCTCTCACGACAAGCATAGTCGTCTTTTATGGCAAGGGTGGGTTGCTGAAGACCTATTCCACCCCGATCTTCACGAGTGCCCATATGTGTACATAATATGAATGATAATATGAATAGTAACATTTGATGAATAATAACATGGATGATAACATGATATGAATAATATAATATTATATAAATACAACGAGAATACTATTCATTGTATATAGATCAATTCTGTATTGTGTAGATAGAACAACTGCCGGAATCGCGGGAAATATAGATAGTATTATGCACCAATTTCAGAATACCATCGTATTGAATTTGTAGAACACATGCCCATCATTATCAGAATAAAGTTGTCATGAAATGACCATAGTACTTGAGAGATGTTTTCCACAATGAGTACCACATGCTGGTCACTTGTCATAACCTGAAAAGCATGCGTGGGGTATCCATTGTAAATTGCGACTTGGTTTCTCAGTGGGCGAGGGCTAAAAAACGGCATGAGTCCGGACATAGTACAAGCAACCACACACACGTGCATGCACTCCCATCTCGTTGCCACCACTCAAAATTTGAGTGAAAGTGAATGTGAAAGAAGCGGCCCAAATATATGCTTAATACGAAATAAGCCTTCACTGAGAAAGAATATAAAAATAACTCTTGACGGACTTGTAGTGTGATGAGTGAGTGAGTGAGTATGGTTTTACGCCGCTTTTAGCACTATTCAAGCTATATCACGGCGGGCGACACCAGAAATGGGCTTCACACATTGTACCCATGTCGGGAATCGAACCCGGGTCTTCGGCGTGACGAGCGAACGCTTTAACCACTAGGCTACCCGACCGCCCCTGTAGTGTGATGAAATCGAAACTGACGTATATTGTTAAACTCAACAATCGTCATGGCTATGCATTAAAAAAAACATATATTCGTTTAATATATCATTTTTTCCGAATTCCAGTAAAATATTTCGTAGGAATATGATTACATATATTGTATTCAAAATCATGTTTCTGTGCAAGTGTACGCTGAACGTCGTATTCGGCAATGTTAGTATTATTGTAAACTGCCTGGTAGTAGATTTCAGATTAATTGAAATGATCGAATATTGATCGAAAGGTCCAAACGACCATGCAATCGATCGCGATTTTCTTTAATCGATTTTGTTCCACCCCTCACGTTTTCAAATGTCTAAAAAGAAGAGATTATACAATATATTGTGTCGGTATTTCAAACCCGGAAATAGTACTATTTCTTGAGATGCTCTATTCACTATTTACTACTTAATACTTGGAGGAAAAGGTGAGAAGGAGTGAGGTCAACGTCTATTATCTTAAATACAGTGCTGAAGAAAGTATTTGTTTTTGTTAGTTGGGATCTAGTTTTACTGAACTTGACCTAGAAAACAACACAACTCACTCACTCACTCACTCAACATTCAGTGTATAAGTAGACTAACGGGGCATCGAATACCACTATCCAAACACCATATCAATCTCAATAGGCTGCTGTTTCCAAAACTTGTTTTATAAGATGTTATATGCAGTTATCAAATAGGGAAGTTATTATTTCCGTCACATATTGACCGAGTGTTGGGGAAGGTTTCACATTAAATTGCAATCTGGTTTCTTGCATGTGTAAGTAACTCATTGACGTTAGTTAAACTTGACTTTGTGTGTGTTATCTTGACATGCTTAGTCAAACTGAAAGCATGGAGAGAATCATGACCAGTGTTTACAATGCGACGTGTCAGGGAGGGCTTCATGTGTTTCCTGTTTAGGTAATAGATGATACTAACAGAAACATTGCATACCAAAAGGAATATATTTTGTTATTGAGTATTTGTCCATTTTCTGTGAACCTTATTTTGATACATGTAAATACATAATAGTGAGTGAATGAGTTTACTTTTACGCCGCTTTTAGCAATATTCCAGCAATATCGCGGCGGGGGACACCAGAAATGGGCTTCACACATTGTACCCATGTCGGGATTCGAACCCGGGTCTTCAGCGTGAGGAGCGAACGCTTTAACCACTAGGCTACCCGACCGCCCCAAATACATAATACATGTAAATACATAATACATGTAAATACATAATACATGTAAATACATAATAGTGGCTGTGCATAACACTGCAGGATAAGCAAGTGTTACTATTAATATAAATGACAATTGAGACACAGCCATTAATTCGAATATATAAACACCAAAAAGTACATACGCTAAAGAATATAATGAGTAAAAATAATAAAATAAATTGGAATAAAGTTTAAAAATTTCATAAATATACTGTATAAACTTAGGGACGTGAATGAACGTGTGTTTGTGTGTGGCTGCTTGTACTTGTCCGGACTGATGCCCTCTGAGATACCATGCCGTAGTTTAACATGAATACCCAACTCAGACACAGTATAATGACTGCAAGTCGACAACTATTTTTTTTAGCCGAGCGCCAGGAAGGATAACAACAAGTATAATCTTTTTAACGTCTTTTGATATGACGGGGATCGAACGGGGATCGCTCAGCGGGCGGACGCACTACCACTAGACCACGGAGGCGGTCAACAAAACAAATAACTTGACAATACCAGGTACAAAAAAAAAGTAGAGATAGTAGAACTAGGTACTGATTTCTCGCTGACCTTCCCAGTTCTAATTCAAAATAGTACCACATGTCTCAGGGACACCAATTATTGTATCATTTGTCATAAAATGAGATCATAGGAGGAAATTATTTCTGAAACAGGAATATTTAGTTACGTTCAATGTTAAAGGAAGGATGCCCCCCCGGGTCAGTTTACTGAGGATTTCTCCATTTTCTCTGAAATTTCGTCAACTCCCACTATGAGTCAGGTTCCAAACAACAGGACCGCCATTACTAGACAACCTGTGTCTGTGTCTATAAAGTCGCAGTAAACAATATTACAGCTGTATCATGGTAACCTGTTACTGATAGAGTTTGGGTCAGACAATCAGGTATTGATACCATAGGATGCGATGACAAACAATCAACCAGATCGTCAAGCATCACCACCCAATCCACTAAAGGGGGTCTTCCCACTTGTCCACGTGGTGAAGGGGCGGTCGGGTAGCCTAGTGGTTAAAGCGTTCGCTAGTCACGCCGAAGCCCCGGGCTCGATTCCCTACAAAGGTACAATGTGTGAAGCCCATTTCTGGCGTCCCCAGCCGTAATATTGCAGGAATATTGCTAAAAGCGGCGTAAAACCATACTCACTCACGCCACGTGGTGAATGTCAAAACAATAGGAATTAAAGGGAACAACTCATTGGATATTGTTCACTTCTTAATAACTGCTGGACAATTCATTAAAGTTTACACAAAAAATTATGTTTTTAAAGTGCTTCAAGTTAGTTGTCGGCTTATCTCAATTTTAAAGGGTTGCTGTAGCTGTTTAGGGCTATAACTTGGTTATAAAGACCATTTTTATCAAGATCATTTTTATATTGGTCGCACAATGTAAACAATAAAAATACATTGTTACAAAAACAAGAAGAGGAGGAAAAGGAAATAACATTAATTCACGAATAAAGGCCACATGCTTGATACACACAGTGTGCATATGCACTCGTAATCCTATATAATCATATTCTTTATATAGATTCTTTAATGGTAGGTGAATTCTGAAAGGTCTACAAAATAATATATGGGGATTAATTTTCCCCTGTTATTTGTAAAATGTCCAAATTAACAGAAAATGATAACTCATATCTATTTCTGAAAGGTTTCAAAGCAAATGGAGACCAAAGCCGTATGCTTAAATTAAGTCCCTTTCAGTACGCCAAGAATCGTATCCCGTTTCCAGTATTTGTAGGAGAATACATGTCAAGTAGTTCACACAAATATATAATGTTTATCAATATCAAAATTCTTAAAACGTATAAATAGATAAAGATCATGCGAATATATACAATAAAAGACGCCAATACTAGAAAATAACCAGTCTTGATGATTTTGCAACGGAGCGGATTCCATTGGACATGAAAGGCAAAATATCTGTGAAAATTATATTGATGGATCACTGAAAATCAGTGATAAAAATCGAAATTTCTGGTTATTCCAATTATTTGTTTATTTTCTCGGAATTTCGATTATATTTTCCGAATTTCAAGTATTTTCTCCTAACTTCAACTTTTTCTCTCGTAATTTCAATTGTTTTCTCGTTATTTTAAGTTTATTTTTAAAAAAATCGACATTTCGATTTTTTTCTCGCTGCTTCAAATGTTTAATCGTTATTTCAATTACTTACTCGATGCTTCGAGTTTTTTTTATCGTCACTTAATTTCTCATTATTTCAAGTTATGTCAAAAAAGATACATGAAGTAAATAGAAAACAATCGTAATTACGAGAAAAAATTCGAAGTAAGCAGAAAAAAGTCGAAGTATCGGGAAATAATTGAAACAACAAGAAAAAACCTCGTAATTTCGAGAAAATGATTGAAATATCAAAGTAACGAGAGAAAAATCGAAGCAACAAGATAATAATAAAAATAACGAGAAAATAGTCGAAATAACGAAAATATAATCCAAGCAACGAGGAAAAATGAGAAATTTCGAGTTTTTTAGATAAATGTGAAATAACGAGAAAACACTCGTTATTTCGAGAAAATAATTGAAGTAATTTCGATTTAAAAAACAACAACAAATTAGTGCTACCAAAGTGGCACACATAGGCTTTCATAGGAATGCCCCCTAATTTAGTCTCCTCTTTCGACCAAACAATAGCATGCTGGGGACTTATCCTTACCTGGGTCCCCATTGACAAAAAGGATAAAAACTGATCTTACATCGCCTACGTCGATATATCGAGTTGAGGTAGTTCGAGATGACTTTCTTACGTCAAACTGACTGTATTCCTTGTTTGATCAAGGTTACAACATTCAAGGCCTCAGTGAAGCTTTTAAAAAGTTTCACGGTAGACATGTGGAGTACACCCAAATTTGACACATCAGTGACAAGAATGGTGTCCGATGTAATTCCCTATTTTGAATTGTACAATATGGTCTCTTGTTTTTGTTAAGTGAACAACTGACTTGCCTTTGTATGTTTTGTGACAGGTGCCATCGCTTGAGCTGGATACGCTTACCTTTTCGCGTCCACCTGGTGTCATCACTATTTGATTGTGATTCATAAACATATGCTCATGGTAGAGGGGGCGGTCGGGTAGCCTAGTGGTTAAAGCGTTCGCTCGTCCCGCTGAAGACCCGGGTTCGATTCCCGACATGGGTACAATGTGTGAAGCCCATTTCTGGTGTCCCCCGCCGTGATATTGCTGGAATATTGCTAAAAGCGGCGTAAAACCATACTCACTCACTCACTCACTCATGGTAGAGTCGGAATCGTACAATCGACTATGCTTTCGGCAGAGATTTCTTATGAATATGTTAAGTTTTTTATTGCTTTTATTCAAGACACTTTGAATTACTTGTCGATAAAGTCACTCGAAATACTTGTGGGTTAATACGATTTCACTTCTGAAACTGGCATCCATGTTGGAATCAGGGTAAATGAAGATCTCCTGTATCTCCCCCAAAAAACATAACTGACAATATAACTTTAAATGTTTTATGGAAACATATATTTGCGGCTGTTTTTAGTTGAACAATTGACTTGCCTTCGCATGTGTTCGTGAAGGGTGTCAGCGGTGAAGCTGGATACGTTCATCTATTCGCGAACACCTGGTCTCATTAGCATTCTCTTCAGTAAACGGGGGGGGGGGGGGGGGGATTCTATTTATCATACAGTTGTCTATTTTCTCTGCAGTGTTTTATTGTATGGTACTCAAGACAACTAACTCTCATAAATAACGACGTCGAATTTACGTCATTAACCTGCGAATCTCAAGAAATGACGTTTTATTATACGATGATAATGTTGATATCTCATATGAGAAATATACAAATCTCACTCGTCGTAGGAGAGATTTACGTTTCAAGGTTTCACATTTGTAATGAAATAATTTCATTTTCCGGTAGACACCAACACAAAAAGTGAAATATCATTTTTCTCTCATCTCGAGACATTTTCGTCACTATTTCATTGTAGCGATATTTCCGAGAAAAGATCGCTTGATCTCACCCAAGCGATATCTCACGTAGAAGCCAGTTTTGGATAATCAAAAAGTATCTCTTGAAGTAGTGTAACAAAAATATTTATCCCCGATTTTCTTGATTAGTCAATGGTCGGCCACTTATCAAAACGAAAACCAGCGCTAACTACTTGAGTCCAATGTCGGCGGTGGTGATTAAGCTAATGTCATTCATACACATCCCCAAGGTCAGTACGATCTGCTTCCGTGTACTGATGGTTTCCGTTAGAATATCTGGTTGTCGCATAATACTTCCCTGTATTATATATGTATACTACATTACACGCATCTGACATGCGAATACTAACAGAAAGCATGCCGGTAGTATTTGCATATCGAAACTAGAATCGCGTTGTGTTACAGTTGCTGTGAAGTCAACTGGATGTCCCAGAATCGAGTAGGCTAACACCGGGTATCAAGATGTGGTTACACATCTTCGTCATATTGTCTGTCCATGCAACCGATGCTTGTAAGTAGTCATTTTCAAATTTCAGGAGCTGTAATTTAAGCACATTTTTAAAAGTATTGTAAAATATGCGCAAAAAAAACATGATAATCTTTGTTGAATAATTACTTTGTGAAAGATCTCTGATGGTTTAGCTTAAACTTTACATGTAGATGAATTTGAGTACCTTTCTCCAAATGTAAATATAAAGAAAAATTGAAAACAGATATAGTTATGTTGAACATAAATTGGAATATGAATCCTTGAAATAGTATATGCCGGATTATATCGACAAGATGATTGAAGCAACATGTGACACAGACTGCATTGTAATTATATTTTTCAGATAACATTTTTGCAAGAGTTGGGGAAGACCTCAGTGCAGTTTTAGAGTTTCCTTCTTCAAATTTGTTGTATGCCCTGAGCCCGTCTGATGAATACCTGTGCGTTATAATTCGGAACATAACGACAAACTATGGTGACAGGTTCATCTATAGCAACTCATCTGAGGGTCGAGTGCATCTTTCTGTAACCAGTGTGAACACATCCGATGCAGGTGTCTACAATTGGACAGAAGCGTCACCAAACAATATTTTTGGCACAATCTTTACATTGTTCGTGATAGGTAAGTCAATTCAACGTGTTTATATAATGCTTATTAAGCATATCCTGCTCAATGTCAACTTAATTATGAATGTTGGTACACGTTATGTAAAGATAATATTGTTGGCTCTTAATCGGGTATACATTATTAGAGTGAGTGAGTGAGTGAGTTGGGTTTACCGCTGCTTTAAACATTATTACAGTCATATGACGGCGTGTCAGCTTAATGTGGGAGGAAAGCCAGAAGTGATGCAGGTCTCAGACGTTTACCACTTCGGTGAAACACACGAGCACGGGTATGGTGCTGACAAACCTAGAAACATAATCGGGGCGAACCGGGATTCGAACCCACAATCATAGGTTTCTGGCGTGCCTAGGGGACGCAACTCTGCAAAGCGAATCGCGCCGCCTTAGACGACTGGGCCGCCCGTGCCCCCGCATTATTAGATTTACAGAAAGCAATATAGGTTCCTTGACCTAAACTTTGACAAACTCTAGCAAATTGTTAACTACTAACGTTTTCAGTACTACCTAAACTGACACAATCTCTGTGCAAACATTGTTTTCGTTCAACAATTTAGTCTAGGTATGTTTAGATCAACAATAGATCTTTAATCTGACGGCACCGATGGTCCAGTGCCTAAGACCCCATCCACAACTGGCTTGATTCGCCCCAATTGCTAGTTTATAACGACAGGGAAAGTGACTGTTCCCCATTATTCTCATTCCTATCTTCGTTTCGAACGACAACCATGGGGTACGAGGGATTCATTCGCACCCGGAATGCAGTTTATAAATGATTGTGATAGTCAATTTTGTGACCACCCGTTCCTCACTTCGGTTCGTACGACAATCATGTAGTGCTGGTAATTTATTTTCGCCCGGAATCCCATTGATAATGATAGTGAAATATGTGACCACTTGATTCTCAACTTCGGTTCGTACGACAATCATGTAGTGCTGGTGATTTATTCTCACCCGGAATCCTATTGATAATGATAATGAAATTTGTGACCACTTGATACTCAACTTCGGTTCGTTCGACAATCATGTAGTGCTGGTAATTTATTCTCACCCAGAATCCAATTGATAATGATAGTGAAATTTGTGACCACTTGATACTCAACTTCGGTTCGTTCGACAATCATGTAGTGCTGGTAATTTATTCTCACCCGGAATCCCATTGATAATGATAGTGAAATTTGTGACCACTTGATACTCAACTTCGGTTCGTTCGACAATCATGTAGTGCTGGTGATTTATTCTCACCCGGAATCCCATTGATAATGATAGTGAAATTTGTGACCACTTGATACTCAACTTCGGTTCGTTCGACAATCATGTAGTGCTGGTGATTTATTCTCACCCGGAATCCCATTGATAATGATAATGAAATTTGTGACCACTTGATACTCAACTTCGGTTCGTTCGACAATCATGTAGTGCTGGTAATTTATTCTCACCCAGAATCCCATTGATAATGATAGTGAAATTTGTGACCACTTGATACTCAACTTCGGTTCGTTCGACAATCATGTAGTGCTGGTGATTTATTCTCACCCGGAATCCCATTGATAATGATAGTGAAATTTGTGACCACTTGATTCTCAACTTCGGTTGGTACGACAATCACGGAGTTGTGAGGACGTATTCTCATCCAGAATCCAGTTTATAAGCATTTGGACTCTTCTCCACCAGTCAACTGATTAATCAATTCATACTTTGTTTTGGCTGAAATGCTATTTCTGAAAGGTTGCGTGAAATGCAAACCGAGTCACTCTCTCGTATTCATTTTTGCAATACAGTAAAGTACGATTAAAACGAACTCGGGACAACTGATTTTAGTTCGATATAACCGTAGTTCGTTTTAAGCATATGTACAGCATATATACAGCAAATGGCCGGGAACAAAAATATGTGTGTTATATCCGTCAGTTCGTTATAAGCGTGTTCGTTATAAACGTTTGCTGTAACTCGTTAACATATGACTTTTCAGATACACCAACAACTCCCATCGTGGAAGCCTATGGCACTGCTCTTCTTTACGAGCCCTTAACCCTGAAGTGTTTATCGAATTCATCGACTGTACCTGGCAATCACAATCTCAAAATGACGTATCGCTGGGAAAGGAATGAAGAAATGTTAGTAAGCGATGGTGACTCAACATTAGAGATAAAGAACTTTACGTGGGTGAAAGAACAGACGTTTACGTGTGTCTCAAAGGAACATGGAGTCTCTTCGCAGGAGGGTGTCAGTTCAATCACAGCTGAACGTGAGTAAACTTTCATTACACAGTATTATACGAGTCGATCCATTCAAGTACACACAACGTGCATATACAATGGCCATGAATGTTATTTGTTTGCTCAAAAGTTGCGATGCAATCGTATCAGTAGACGGTCTGTTTAATTACTGTAATGATAGATGTACAGATTAACACGCACGCTCGCACGCACGCACGCACGCACGCACATACATACATACATACAGGGAATATGTCAAATCCGAGAATATGTATAATCCCTGAAATACCTGAATAATTCATGTTAATGAGGTTATTTCAAGATACTAAGTTGAAATTTCAAGATACTAAGTTGAAATTTCAAGATACTAAGTTGAAATTTCAACTTCTTGAAATAGAAGTATAGTATCTTGAAATTTCAACTTAGTATCTTGAAATATCTTGAAATTTCAACTTAGTATCTTGAAATTTCAAGATACTATCGAAAAAAACAAAAAATACAAATGGCCCTAAAAGGCTGCCGTACCTATAGGTTCAATGTTTCACACTCTGTGATTAGTATACTACATAATATATTATTTCTTAAACTAGGGGCACCAAATGAAATCAGGCTGACTCCTAATGAGATACGCTTCGTGAAAGAAGAAGGAGAGTCTATAAGTATTAAGTGCAGGAGCATGACTGGCTGCTTCCCACGCTGTAAAACAACATGGACGCATAACAGACGTGTTCTATCCAAAAGAAACACGCTGACAATTAAACAGCTTGTCCGCAGTGACCAGGGAAACCACACGTGTCAAATGAAGAATAAACGTGGACAGACGAACAAGGTTGTACAGATTTATGTCGAATGTAAGTAGTTACATTATAAAATGTCAAACGGTCTACTTTTAATCATATTTCGTAAAAAGTTGAATATATTCCATTTTATGTTGGTCCCAAGAAATACGAGAAGGTCAATTATATGTTTGGGATGACATACCATGTAGTTTTTGTTGTTGTGTTTGTTGTTTAAAGCCCCACTCAGCAATATTATAGCCATGTATATATGATGACGGCCAGTAAATTATTGAGTTGGAGCCAGACACATCAGGGTTTGACTACGACCAACGGGGTACAATAACTCACCGGGTCGTCCAACCTCACCACCCGACCCATCATCATACGGCAAGGACCTAATCTAACCGATAAGCCAAACGGGGAGTAACTATCGTTTACAGATACTTGCCTCTCATTATTTTACCTTTCTTGAAGTGTAAACAAAACTTAAGCCTCTATTGAATGACTGAAGCATACATCTTCAACTAGAGACCCAGGGGAGCATTTATAACAGAATATTGCAATCATATTTGCACCATGCAATTACCTCGAAGTACATATATATTTCCGTTAATATGTCTTTCAAGACGGACCGGAAGCTGCCAATATCCATCATGAGGAGAACACAACTCTAACTCCGCTTGGCTCATCCGTCACTCTAACCTGCAATGCTGACTGCAGACCCCCCTGCCAATTTGACTGGTCAGTGGATGGTAGGCGCAAGGCCTCGGGGGAAACTTTGCATATTAGTAAAGTTCATCGAAACGAGACTGGCAATTACGCATGCAGGGCTTGGAACCCGCGTGGCGAAGCAAACGCAACATTTCAGCTGATCGTCAAATGTAAATAGTTGTGTGATTTTAAAATAGTTCTTAATGTAATCTCAAAATGAAAATCGAGTCCAAAATGTATTTCATATGATGTTTTGATATCGCATGAAAAAGTTTAATATCAGAATAAACATACATATATCACATGTGAATTGGTGACATTTAATCAAACGTAATGCATAATATTTAATGGATAATGCATAATTCCTCACTTGAGGAAATATTTTAAGTAACAAGCTCATGACATTTTAACATACAAAATATCCTTATCAAGGAAACATTTAAAAACGCATTATAGGTACACACATGTGCATGAATACAAATGGCAAGTTGTATGTCATTACAGATCTTTCAGAAATATCAGTGGCTGCAACTGACACCACGCCAACAGCGGGTTCCAAAATCCGTTTGACGTGCATTGTCGACAGCTTGCCTCCGCCCAACGCCACATGGTTGAGAGGCAATACACTCCTGTCCAGTCGGATGCTATCTGTCAGTGAGGCTGTTATTCAAGTCGACTCTTCATCTAACACGCCGACTCACAACTACGCCTATAGTTACTACATTGACAATACCAAATGTCTTGGAAAAGTCACCTATACCTGTGCTGTCACCAATGGGGTTGGTTTGAAAAGGTCAAAAAACATTGACATCGACTTTATGTGTGAGTATAGAATAAAAATAGCTTTGGCCATTAATACACCTTGTAAACAAAGTTAAGCACATGCCTTGTTTAGGGTTTTGTGTATTTTTTTAAATATCTAAAATGTTATTACAAGGACATTGTATGTTTCTCCGAATGGTCCAAGTACTCTGTCACACAAAGTGATGCAAAAATGCTGAGGTTTTGGTTGGTTGCTTGGTTTGTTGTTTAACGCCGCACTCAGCAATATTCCATCTATATGACGGCGGTGTGTAAATAATCAAGTTTGGACCAGACAATGCAGCGAACGCAGAGGAACTACTAGAAGAAAAGAAGTCGCATAACTATTGCCTTGACAGATAAAACAAGTCAGTGGAGGATCGGTTTCCGGTTTCTGCATTTCTTGAAACAAGTATGCCTGTCATTTTGTAGTTAAAAACAAATGTTATTAGAAATAAATAGAAAATTAATACAGGATATGTTTCATGTTAACAAATAGCTATATATATATATATATATATATATATATATATATATATATATATGTGTGTGTGTGTGTGTGTGTGTGTGTGTGTGTGTGTGTGTGTGTGTGTGCGTGCGTGCGTGCGTGCGCGCGCGCGCGTGTGTGTGTTGGTTAATTGTTTTCTATGAGTACATTTGAGACCATTTCAAGATAAAACAGTCTTCTGTCGGATTAGAAATGTGTTTTGTTTCAGGTGCTCCATTTGTCAACGAACCCAAAGGAGTCGAGGCAAGTATCTTTTACAGACCCGCCGATAAATCTGATAAAATACACTTCAACATAACAGCCAATCCAAAACCAACTTTCATCTGGTCTCGATCCCTTCAAAATGGTAACCCGGAACACAAGACCGCAAAAAGTATTAACAAGCTGTCCGGGTCATCCTACCAACTGGAGCTAGTTCACCTGGACGTCCAGGAGAAAGATGCTGGGAACTACATCGTGAAGCTCAACAACTCCCTCGGCAAATACGACATCAACTACACACTAATCGTTCAAGGTATTACGTAAGGTCAAGCGTACGGTAAAGACTGTAAGTGTAGATCGTCAGTCTTTCACGTGAAAAGACTTTCCTCCACATTTCCTAACTATCTTATTTACTTGCAAACTCTAAACTGATAACCCAGTTTAGACCCTAATGATAAATTACTCCCGCTAATGGGCATTTTAGTCAATAAATAGTAATATTGTTTAGTTAAGATTATTTTCTACTCTGATATACTTTACGGGGGCACGGATGGCCAAAATCTCTTGTGCAGAATTGCCTCCCTTTGGTGTGCAAGAAACCTGTGATCTTGTGTTCAAATCCCAGATTCCCCTAATTATTAGCATTGATTTATCAGCACCATACCCGTGCTCGTGCCTTGCACCAAAATGATAAACGTCTAAGACATGCGTCACTTCAGGTTGAACTCCAAAACGACTCTTTCACTCACTTCATTCAGTACCACCGTCCCCACCCACCAACCTGACGGAGGTGAACGTCACACAGACCACCGTCACGCTGTCGTGGCTCCCAGGATTTGACGGCCATGCAGTCCAAACCTTCAAGATCTCCTGTCGCCGTGGAACCAGAGAGCCGGAAACAACTGAAACGTCCTCTACCTCGTTGACGTTATCTGAGTTAAATAGCGACGTAACCTACTTCATAAGGGTACAGGGAGTCAATATAGCTGGCGAAGGAAACTACTCAGAGGAACTCGTCGTCGCCACACTAGAGAACGGTAACAAAATTACTACGTTTGTTGGGCCATGTTATATTTTTACATTCTTTGTTTTCGGATTGTTTGCAAACTATATGGTTGATTTTAAATAAACTTATATTGACAAGAAGCGTACAGAATAGGGGACAAGTTCTGCTGACGCTGTAGACGAGACATTGTATATTTGAGGAGAGAGAGAGAGAGAGAGAGAGAGAGAGAGAGAGAGAGAGAGAGAGAGAGAGAGAGAGGGTTGGGGTCGACATGGGGTGAATACGAAGTTTCATTCTAGTTAATAGCAATGTACTTTGTGATTATTACATCATATCGTTTGTATCAAGGATTCTTTCGTGAAATCAGATGGGAAAAGTAACATATATGAGTTGTATGAATTGTATGTATGGGGATTGCATTGGATTCAGCTTGTGTTGTGTAACCTTTTGTAACCTTCTGTGTTGCAAACTAACTTAAAGTAGTCGACGATATTTTTGAATGAAGTGAAGCACAGAACCACTTTTCTCCTATTGTGTTTCTCATCCTCTTTTCATTCTTTAGGGGCGACGGAATCCGTTGACCAATATAAACCAGCGTCGCCTCATATGAGTCATGTTATCGATGTCGTGTATCAAGGAAGCTTGAAGTGTGTCATGTATGTGTGTATGTGGTACGATGGACGACATAAGTGTTTGTGTGACGGTTTTGAATAGCGATTACATGGATTTCGTGTGATGTCGTTGGTGTGTTGGAGTCATAACATATATAGACATTGTCTCGTCCATAATTAATGTGATGCTGGTTGGTTGATTGGTTGGTTGGTTCGATGTTTAACGCCGCACTCAGCAATATTGCAGCTATATGACGCCGGTCTGTAAATAATCGAGTCTGGACCAGACAATCCAGTGATTGATATCATGAGCAACGATCCACGCAATTGGGATCAATGACATGTATCAACCAAGTCAGCGAGCCTGACCACCCGATCCCGTTAGTCGCCTTTTACGACAAGCATAGTCGCCTTCTACGGCAAGCATGGATTGCTGAAGACCCATTCTACCCCGGATCTTCACGGGTCTAATGTGATGCTAAATGAGTAACCTTTCCCTGAAACGAATGTCAATGTGTCCCGATTGTCATGGTCAACCGAAACTATTTTTACATTTTAAAAACAAGGTCGTTGGAAACGTCCTAGTTTCGTTTTCTGAAGCACGTGTTAGCACGCGGCTGTTATAAGGGGGGGAGGGGGGGGGGGGGGGGGGGGGGGGGCGATCGGGTAGCCTAGTGGTTTAAGCATTCGCTCGTCAAGCCGAAGACCCGGGTTCGAATGCCGACATGGGTACAATGTGTGGTGTGAAGCCCATTTCTGGTGTCCCCCGCCTTGATATTGCTGGAATATTGCTAAAAGCGGCGTAAAACCATACTCACTCACTCACTCACTGTTATAAGGGACATAAAAGATAATTAGACGAACTTTAAGCAGAACGGCCTTTGTCAAATAGTTATTCCTCCATTGTACAGGTTCTTTAGCAGCACAATAAAGCCCGGCTCTCATCTTGAAAGATTGTTGTTGTCCCGAAGAACAGTAAATCTTTTCAGTTTCTCTACCAGCACTGCCGCTAGAGGTATAAGAAATCCATCATTATTTGAAACCTTCAGTCCTATACTTTACTGTGCCCATATCTATCAGTGGTAATATATGTTGTGCCCTTACACGTGAATATGAAGGGTTAATATGGATATAAATTTGATATGTCACATGAAACATCGGCAAATAAAACTGTATACTTTATAACTGAACATAATGACAGTTTGGGTTCTAATAAATTGTCATTTTGATGATATGTTATCATATGATAGGTGATATATCCTTTTCATGTTTCAGGTGGTTCAAGCCAAGATTTCACAACTGGTAAGATATCTTTCGCTCATTTATTAGAGGATGCATTGCAAATAGTAAATGTGTCATTCTTTAAGGGGAACCAGACAAAATTGCATTATATTCGTCCAAAAAAGGTTAAACATGTTTCTAATTATCCGCACGATGGACACAAAAACATGTCTGGTGAACGAGTATTTTCGTTTCCTTTAATAAGTATGGTTTTGTTCGGTAAAACAATACAGACATAAAATTAAAATAGCGAATGTCACTATAGTGCGATTTTCTATGAGTTATCGTCCCCTGCCGAAGTCACCATGCTTTTTGACGAGTTGAATTGTATGTTTGCCTATAGCAAAGAACGCCCGGAAACCTCGTACATAAAATATAAACCTCTGAAGAAAAACATTATTTTTCCAATGGACTTACGTATTTATAAGAGCGGAATCGCGTGAATCAAGTGAGTCATATTTATCAGTTCGTGTTTACATCTGCATGCTCCAATGAGGCTGACCGGTTATTAATGTCGGACGTCATGATCTAATTCCAACCAAATACAGCTATGTTTAACTTCAAACCCCGGCCCCTTTGTTTATGCATTGACTTTCACACGAACAAAGCGTCTGCCCGGTTCATACATAAATAGTGTATGTCATTTCGAGATTGTACATCCTGTTCAGATTCACCGAGAGCAAACAGGGAAGACGTGAATGTTTGTATGCGCGAAAAAGGTTTCGTTTTGTCGGGATATAACGTTATGGTCCTAGTGTACATGTCAGGCTATTTTTAAGGATGTCCCGAAAGCATACCCCTGTTGCCTTAGTTCTGATATTTAGATAGTTTAATATGCTTAATAGTAAATTTATTGACTTATGACCATGTTTGCTTTCAGTGTTTCCTTCAAATGACTTCAGTTCTCCTACATTGCTTAAAATATGAAAATGTGGCTTTGGTGTCTGCCTGCGACAGGTGTATGTGAGGAAATTACAAAATGACGGAAGTGATGAATGTTTTAATTCGATTCGAACCCATCGCCAGTGGTTTCTTCACGTCTGAGGCACCGGTACGACGCCCGACGGAGACACTGTTCCCCTCCTTCACACTTTAAAAAAGTTGACCCTTAGGTTGAGTACGTGTAAGGGTGTGTATGTGTTAGGCTGTGCATGTGTTAGGGTGTATGCAAGGATATGTAAGTGTTAGGTTGTCTATGTGTTAGGTTGTGTCTGTGTAAGGATGTGTATGTATTAGGTGTATGGTTGGATGTGTAAGCGTTAGGTTGTGTGTTTGTCAGGTTGTGTATGCTAGGTTGTGTATGTTTTAGGTTGTGTATGTGTTGGTTGTGTATGTATTAGGGTGTATGCTAGGATGCGTATGTGTTATGGTGTATGCTAGGATGTGTATGTGTTGGCTGTGTATGTGTTATGTATGGTGTATGATGTTTATGTGTTGGTTGTGTATGTATTAGGGTGTATGCTAGGATGTGTATGTGTTATGGTGTATGCTAGGATGTTTATGTGTTAGGTTGTGTCTGTGTTAGGGTGTATGCTAGGATGTGTATTTGTTAGGTTGTCTATGTGTTAGGGCGTATGCTAGGATGTGTACGTGTTGGTTGTGTATGTTTTAGGGTGTATGCTAGGATGTGTATGTGTGTGGTTATGTATGTGTCAGGTTATGTATGTGTTAGGGTGTATGCTAGGATGTGCATGTGTCAGGTTATGTATGTGTTATGCTGTATGCTAGGTTATGCCTGTGTCAGAATGTGTATGTATTGGGTGTATGCGAGGGTGTTGATGTGTTAGATTGTGCATGTGTTAGTTTGTGTATGTGTTAGGTTGTAGTCTATGATGTATATATGTTAGATTGTGTGTGTGTGTGTGTGTGTGTGTGTGTGTGTGTGTGTGTGTGTGTGTGTGTGTGTGTGTGTGTGTGTGTGTGTGTGTGTGTGTGTGTGTGTTAGGTGTATGCTAGGATGTGTATGTGGTAGGTTGTGTATGTGTTAGGTGTATGCTAGGATGTGTATGTGTTAGGATGTGTATGTGTTAAGTGCATGCTAGGATGTGTATGTGTCACGTGTATGCTAGGATGTGTATGTGTCACATGTATGCTAGGATGTGTATGTGTCAGGTGTATGCTAGGTTGTGTATTTGTCAGGTGTATGCTAGGTTGTGTATATGTCAGGTGTATGCTAGGTTGCGTATATGTCAGGTGTATGCTAGGTTGTGTATGTGTTCGGGTGTATGCTAGGTTGTGTATGTGTCAGGTGTATGCTGGGATGTGTATGTGTTCGGGTGTATGCTAGGTTGTGTGTATGTGTCATGTGTATGCTAGGTTGTGTATGTGTCAGGTGTATGCTAGGTTGTGTATGTGATCGGGTGTATGCTAGGTTGTGTATGTGTCAGGTGTATGCTAGGTTGTTTATTTTTTAGGTGTATGCTAGGTTGAGTATGTGTCAGGTGTATGCTAGGTTGTGTATGTGTCAGGTGTATGCTAGGATGTGTATGTGTCAGGTGTATGCTAGGTTGTGTATTTGTCATGTGTATGCTAGGTTGTGTATGTGTCAGGTGTATGCTAGGTTGTGTATGTGTCAGGTGTATGCTAGGTTGTGTATGTGACCGGGTGTATGCTAGGTTGTGTATGTGTCAGGTGTATGCTAGGTTGTGTATGTGTCAGGTGTATGCTAGGTTGTGTATGTGTCAGGTGTATGCTAGGTTGTGTATGTGTTCGGGTGTATGCTAGGTTGTGTATGTGTCATGTGTATGCTAGGTTGTGTATATGTCAGGTGTATGCTAGGTTGTGTATGTGTCATGTGTATGCTAGGTTGTGTATTTGTTAGGTGCATGCTAGGATGTGTATGTGTCAAGTGTATGCTAGGTTGTGTATGTGTCAGGTGTATGCTAGGTTGTGTATGTGTCAGGTGTATGCTAGGTTGTGTATGTGTCAGGTCTATGCTAGGTTGTGTATGTGTTTGGGTGTATGCTAGGTTGTGTATGTGTCAGGTGTATGCTAGGTTGTGTATATGTCAGGTGTATGCTAGGTTGTGTATATGTCAGGTGTATGCTAGGTTGTGTATATGTCATGTGTATGCTAGGTTGTGTATGTGTTCGGGTGTATGCTAGGTTGTGTATGTGTCAGGTGTATACTGGGATGTGTATGTGTTCGGGTGTATGCTAGGTTGTGTGTATGTGTCATGTGTATGCTAGGTTGTGTATGTGTCAGGTGTATGCTAGGTTGTGTATGTGATCGGGTGTATGCTAGGTTGTGTATGTGTCAGGTGTATGCTAGGTTGTTTATTTTTTAGGTGTATGCTAGGTTGAGTATGTGTCAGGTGTATGCTAGGTTGTGTATGTGTCAGGTGTATGCTAGTATGTGTATGTGTCAGGTGTATGCTAGGTTGTGTATGTGTCAGGTGTATGCTAGGTTGTGTATGTGTCATATGTATGCTAGGATGTGTATGTGTCAGGTGTATGCTAGGTTGTGTATGTGTCAGGTGTATGCTAGGTTGTGTATGTGATCGGGTGTATGCTAGGTTGTGTATGTGTCAGGTGTATGCTAGGTTGTGTATGTGTCAGGTGTATGCTAGGTTGTGTATGTGACCGGGTGTATGCTAGGTTGTGTATGTGTCAGGTGTATGCTAGGTTGTGTATGTGTCAGGTGTATGCTAGGTTGTGTATGTGTCAGGTGTATGCTAGGTTGTGTATGTGTTCGGGTGTATGCTAGGTTGTGTATGTGTCATGTGTATGCTAGGTTGTGTATATGTCAGGTGTATGCCAGGTTGTGTATGTGTCATGTGTATGCTAGGTTGTGTATTTGTTAGGTGCATGCTAGGATGTGTATGTGTCAAGTGTATGCTAGGTTGTGTATGTGTCAGGTGTATGCTAGGTTGTGTATGTGTCAGGTGTATGCTAGGTTGTGTATGTGTCAGGTCTATGCTAGGTTGTGTATGTGTTTGGGTGTATGCTAGGTTGTGTATGTGTCAGGTGTATGCTAGGTTGTGTATATGTCAGGTGTATGCTAGGTTGTGTATATGTCAGGTGTATGCTAGGTTGTGTATATGTCATGTGTATGCTAGGTTGTGTATGTGTTCGGGTGTATGCTAGGTTGTGTATGTGTCAGGTGTATACTGGGATGTGTATGTGTTCGGGTGTATGCTAGGTTGTGTGTATGTGTCATGTGTATGCTAGGTTGTGTATGTGTCAGGTGTATGCTAGGTTGTGTATGTGATCGGGTGTATGCTAGGTTGTGTATGTGTCAGGTGTATGCTAGGTTGTTTATTTTTTAGGTGTATGCTAGGTTGAGTATGTGTCAGGTGTATGCTAGGTTGTGTATGTGTCAGGTGTATGCTAGGTTGTGTATGTGTCAGGTGTATGCTAGGTTGTGTATGTGTCAGGTGTATGCTAGGTTGTGTATGTGATCGGGTGTATGCTAGGTTGTGTATGTGTCAGGTGTATGCTAGGTTGTGTATGTGTCATGTGTATGCTAGGTTGTGTATGTGTCAGGTGCATGCTAGGTTGTGTATGTGTCAGGTGTATGCTAGGTTGTGTATGTGTCAGGTGTATGCTAGGTTGTGTATGTGTTCGGGTATATGCTAGGTTGTGTATTTGTCAGGTGTATGCTAGGTTGTGTATATGTCAGGTGTATGCTAGGTTGTGTATATGTCAGGTGAATGCTAGGTTGTGTATGTGTTCGGGTGTATGCTAGGTTGTGTATGTGTCAGGTGTATGCTACGTTGTGTATATGTCAGGTGTATGCTAGCTTGTGTATAAGTCATGTATATGCTAGGTTGTGTATGTGTTAAGTGCATGCTAGGATGTGTATGTGTCAGGTGTATGCTAGGTTGTGTATGTGTCAGGCGTATGCTAGGTTGTGTATGTGTCAGGTGTATGCTAGGTTGTGTATGTGTTTGGGTGTATGCTAGGTTGTGTATGTGTCAGGTGTATACTAGGTTGTGTATATGTCAGGTGTATGCTAGGTTGTGTATGTGTCATGTGTATGCTAGGTTGTGTATTTGTTAGGTGTATGCTAGGATGTGTATGTGTCACGTGTATGCTAGGTTGTGTATGTGTCAGGTGTATGCTAGGTTGTGTATGTGTCAGGTGTATGCTAGTTTGTGTATGTGTCAGGTCTATGCTAGGTTGTGTATGTGTTCGGGTGTATGCTAGGTTGTGTACAAGTCAGGTGTATGCTAGGTTGTGTATATGTCAGGTGTATGCTAGGTTGTGTATATGTCAGGTGTATACGAGGTTGTGTATATGTCAGGTGTATGCTAGGTTGTGTATGTGTTCGGGTGTATGCTAGGTTGTGTATGTGTCAGGTGTATACTGGGATGTGTATGTGTTCGGGTGTATGCTAGGTTGTGTGTATGTGTCATGTGTATGCTAGGTTGTGTATGTGTCAGGTGCATGCTAGGTTGTGTATGTGATCGGGTGTATGCTAGGTTGTGTATGTGTCAGGTGTATGCTAGGTTGTTTATTTTTTAGGTGTATGCTAGGTTGAGTATGTGTCAGGTGTATGCTAGGTTGTGTATGTGTCAGGTGTATGCTAGGTTGTGTATTTGTCATGTGTATGCTAGGTTGTGTATGTGTCAGGTGTATGCTAGGTTGTGTATGTGTCAGGTGTATGCTAGGTTGTGTATGTAATCGGGTGTATGCTAGGTTGTGTATGTGTCAAGTGTATGCTAGGTTGTGTATGTGTCATGTGTATGCTAGGTTGTGTATGTGTCAGGTGTATGCTAGGTTGTGTATGTGATCGGGTGTATGCTAGGTTGTGTATGTGTCAGGTGTATGCTACGTTGTGTATATGTCAGGTGTATGCTAGCTTGTGTATAAGTCATGTGTATGCTAGGTTGTGTATGTGTTAAGTGCATGCTAGGATGTGTATGTGTCAGGTGTATGCTAGGTTGTGTATGTGTCAGGCGTATGCTAGGTTGTGTATGTGTCAGGTGTATGCTAGGTTGTGTATGTGTTCGGGTGTATGCTAGGTTGTGTATGTGTCAGGTGTATGCTAGGTAATGTATGTGTTCGGGTGTGCCTTTGGTTGGTTGTGAGTGTGTTATGTTGTGCCTGTGCTTGTTTGTGTATGGGATCTACCACTACAATACACAATGAACATACATAAAGTGAAGTTACCCCTTGTGTTTGGGTCCTTCATTATTTCTTGTTCTTTCTGTGTTTCATTCTCGCATTTAACCTGTTTCAGTTTTCACTGTAGTCCTCGTCGTGGCTGCCATGGTGCTTGTGGCAGCCATTCTAATTTGTCTGACGTACTTGTTTCTTTGTGGTAAGTCACATCATCTTTATCATTATTGTTGTTTGCAAAAAAGTTGTTTAAACAAACTTTTAAGCGTAATTGTTATGCAGCACTAATATTTTAATGTTTTCAATTAAAACATGAATTAGCATCACATTGAAAGAACTCTTCGCATCAAATACGAACCAAAATGTCGGCATAAATATATAACGCCAAGATGAGAATACTGATTTAGCCTTTTTGATTATTTCAATATTTCATGTACAAACTATTCTGTCAAACATGAATTCTCCAATACAGGACCATGTCGCTCGAAACGACCCGTGAAAGCAACGAAAGCAACGTATGAAGTTACTAACAATACCGAAGAAGGTAACTTGCAAATGCGCTTTAGCTCACCTGAAATTAAAGTTGTGGTATGAAACACATGTTATTGTGTCATTACAATGACCAAAGTTGTACATATTTTAATGTGCCTTATGCGTTTACCCTCATATGATCTATTTGGTCAAATGTTATAAATGTTCAATGTTCAGGTGAGATACAGAACCTCTTGGCTCTTTTGAATATTCGTGTATGACTCATAGCTGAATTACGAATTAAGCTGTACATTCTGTTAAGTTTTAAAGAATCTGTTTCAGCTCAGGTAGATCTTTGGGCAGCTGTTGCTACGGACCAAAATATGCTGGTTAGCGTTCAAAATGTTGAGAAACCTCAAAAAGATCCCAAATCTGCCAAGATGTACATGGAAACCGTAACCTATACTCGGCTGTCCGAATCTGAGGCTCAGAGAGAAAGCCTGTCCTGCACCACGTTCTCCGATGAAGCGAACTCACAACGCAGGAGCTTCATGTACGCCGCCTTTAACGACGCCAACAGACGCGGCAGCTTGATTCTGACCACCTATAACGATAGGCATGCTAACTCCAACTTCCCCGTTAAAGGCACAAACACAGTCTTCCCCTACCCTCCTCCGACAAATGAGGACATTCAGGACGACTGCTTCCCGTATCCCCCTGTGGAGTATGAAGGGGTAGAGTACCCTCCCCCTCCCTTGGTCAATGAAGAGGTAGAGTATGAAGGCTTTGCGTACCCACCCCTAACGTACGGAGATGCTGACCACGTGAACCCGACCCCCTACGTCAGTGACGCCACCCTACCGGGGAGAAGCCACAATGCCCCTGCCCCTGAGGAACAATGTGAAAATTCTGATTCTTTCGCTACAGAAGAAGATGGCGGCAACATTTACATGAACATGTGATCTCGGCATGTACCTCAATGTGCAGAGTAACGTCCCTTATCTGCCAGGACATGCCTACGAGTGCTCACGGAATTTTACTTTTAGGCTTACTCCCTATATTAAGCTGTCAAAACGAAACAAAATAGAACTACTTAACGTTAAATACCCGTGAAGATCCGGGTTAGAATTGGTCTTCAGCAACCCATGCTTGTTTTAAGAGTCGACTTACGGGATCGGGTGGTCAGGTTGATCAATGTCATCGTATCCAAATTGCATGGATCGATGCTCGTGATATCAGTTACTGGATTGTCTGATCCAGACTCAGTTATTAACCGCAGTCATGTAGCTGGAACATGGTTGAGTGCTGCGTTAAACAAAAAACAAACAAACAAACAAACAAACTGAGAAATCAAAGCGGGAACTGGTAATTTGTCGGCGACAGGATTTGTAGTCTCGATCACTGCTTCAAGATATATGTATCACATATGCTTAAAGGAGAACCCGAACAATTTGTATATGGGGGAAACTTAGTATTTCCTTTGTTAAAACCTATATTTTCCCCAGTATTTGGGTGAACAAATTATTGATCGTTAGCAATGGTCGGAGCACAGCATAAATTGTATGTGACACGGAACTTGTATCAACAAGCTTCACATGAGAGATGACTGACTGAGAGTGTTGACTTTCAACAAGTGATAACAAGGAAATTGTTTATGTTTATGTCACTGACTTCACCGATGAATCTCATTACTACCCTTGCGTGTACATAACAGGCTTCTCCACTCCAGTATAACTACATCTGACATCTACTCTACTGTATAAACATTGCCTCCTACCTGTATATATACTTGTCAACCATACTCTGAATATCACTTGCTTGATAACGGTGTAAGAACCTACACCGAAACGTCGCTCTTAATTGTAATAAAGATGTTGTTCATCCATAAAATATTCTTATCCTTAACAAGGAAATAGGTAACGGAGTCCTCAACATGAAATACACATATACACGTCATTCCTATCACCCAAAATCGTTTATTCTCGCACAAGTGCGTTCGTAACAAGCGTCTTTTCCTTACTGGCTTACACAGAATGACACGCATGAGCGCGAATGACACCAGTTGGGACAACCAAAACGTTCTTAAAAAATACTTTATTTTGATACTCAATAAATATTATTTTCAAGTGAATTTCCTTAGCTTAGGGTTTTGCTACGGAGAACACCCACTGTCAAAAGAACGTTTATAAAATATTTTGTCAATAACAAAGGCCCTTTTATCACACACATTGCATATTTTCCATATTCCAAAATTACCATCACCAATAACCAACTACAAACAAACAGCTTTTTCCGCTAAGTCCAAAAAATTATCTGGGAAAGCCTGGCAAAATATTTGTACATTTTATACATGATGTTGTTGCTATGTATATTGTTCATGATCATAATGTTATTCATAATAACTGTTACTAAATGTATATTTCCACAATTTCTTGTTTATTTTTATTATTACTATGTTGTTTTATCATATCACAACACTCTAAAATAATTGTGTAAAATAGTTTGTATGATAGCTTTCAAAGATCGACCTGAACATAAAGTTCGTTCCTAAGGAAGGAGGGGTAGCCTAGTGGCTAAAAAAATGGCTCGGCACCCAGATTCGTGTTCTATTCCCAACATGGGAATGTGTGAAGCCTATTTCTGGTGCCCCACCGCCATGATAATGCTGGAATATAAAAAGCAACCTGCACTATCGATACTGTAAAGAATGCTTATATATTTGTGACAAGTTGATGACAAATTGTTGAAAATAGTGTACATATTGATTTTGTATCGCATTTTGTCTCACTTCATATTTCAAAATAAAGAATTCCTCATACTCTGGTCCCAGTGTTCATGTGTGTGTGTGTGTGTGTGTGTGTGTGTGTGTGTGTGTGTGTGTGTGTGTGTGTGTGTGTGTGTGTGTGTGTGTGTGTGTGTGTGTGTGTGTGTGAGAGTGTGTGTGTGTGTGTGCGTGTGCGTGTGTGCGTGTGTAGGTATGTATGTATGTATGTATGTATGTATGTATGTATGTATGTATGTATGTATGTATGTATGTATGTATGTATGCATGTATGCATGCATGCATGCATGTACGTACGTACGTACGTACGGTATAGAGATATGGTCCATTCGAGGAGAGTGTGAATAATTACCATAACTTTATTACTAAATCAGACGTTTATCACATAGCCCAAAGTCTGGTATTGTGTAAGTGCTGATGACAGCAGAAGTGTTGATGATGTCACAGATAAAAGAAGTTTTAAAATAAACACACAGTCACTGTTAATGAATACTTAAACTCTTTAAAATAGACATTTTCTTTTTAAAACTTTGTTGCATACATTTAATAAGATGTTTCATTGCACATTCGCAACGACCCCTTGCAAAAGGATGCAATGCACACCGTAATTAAGATCCGTGCCTATCCAGTCATACTAGCTTGCCCTGTGAGTAGCTAGGGGAGTTCTAGCATGTTTCTCGTTCTAGCGAGTAAGTACAGGTATGTGTGGGCCTGCTCGCCATAGGGTAAATATAGTGTTATGTCACTACACTAAAGAACACTCAAAGGCGATGTTAATTTACCTCTCGTAAATTCAACAATGTCCACACACACTATGACATATGAGTTTTATTGATTAAATCAATCGAATTACCAGAAATCTTTTATAAAGTCATACACAATAAATCATGTAATTTAAAATGATAAAAATTATTATATATAAAAGTTCATGCTTTCGTCAATGTTTATAACGTTCTTACATCACTGTTAATAAAGCGACAAAACCCTTTCCATATTCAATAGAAACCTCTGCATAAGGCAGAGTCGATTGTACGATTCCGACTACATCATGAGTGTTTATGAATCACTATCAAATAGTAATGATACCAGGTGTTCGCTAAAAGGTGAGCGTATCCTGCCCCCCGGTGGCACCCGTCACAAACACATGCAAAGGCAAGTCAACTGTTCATTTGAAACAAAACACGGGAAGATATGGTACAAGTCAAAATAGGGAATTGCATCCGACATAATTTTTGTCACTGATGCGTCGAGTTTGGAAATGGCCTCAACATGTCTACCATAAAACGTTTTGAGAGCTTTACTGATGCCTTTAATGTTGTAACCTTGATCAAACAACTTCTGAGCCAGAGTTAGCACACACAAGAATACTACAAGAAAAAACTATTGCCAGTGGTGCAGCATCAGTTGCATCCCAGAAAGGTTGGGAGGAGACCCGAAACTAAAGAGCTAGAAAGTAAACACTAACAGGTTGACACAGGTACTCAGAAAGGCTTGGTTTGATCATTTGATCGTGATTCATAAACGCATGCTGGTGATAGTCGGAATCGTACATTTGACTCTTCTTTAAGTAGAGATTTCTTATGAATATGGAAAGGGTTCTATCGCTTTTATTGACATGCATCGTCAACGGGCAACATGTTTTCGCATTTATTTACGAAGCACGAAAAGAAATATTCAATCCCATGAATGAATGACATGCAGATTCGGTAAACGTTCAGCAAACTGTGAGCATGGATCTTATGTAGAAACGTGTGTGACAATATAGAACCTTTCTCCATCCTGGAGATGTCAGCGATATTGATGACACGATGACTAACTCTTACAGCTAATGTCGTCGATGCAAGCTGCTCAGTAGCTGCATCACCTGCCTTCTTGTTGTAAATTTTGACAACCATCTTCTCAAGTGGTGTAGTCAAATTACGATTTCCGGTCTGCCACAAATACTATAATAATAATAACAATACTTTTAACAACGACAACAGCAACGACAACAATAATAATGTCCTTTTTGAAAAAGTGATGAGATGTATTTGTCTTTAAATAAAACACTGCAAATAAACAGAATCGTTCACTGGACCTGCTGGAAATCATGACGATGCAGTTGCCGAAATAACGCGATTGAAAGCGATGTGAAAAGCAAAGGATTCGATCCCGAGGTACGGACTCCCCGCGCCCGACTCGCCATTTTGATCGGCTTGTCGGTTCGGGGTATGCGAGTAGCCTCCCTTGTTTGGACCCGCCGATACAGTAACGAAGAGTTTAACCCAAGCTCAGCAACACCCGGTATGTCATACAGTCATGAAAATGTGTGCTAGCGTGACATTTGTAATGGCACATGACTGAAATTTCCTCAAGAGAAGGGAATCAAAACAGGGAAGGCGGAATGTATTACCCTTAAATTATATTCAGTTCGCAAAGCTTCAAGGTGACCTACTTTCAGACGTGACACATTTGTCAACACGGGTGGCTGATGCGTCACACTGTTTAACCTTGTACAGTTGGTAGAGTCATATTGACAGAGCACTCGCAGTAAATATTGCCTTATCGACATAAGGCTATGCATACGTGTTGCTAGTTGCAGTTACCATTTCCTTAATATGTTGGAAAGGTGTGCCAGTGTGAGCTGTACATAGGTATTACAACCGTCCTTTTCTAAAAGGTTTCTGCTACTGAATAGAAGCGACAAAACCCTTTCCATATTTATAAGAAATCTCTGATAAAAGCTGAGTTGAATGTACGATTCCGACTATATCATGAGCATGTGTTTATGAATCGCTATCAAATAGTCATGACACGTGATATAAATAGGGTGTAAGTCCACCCCCTGCTACAAGACAAGCCAAAACCTCTTCGTCTCACAAAGTCAGTCGTCTGATGACGTCACGTGATATACGTGGACATTCTTCTTGGAAGGCCGGGATTGTTCTTGTCGGCTGGCAAGCGGGTGCGTTCGCTGTTTAGCACGACGATCCATGACATTCCAGAGGTGTTCTATAGGGGAACATGTCTGGGAGCGTGCAGGCCACGGCAACACGTTGACGTTGTTGGCTGCAAGAAAGTTGTGTACGATTCGGGCTGTATGGAGTCTGACGTTGTGCTGATAAAGGACACCGCGTGGCAGCTGTTGTAGAAATGGTAGGACAATCGGACGAAGAATGCCATCCATGGAAAGCTGAGATGTCAAACTTCCCGTTAACGATGACTAGTGGTGTTCTTTCCTGCCCACAAATTCCTTCCCACCCTGCAATACCCCTCCACCATACGGCATGGTTTCCTGAACGCAACATGCCGCCGTTCGGTCTCCCCTTCGGTGGTTAACAGCTCTGAAGATACAGAACCTCTTCATCAGTCATGTCGCTGCCAACGACGTACAGGCCTTGCCCAGCTCAATCTCTGACGACGATGTTGTCCTCTTTCTTGATTTCCTGAACGCAACATGCCGCCGTTCGGTCTCCCCTTCGGTGGTTAACAGCTCTGAATATACAGAACCTCTTCATCAGTCATGTCGCTGCCAACGACGTACAGGCCTTGCCCAGCTCAATCTCTGACGACGATGTTGTCCTCTTTCTTGATTTCCTGAACGCAACATGCCGCCGTTCGGTCTCCCCTTCGGTGGTTAACAGCTCTGAATATACAGAACCTCTTCATCAGTCATGTCGCTGCCAACGGCGTACAGGCCTTGCCCAGCTCAATCTCTGACGATGATGTTGTCCTCTTTCTTGATTTCCTGAACGCAACATGCCGCCGTTCGGTCTCCCCTTCGGTGGTTAACAGCTCTGAAGATACAGAACCTCTTCATCAGTCATGTCGCTGCCAACGACCAACAGGCCCTGTCCATCTCAATCTCTGACGACGATGTTGTCCTCTTTAAGGTCTGTAAGCCCTAATTTCTTGAGCCCGGAGTCGCCTGGATACTGTCAGTCGACTAACCATATGCCCTAAGGCATTCGTCGCTCATGACGTCGCTGTCAGGAATCGATTCCGGAGAGGCAAAGTACGTAAGTACGGGTCTTCAATGGGTGTTGTTACCCTGGATTTACCTGTTCTTAGCCTGTCTGAAGTGTGCCCGGTCTGTTTGGGTGTCAGTCATGGTATTGTTTTGGTGATTAAATTATCCCGTTATCCCGACTGTATCATTTATATACGCTTATTTCACTTGTAGATTTGGCTGCCCAAACGGCACGTTTTTCAGTTTTTCTTATTTTCTAAAAATAAAACAAACCCGTGCCGGTGACGTGCATCACTTTCTGCATAGAGCATTGTTGTGTTTGGGTGATGTATTTTGCATTGACTTAGTTTGAACTTGTGTTATAATTTTTTTTCAATTTCATTTTCAAAGTGGTTAAGTTTCTTTTGGCCGTCAGTATATATAAAACACATAAAAATTATACATCCAAAATGTTAATTAACAAATATTTGCCTGCAATATTTTGCTAACAGAGAAAGTTGTTGGTTTGCCCATCCCGTGTTGCACCTAGTGATATCAAAGCACACTGCGGCTCCAGAAACTTACTCATGGAATTAATCTGATTTTTCGAAACAGGCTAAATGATGAACCAAGACGAGTATGGTGCCAAGCTGTTTGGTTTTATGGGTGCGGGGTCTGCAGCAATAATCATCGCAATGGCAAGGGAAACCGGTATTCTTGAAAAGCTGTTGGAAGCAGAAGTGTCGATGACGTCACAGGAAATTGCCGTGAAAACGGGTTTAAAGGAGAGGTGATTAAATTTGTTTTTGCATACTACATATATACTGTTTCCTTCCTGGTTACACATGAACACTGTAGCTGGAATTCAGATTGAGATCGCCATTTTTACCATGTTTACCATAGGTCCATAGAAACTGAATATCTCCACAGACCTCAATTCTTTACCACTATACACGGGTAGAATAGGTCTTACAGACCGCCGTCATATAGCTGGAATATTGCTGAGTGCGGCGTTAAACAACATACCAACCAACCAACCACCATACACTCACTCGGTTGCATCCGCATTACCTCCTCCTCCATTAACACCGCAACCCTCCCCCCCCCCCCCCCCCCCCCCCCCCCCACACACACACACACACACACACACGGGCCATCCTCATTCTCCTTCCTCATCTGTCTTGTCGTCCATCAGGTACGTGCGTGAGGTGTTGGGTGCGCTTGCAACAGCTGAAGTGATTCAGGTGAGCAAGGACAGTTCTCACTACCATGTACCAAGCAGTCACAAGAGCGTTCTGGGCTCGACGTCCGCCTTCTGTAGGATGATGCCACACTTTGGCCAGAGATTCCCTGCTGTCAAGGAATGCTTCAAGCTGGATGGACCCCAAGGTAGGATCCCTTGGGTGTAATCTGACATCAGTATCTAAGGTGGATATATCAACACGCTTACTTTAGGTTGTGTAACATTATAACCATTGTGTGCAGAACGGGGACACTCGATGGTGGATGAGTGATTGAGTGAGTTGGGTTTAACGCCGCTTTTAACACCATTCCAGTTATATCGCGGCGTGTCAGCTTAATGTGGGAGGAAAGCCCGAAGTGATGCAGGTCTTAGACGTTTACCACTTCGGTGAAACTCACGAGCACGGGTATGGGGCTGACAAACCTAGAAACATAATCGAACCCACAATCATAGGTTTCAGGCGTGCCCAATGGACGCAACTCTGCACAGCGAATCGCGGCGCCTTAGGCGACTTGGCCACCCCGATGGTGGATGAAGGTATATTTCACAGAAAAACGCGGTGCTTAGCAGTGTTCTTGTAATCAAAAGTCAAGTATCTGTTACAAGGAAAAGAAACTATGCTGAGGACAACACAACCTGGTGTAGCGTTGACACTGAGTCCAGACCCGGGTTCGATTCCCCACATGGGTACAACTTGTGGAGCTCATTTCTGTGATGTTATTGGAATATTGCTAAAAGCGTCGCAAAACCAAAATCACTCACTCACAGTTGCCAGTGCCTCATGCTTGTCCTAACAGCCGGCTTAAAAGGGGATCGGATGGTCAGACGCTTGGACATGGATGACTGCGTGCCATCATACAAGATTGCGTAAATGAGTGACTAGTCCAGACTATTAATGTTTACATGTCGCCGTGATTAATGAAATAGTTCGTTTACTTCGTTTACTACACTACTCGACCCTTGAAGATCCGGGGTAGAATAGGTCTTCAGCAACCCATACTTGCCGTAAAAGGCGACCATGCTTGTCGTAAAAGGCGACTGACGGGATCGGGTGGTCAGGCTCGCTGACTTGGTTGATACATGTCATCGTTCCCAATTGCGTGGATCGATGCTCATGATATCAATCACTGGATTGTCTGGTCCAGACTCGATTATTTACAGAGCGCCGTCATATAGCTGGAATATTGCTGAGTGCGGCGTTAAACATCAAACCAGCCAACCAAGCACTACACTACTCATGGAACATGGGTATTGTTACACTAAGGTTGTTGGGCTAACCTCAAATATCATATATCATGATTTTCAGGAGTTGCTTTCGGAGCAATACCAGAGGTGTTTGACATCATGGACGACTACCGTTCAGTCAGTCAGGATATGTTTATAGATAACATTTTGTCAGCGGTGCCTGGCTTGAAAGAGAAACTGGGTACGTGAATACTTCTAACTACTTACCAAAAACTGTCTCTCGTTACATGAAACAGATATCATTTAAGAGATTGAATTGGCATCGTTGTATAAGCTTACCTGGTGCTCTCGAGAACAAGAAGTTTCTAATTAAGTAGTATGACGTTGTTCTTTCGTCGTTAATCTCTCAATAGATCGTAGTCGTAGGTCACTCTTTAAGATGATGCTCTTACTTAGAAAATATTTCTTGAGTCAATGATAATTAAAGTGACGGGGATGTTTCTGTTCTATGCAAATCTCACGGGTGTCTAAATTTAAACACAATTTGAACTTAGTAAGCCATTTTTCACTGAATGATTTTCATTATTACTTTGCAGAAGCTGGTATCACTGTTGCTGAATTCGGAAGCGCAAGGGGTTCTCTCCTTGCCAATATGGCGGCGAGATTCCCTAAGTCTTCTTTCACCGGAAGTGACGTGGTGGCGGATGTTGTGGAAACGGCAAACGCAACTGCATCCAAGAGGAATTTAAAAAACATCAGTTTCAAAGTGTATGACCTCTACGATTTACCTAAGGAACTAACTAACTCCTTTGATTGGATATTCATCAGTGATGTGGCTCACGATCTGGCTTACTTAGACAAAGCTCTTTCAGAAATCCGTAGAGCTGTAAAATCCGGTGGAACCTTTAGTATGCTAGATATTTGTATGCATGGAAGTGTGGCTGAGAATGTTGGCAACATGGGTGCTTGTTTCCTTTTTACTGGTTCTACGATGTTATGTCTGGCGGATAGTTGCCGATACGAAAATTCAGCCCAACTTGGACCCTCTTGGACGTCGGAGAAGGCACAGGAGTATCTCAGGCGGGCCGGATTCACTGTAGTTAAGGTACACCAAAATATTAAAGACAAGCACATGACCCACTTTGTCTGTGAGTAGAGAGGTTCATATATAAGGAATTTGTCAGTCACAACATTGGTTACCAAACTACACTTACTTGTTCAAGATGTTTTCATTTCCATCCATCCATGAGTGAGTGAGTTGGATTTATCGCCGCTTTTAACACTAGTGCAGTTATATCGCGGAGTGTCAGCTTTATGTGGGAGGAAAGCTCTAAGTGATGCAGGACGTTTACCACTTCGGCGTTTCGCGCTTATGAACTTGGCGTCATGCGCTTGTGAAACAGTATGCGCGGTGGAGTGCTTGATTTGTATTGTGGGGATGGATATATTTTGTCACTTGTATATAATAACCGTGAGTAACTTTTCATGTAATTAATTTCATCAAAAATTATGATTCTCAAATATGTATTAAATAAAATTATTTTAAAGTGTAGCTATATAATTAAATAACAAAGGAAAACCAAACTGGAACAAAGCTTTGTTTATTAGCATGCTACTAAATTGATAAAAATTCAACATACAGTTGTGTCATATATTATGCATATAGAGTAAAGGAATCTGAGTATCAGATATACTTGACAAATAACCACAAATGGTTACTCATGTAAAGAGTTCTGTACATGTAGACCGCCTCCGTGGTCTAGTGTATAGAGCGTCTACCCGGAGAGCGCAAGGTTGGTGGTTCGATCCATGGTCGCGTCATACCAAACGGCGCTGAAAGATAGTACTTGTAACCCTATCTGGCGCTCAGAAGTTGGAGCACTATAAAACCGGCGTTAGTACACGAATCCACACACACACACGCACGCACGCACGCACGCACGCACGCACACACACACGCGCACGCACGCACGCACGCACACACAACAAGAACACCACCACACGTCAATTTTTCGATCAGAGCACACGAGTCCTCAACGGGATGAAAATATTGGTTAGCCCACTGATCACACATTATATCATTCCACTGGGACAAGGAATTTAGTTACGAAAGCGCGCGCGCGCGCGTGCGTGCGTGCGTGCGTGCGTGTGTGTGTGTAGGGGAGGATAAGGTCAGTAGAGACGTGAGGTTCAGTCAGCCAGTGTCGTCCTCAGTACCTCATGATTCTCGCAAGATGGGGATCAAGTGGCCAGGTTCTGTGACTTGACTGAATTGCAACGTTGGACGCTGTTCATATTATCAACAAGTGGTTTGTCTGGTCCAGGTTTGATACTTACATCTCGCCGCTGGAATATTAGTGTCTATGGTGTTAAACAACAACTAAAGCCCTGTGGGGCTCAATATTGCTAAATGTGGAGTTACAACATTCACATACCCAAATTTATGAAAGCTTAAACTCGCACATGAAAATAATACTACACAGCATTACAGACCCTGTCCCATCGCCTGGGACACTAAAACATATCTCAGTGCTTGAATTTGAAATAAGGATTCTAAAATGCACTAAACAAAGCACTTACTGAAGCAACTTTCAACAAGTGACGGAGTATTCCTTGCCCCGACCACCCCACTACTCGCAGACGTACGCACGCATGCGCGTTAGCACACAATTCAAAAGAAAAGTCGTGACAGCAGAGACACGTACACACATACGCACCCTTCTTTCAATATGACAGTTCATAGATTCCATGCATATATCCGTGATATTTGTTTGGATCATTTCATAGGTTAAATGCGTCAACAATGTGAGGACATGACGTTTGAGTACGCCCACATATTCTCATATCAAAATAGTCCTTTTTAATAAAAAGCTGATACACCAGGTTGCGTCAAAAGTTGGAAGTAGACACCAAATTACAGATTAATAAAGAATTAAAACACATACAAACAGTTGAAAGACTTGTAATCACGCTATAGCTTTGCTCTGTGCCAATATTGGAAATGCGCATGGTGTCATTGTACATGTCCTTGTAGTTCAGCGGTAGTGTAAGATCTTCAAGGGTAGATAGGCATACCAAAATATCAGAACTGTTGGTTACAGTAAAGTCTCCCCCTGCGATGAGTGTCTTAGTTTTGATGAGAAGTACACTAGCGTCAGCCATCAGTGTATACTCAGATTGACCATACAAAATCTGAGGACAGTTACGCTTCACATACTCACTTGGAAATGCCTTAAAATCACCTACTTCAATAGTAAATGGCTCGTACACACACGATAAGGTGTGATATGTTACAGTTTGTGTAACGGGCAACATGCTTTTATACACCGCACGAAAGGAAATATTAAACCCCTCGTAATGAAGACATACATCTCCAAAAAGCAGGTTTGATAAACGTTCACCAAAAGTCGCAAAAGGATATTCTATAGAAAAGTTACTAACAACATATATCGTTATCTCCATGCGAGAAATATCGGCAATACTTATGTCACCAATGACGCTGCAACCCCCATCAACATAAAATGACTTGGTGTAAATCGTGATAACCATCTTCTGAAGCGCTGTTGCTTTCAAGTCCGTTTGTGAGGTGTAATAGTCTGTCAGAACACGCTTCAATTCGGTCAAGCTGACTGCGTCTATGTGATTTTCTAAGACGGGGACCAAGTAAAGGCGAATGAAATACCTCGACGTTTTAAATGGAATTTGCGTGAAAATGTTCAGGCATTCTCTGTTCTTCAGCTGTTGAAACGGCGGGCAAAGAATTCTACGGCATTGGTCCTGAAAACAAATGGCATGGTCTTATTTTACTGGAATAGGTGTTGTTGTTGTTGTTTGTTTTGATATGTATTCGAGAATATCTGTCGTGTACGAGGTGGGTATTTTACACCCCAATGTATCATCTGTATACAGTGACGATACAGAGTTGAGAAAATGATTTTTGTTTTGTGCATGACAATCATTGTAACGTTCACACGCAACACAGCTTTACCAAGAACCGGAACTCACGTCACTGTCCCACATCCAAACCAACACCCACATCCTCATTGAAACCAGCATCACACCCACAAGAAATAAAACCATGTCAACTACACAAGTCACTGCTACACCCATGTTGAAGTCAACAGCATTGAATACGTCCACTGTCACCAATAACTACCGGGAGATTCACGCCACACCCACATAACTCAATGACAAGGTCAACGCCCACATCCGCATTCACACCCACATCACTGTCAACGGCAACGTTCACACCCACACTACTGTCAACACGATCAACATCCACATCACTGTCAACAGCAAGGTCCACACCCGCATCAATGTCAGGAACAAGGTCCACACCCGCATCACTGTCAGGAACAAGGTCCACACACACATTACTGTCAACAACAAGGTCCACACCCACATCACTGTCATCAACAAGGTCCACACACACACACACACATCGCTGTCAACAACACGGTCCACATCCACATCACTGTCAGCAGCAAGGTCCACATCCATATCACTGTCATCAACAAGGTCCACACACACACACACACATCATTGTCAACAACTAGGTCCACATCCACATCACTGTCAGCAGCAAGGTCCACATCCATATCACTGTCAGCAACAAGGTCAACGCCCACATCACTGTCAACAACAAGGTCAACAACACCCACATCACTGTCAGCAACAAGATCCACACCCACACCAACATCACTCAGTCTGTCATCAATAAGGTCTACACACACACACACACACACACACATCACTGTCAACAACGCGGTCCACACCCACATCACTGTCAACGGCAAGGTCCACACCCACATCACTGTCAGCAACAAGGTCCACACACACATCACTGTCAACAGCAAGGTCCACCCCCACATCACTGTCAGCAACAAGGTCCACGCCCACATCACTGTCATCAACAAGGTCCACACCCACATCACTGTCAACAAAAAGGTCCACACCCAAATCACTGTCAACAGCAAGGTCCACACCCACATCACTGTCAACAACAAGGTCCACACCCACATCACTGTCATCAACAAGGTCCACACCCGCATCACTGTCAGCAACAAGGTCCACACCCACATCACTGTCAACAACAAGGTCCACATCCACATCACTGACAGCAACAAGGTCCACACCCACATCACTGTCATCAACAAGGTCCACGCCCACATCACTGTCATCAACAAGGTCCACACACACATCACTGTCATCAACAAGGTCCACGCCCACATCACTGTCATCAACAAGGTCCACACACACATCACTTTCAGCAACAAAGTCCACACCCGCATCGCTATTAGCAGCATGGTCCACGCCCGCATCACTGTCAGCAACAAGGTCCATACCCACAACAATGTCAACAACAATGTCCACACCCAAATCACTGTCAACAACAATATCCACACTTACATCACTGTCAACGACACTGTTAAGACGATCCAAATTCACATCCACATCACTGTCAACGGCAAGGATCACACCCACAGCAGATTCAAGATCCACACCCAACATCACTGTCAACAAGATCCACGCCCACATCACAGTCAACAACAAGATCAATACCCACATCACACTGAACAAGATCCACACCCACATCACATTCAACAAGATCCACACCAGCATCAAATTCAACAAGATCCACGCTCACATCACTGTCGGCAAAGTCCACACCCACATCGCTGTCAGCAGCAAGGTCCACGCCCACGTGACTGTCAACACAAAGGTCCACATCCACATCACTGTCGACAAGACCAACACCCACATCATTGTTGACAACATCAACAACAACATCACTCTCGACAACATCCACACATACATCACTGTCGGCAAGGTCCAAACCCACATCACTTTCAGCAACAAAGTACACACCCACATCACTGTCAGCAACAAGATCCACACCCACATCACTGCCGACAAGATCCACACACACATCACTGCCGACAAGATCCACACACACATCACAACCGACAACATTCACACCCACATCACTGTCAGCAACAAGCTCCACACCCACATCACTGCCGACAAGATCCACACACACATCACTGCCGACAAGATCCACACACACATCACAACCGACAACATTCACACCCACATCACTGTCAGCAACAAGATCCACACCCACATCACTGCCGACAAGATCCACACCCACATCACAGTAGACAACATTCACACCCACATCACTGTCAACAAGATCCACACCCACATCACTGTCGACAACATCCAAACCCACATCACAGTCGACAACATCCACACCCACATCACAGTCGACAAGATCCACACCCACATCACTGTCGACAAGATCCACACCCACATCACTGTCGACAACATCCACGCCCACATCACTGTCGACAACACCCACACCAACATCACTGTCGACATCATCCGCACCCACATAACTGTCGACAAGATACTAAATCATAAATAGTAGCCTAGTGGTTAAAGCGTTCGCTTGTCACGCTGAAGACCCGGGTTCGATTCCCGTCATGGCTACAATGTGTGAAGCCCATTTCTGGTGTCCCCCGCCGTGATATTACTGGAATATTGCTAAAAGCGGCCTAAAACCATACTCACTCACTTACTCACTCACGCAAGCGCAATATCACAACATCAAGAGAAACTTTCGACAAAATCACAGTAGCCATAACATTACTACTCACAGTGAGTGTATCCTGATATTCTCCTCGAGGGCAGTAGTTTCCATTTGGAGCTGTGTTCATATTGCTTTCTTCAAACTGCAGCAATCCAGTCAGTGGCTTAATTGGTTGCAAGCCCGCCGCAGGAAGTCGAGAACTGGATGTTTTATATATTGCATCTTCATTGCAAATATGGCAGAATATATTCTGATAACCCGACTTGGTGACGTGGCTGTAGGCATGACAGGCGGCCTCGATAGAAGCATTGTACGTCTTCCAAATCCCTGTCACATTGCACTCAGAAATTGGTGACATTTCATGACATTTTCGGGTCGAAATGTTTTGTGGCACAGGGTATTCAAAGTTGCACAAAGGTGATTTTTCTAACAAGTCAAATATAGCCACTGGATCAGAAATGTGGCTGATTTCCTCTGGAAACTGTTCACATGCAACACCTATGTCCCATGTTTGAAAATCTTCATAACTATGGCACTGTGCACAATATTTATTTCTAAATGTTAAGGACGTCACATTTTCTCTTCGAAGGGAAACTGGCAGCTGGGTGGAAGTGATGCATTTGCTGGAAAGTTCTTCCGAATAATGTTTATCACCAAGCGAACACTGTGTCACCACATAGATCTGTATGGCCTTAGAAATGCCTTGAGAAAACTCTACACATTCTAGGTCGTACTTGCCTTTGCCAATGTACAGATCGGGGCAACAGTCGCCGAAGTCCCTACACTCAGCGTCACAGGAACAACGTGTGCAGATGCTATCGTTTGCTGGAAACGGGGCCATAATATCGGTTTCAAGGGTCGGCAAACATCTTGATTCACAATACTCTGTTTCGTAGCTCAGAATGAGTGAAGCTAGATGTTCGTTGACACTTGGTCCACTTTCATAACTTATATCTGCAAGATCCAGGATCACCAACAACCGCAGAATGTTCAACACCAACATCATCAGTAGATGTTTCTTGGGTGACACTGTTCTGAAAGTATCAGAACAGGCAAATACAGTCAATAACATTAAACAAGTACGGTCAATTGAATGAACCATCATTTTTGAAGAATCCAAAACGTTGGGGAAGTGCTAGTTATATAAGCAAGGATCAGGCCATTGAGTTTTGTGATATTTAAAATGTTTTAATATAAACAAAATATATTGTTCACGCGTACGGGTGGTCACGTCGTGTGAGACACCATAATTCCCTGTGCAGGATTGCCACCTTTAGGCGTGCCAGAAACATATGATATGTTTGTCAGCACTATACACATAGTTGTGGATTTCACGACCAGCATGACTACGGGTTTTCCTCCCACATCAAGTTTACATGCCGTGATATAACTGAAAACTGATATAACTGATATAAAACAACCTTGAGTTAAGATTTATATCTGCCTGCTCAATATTGGTCAACAACATATAACACCCCTTTGAAACGTAATTTCAGAATATATAGTGCTTGTACTGTTGTGTATATAATGAACACTGAATTAACTTATATACGAAAGTGATTTATAAGGTTTCAAACTACTGAAGAATACAACATAATGCATACTCACTGATATTTTCACAGACTGTGAATACAAATTTGAACAAGTTTATCGCGTGCGGAAGAAGTAAGTGCACTCACGAAATAAACGTTAATTTATTAAACTATTAATATGAGGAAATAAATGTTTGGGTTTATTTCCTTAGAGACGTTATAGTTAGGCTTATATGTTATTTAACGTTGCAATATTCCGGCTATATGGCGGCGGGCTGTACGTACTCGAATCTGAACCAAACTAGTGATTGACGTCATGAGCATCGATCCATACGAAGTTGAGATACCTTGACATTTTTTTACCAACTCACCGAGTCTGACAACCCGACTTCTTTAGTTGCTGCTAAGTACAACATGGGTTGCCGGGGACCTATATCCTAACCCAGAATCCCAGAGGGTTCATCAGAAACCTAGTCATTGGGTTTCGATATCATTTTGATAATGATTCCCGTGTTTGGGTGTCATTCAGTGAACTGTACACGGTGTCTGCACTGAAGTATTTTAGTAATATTGCCGTTGGAACCTTTGGTTTCAACTGTACAAACAGAACTGATGCATTTGTACCAGCAACAAATGTGACCCACCATCAGAAAAATCAGATTTTCACTTCTCATCATCTTTTTAATCTACATTGTCTTAGGAACTCAAAAGTACAATTCTCAAGCTTCAAATCATATTTATTACGAACATTCACGACATCAAACATTTGGACCCATTTTCCGACTAATATCTGTTTTTGTAATAATTGCAGTTTTTATATATGTCTGAATAATTGAAAGTAGACATTTATGCTGAAAAGCTTTTGAAATAATGTTTTTATTACATTACGAACTTACGAGAGAGAAATAAGATTTATGTACAGTCCGCACACATGGCGATTTTTATTGAAGTTGACGCCAAACATCTTTATGACGTCACAGCACAATTGTATCTTAGCACTAGGGCTGGGACGGGTAACTCGGGTATCCGGGTCCGGTGGGTACTGAATAGGACCCGGGTATCCACAGGACTACCCGGACCCGTGGTTAGTCACGTGATATATTGTTTAATGACAAAAATGTCTGGAACTCTATGGTTACACTTCAAGTCACTAACTATGCACCCATTCCTTCTGATTTTTCATATGGTTGAATATTGTTATAACTAAATTCAACTTCAGTGTATGAATGACCAGATTGTTTAATACATGTATCTAAATACGTTTTGCCAGGGCTATGCTAAAAATGTTCCCAATTGGACATTTTGAGACATATCCTGAGACCTACAGTTGGTACCGGGTAGGGTCGGGTAATAGGGGTGGATACCCGGGTAGTAAATTTGGACTCGTCCCAGCCCTACTTAGCACCCATAATGCCCCTTTTCTCCTGGTCGATCACAAATGAAGAGTCAAACAGTGTAACGATTTGACGAGGAAATATTACAATGTATGTTTGTGCTGTGAGTAAGTGGTTTTTATCGCTATTCATAACCTGGAAGAAAGATCTGTTTGTAACGACGTGCTTTACACAATGAACAGGACGTTATTGAACGAGAAGTGGGTCGAAAATTATTGCTGTGCTGACAAGACGAAAAAGTGATGCATACATATGCATAAACGTGTTCATATCCAACAAGCAGCATTTTTAATAATAAGTACCAGGAAGTAACTCAAAATTTCCAAAATTGCAAGTTATTTTCTATTTTTTAGTAACAGTAATGATAATAACGAACGAATTGTGAACACATTACAGCCGGTAATTAAGTTGCTGTTATTACCGCTAACGATTTGAAAGACGATAGGGGTAAGATAGAAATTTCAAAGTTGACGTTTTTGGATCAGTGATGCGTAATGCCGCCATGATTAGTCAAACATTCCTTCACTCGACGAGGCATTTAATCTCCCAATTGCGATTTGACGCCTATGGCGTTGACGTACACGTCACCCTGTCATTTCCGAGACGTATCTTGAATGGGGGAAAGCTCTCGGCTCATTGCTGTTCCTGTCATTCTATGGATGCTGAGCTGGTGGAGGTGGGCATTGATGAACGGTGAGCACGGGCTGAACGACAAAACATTGCCCCACGCACCTTGCAAACGGGACAGTATGTTGTCCCGATAGTACTGTCCAGTGACCCTTTCACAACATGGAGTGGGGGTCAGTCATAGTGATGCCACCCCACACCATAACCGATCCACCGCTAAGTCTGTCATAGGTCTCAGGCTGACTTTGGCTTGACATTCATATTGACGTCGCCAGACACGACCAAGTGCAAAATGAATTAGGACCCATCTAAAAACATGACACGTGACCAGCGACGATTACACCAGTTTTGACGTTGTGTACACCATTGACGTATGATGGCAATATGCCGATTTGTAAGGTTGTATGTGACAAAAATGAATAGCTTGTTGGTAGTGGTGGTAGAAATGAATAGTTTGTTGGTAGTGGTGATAGAAATGAATAGTTTGTTGGCAATGGTAACAAAAATGAATAGTTTGTTGGTAGTGGTGACAAAATGAATATTTTGTTGGCAGTGGTGACAAAAATGAATATTTTGTTGGTAGTGGTGACAAAATGAATACCAGTAGTTTGTTGGTAGTGGTGACAGAAATGGATAGTTTGTTGGCAGTGGTGACAAAAATGAATATTTTGTTGGTAGTGGTGACAAAATGAATACCAGTAGTTTGTTGGTAGTGGTGATAGAAATGAATAGTTTGTTGGTAGTGGTGACAAGAATGAATACTTTGTTGGTAGTGGTGACAAGAATGAATACTTTGTTGGTAGTGGTGACAAAAATGAATAGTTTGTTGGTAGTGGTGACAAAAATGAATAGCTTGTTGGTAGTGGTGACAAAAATGAAAAGTTTGTTGGCAGTGGTGACAAAACTGAATATTTTGTTGGTAGTGGTGACAAAATGAATAGTTTGTTGGTAGTGGTGACAGAAATGAATAGTTTGTTGGTAGTGGTGATAAAAAGGAATAGCTTGTTGGTAGTGGTGACAAAAATGAAAAGTTTGTTGGTAGTGGTGACAAAAATGAATAGCTTGTTTTGTGGAAAATACCCAAACAAAATTGTGTTGTGTTAATAGTGAAAACGAATAGATGGTTTGATAATGCTCATCGCATAAATAGTTTCTTGGTTACAGCTGGGAATATATAGATTGATCTAAATAAATGTATGCATTAATATATATTTATACAAATTATATATATTCAAACCTATGCTAGATTTTGTGTTTAATTTTATTTCAGTTAGACTTATCGGAGTAAGTTAATGTTATAATATGTTTAACTCTTTGGTCTTCAACTTGAAGTCCAGATAACACATCCAGTTCGCCATATCAAAATAGTGGTAAATAAAGTTAGAGTTTGCCGGGACCGGACTGTGAGTTCGACATAGCCGGAGATTCGACACATCCTACTTAGAGGTGAGATGGGTGAAATGGGGTTTAACGTCGCGTCCAAGATTATTGCACTTATATAGCGACATGCATGCACGTGTGTGTGTGTGTGTGTGTGTGTGTGTGTGGCTGCTTGTACTAGACCGGACTGACGCCGATTTATTGTGCTAGCTCACTGAGATACCATGCCGCAGTTTAACATGAATGCCCCACTCAGACACAGTATACTGACTCCGTGCCGACCAGTCCTTGTTTTACCCCCTTAATGCCGAGCGCTGGACAGGGTAACAACAAGTACCATCTTTTAACGTCTTTTGGTATCACGTGGCCGGGGATCGAACCCCGGACCTTCCGCTCTCCGGGCGGACGCTCTACCACTAGACCACGGAGGCGGTCACATCCTACTTAGACACAACGGGGTTCGATTGTATGATGTTTTAGCCAATGGCACAGTAGTTAAAGAGCCAAATGGTGCGGTGTGTGGTGCTTCGTCTACAGCATTAATTTTCCTTCTTACGTAATCATTAAGTAAGGATAAGACTTACTTAGTACTCCAACTTCTAAATTCCTCTCAAAGAAGTTACGTAATCATTAAGAAGGCAACCAATGTCACCAACCAATCTAACTCAAAATTAATATTATCATCTTGTGGTTATTGTTTTGAGATTTTTATCACAGGATATCATAGAAATAACCACTGGTAAAGTGATGACGTAAATCCCGCCGGGACATCATGAAGGAAGCAGTTGGTCACCATGATCCCCAGTTGGGTTGCTGCTGGCCTGGTGTAGATATAAATAAATCATAAAGCTATTGAATATGTGTTCTGACGATCGACATTAAGCGGCTTAAACAAGGAGAGGTCGGCTCGGAGTCAGTGTACTGTGTCTGAGTGAGGTGTTCATGTTAAACAACATGGTATATCTGAGCGCTTGCACTTTAAATCGGCATCAGTCCGGATAAGTACAAGCAGCCACACACACACGTGCATGCTAGCGCTACGTAAGTGCAATAATCTCGGACGCGACGTTAAACCCATTTCACCCCACCTTCTACATGGCTGTCGTATGCCGATATAATGTAAGGCTTAATCCACTCACTTATACGATATCATCAACATGTCTGAATGAAAAGAAGACAGAACTGACATGGGTTTCAACGTCCTTTATATTATTGTAATGCGACGTTTCAGTACAGACACAAGTGCCGCATCAAGCAAATATTCAAGGTGAGTGGGTGGTGGGAGGTGAGTGGGTGGGTGGTGGGAGATGAGTGGGTGGGTGGGTGGTGAGTTGGTGGCGGGAGGTGAGTGGGTGGTGGGAGGTGAGTGGGTGGGTGGTGGGAGATGAGTGGGTGGGTGGGTGGTGAGTGGGTGGTGGGAGGTGAGTGGGTGGTGGGAGATGAGTGGGTGGTGGGAGGTGAGTGGGTGGTGGGAGATGAGTGGGTGGTGGGAGGTGAGTGAGTGGTGGGAGATGAGTGGGTGGTGGGAGGTGAGTGGATGGGTGGGGGGAGGAGAGTGGTAGGTGGGAGATGAGTGGGTGGTGGGAGGTGAGTGGGTGGTGGGGGGTGAGTGGGTGGTGGGAGATGAGTGGGTGGCGGGAGATGGGTGGGTGGTGGGAGATGAGTGGGTGGTGGGAGGTGAGTGGGTGGGGGGCTGGGTGGGTGGTGGGAGATGAGTGGGTGGTGGGAGGTGAGTTGGTGGTGGGAGATGAGTGGGTGGTGGGAGGTGAGTGGGTGGGTGGGTGGTGAGTGGGTGGGGGGCTGGGTGGGTGGTGGGAGATGGGTGGGTGGGGCGAGATGAGTGGGTGGGTGGGTGGTGAGTGGGTGGTGGGAGATGAGTGGGTGGTGGGAGATGAGTGGGTGGTGGGAGGTGAGTGGGTGGGTGGGTGGTGAGTGGGTGGGTGGGTGGTGAGTGGGTGGGGGGCTGGGTGGGTGGTGGGAGATGGGTGGGTGGGGCGAGATGAGTGGGTGGGTGGGTGGTGAGTGGGTGGTGGGAGGTGAGTGGGTGGTGGGAGATGAGTGGGTGGTGGGAGGTGAGTGGGTGGGTGGGTGGTGAGTGGGTGGTGGGAGGTGAGTGGGTGGGGGGCTGGGTGGGTGGTGGGAGATGAGAGGGTGGTGGGAGGTGAGTGGGTGGTGGGAGATGGGTGGGTGGTGGGAGGTGAGTGGGTGGTGGGAGATGAGTGGGTGGTGGGAGGTTAGTGGGTTGGTGGGGGGCTGGGTGGGTGGTGGGAGGTGAGTGGGTGGTGGGTGGTGAGTGGGTGGTGGGAGGTGGGTGTGTGTGTGTGTGGGGGGGTGTATGTTTAGGTTAAGGAGACGAGGCTGAAGTGTTTAGCTCATAGATTTAATGAAAATATATGTCTGATTTGGCAGTTTTAGTTGAAAGAAAATACCGAACACACACACGCACACACACATACACAATGAATCGAATGGTCAGTCCCTAACAAGATAACAAATAGTAAAGAGGGGTGAAGTCTATGGGCACGGCACGTTTACAGTGAGTGAGTGAGTTTGGTTTAACGCCGCTTCGAACTGTATTACAGTCACACACGGTGTGTGGGACAAAACCCAAGGGTATACACATTTTAGATGTGGGCCACTTTGGTAAAACTCACGATCCTGGGTATGGTGCTGACAAACCTGGTAAACATAATCAGGGCGAAGGTGGGATGCGAGTCTCGCCTGGCTGGGAGAAGGCGGTTCTTTTAATATTGCATAGTATACACAACACATTTCAGTATTGCTCATCATTGACTTTCGTAACCTAGATTACACAAAGAACTAGCATGCTGGGGTTGAGGAAGTACAACCATTGTTTCATAGTTACCAGCGATTCTACACGTATACACTCACGTGGGTTTCCATTTCCGTTGATAAGGCGTACATATCTCGAAATTCTTCTTCCGCTCAGATATAACAGTAAACCACAGTAATTGTTTAAATTGAACTTTTACAGAAAGACAATTATTCAGCAGAAACTGTAGATATTATTTTATAGAAGGCAAGCAAGGTTAATTGGCACTTTGACAGAATGAAACATAATTATACTACTCAAAAGAAGTTAAGGATAACCCGATTCTTTCATATTGGTAAAGTTAATCTGTCATGGCATGAGAGATTAAGTATTGTAATATGAAAGAATCAGTTGATCCTTAACTTCGTTTGAGTAGTATACATTGTCAATGCAAGCGAACAAACAGTTTAGATTATCCACCGAAACAGATTCCATTTGGCGTAAATGGCAAACTGGCTGTGAAAATTATATGGCTGAACCACTGAAAATCAGTGATGGCACAAGGTGTTCGCGAAAAGGGTTAGTACGTCCTGCCGGTAGCACCCGCCATTCATACAAAAGTAAGTATTTATTTATTGCCTGGTGCCGCGCAGCAGTGATCCTGCCATGCGACAGCGACCTGTAAACAATTAAGTCAAAAATGCTTATAAAGCGAAGAAAAACGTTTAAGAAATATATTGGCTTTGAAACACAGTAGAGAGCGGTTTTGGACTTGTTTTGACTTGTTTCAGCAGAATATATATATAATGAAACGACCTCGGCATTCAAAACTGTAGGGTCATCTCCTAATTTGTCAACGTGTTAAATGATATACAGAAAATAATGATATAGTGTTCACAAATATTTTCACAATGCATTCAATAACAGACAACTATACAAAAAAGAATAAGAATAATAATAATATTAACTACAGCATCTTATAAAAGATACAAGAATGATAAAGTAGCATAATTAGACATAGTTAATAAACATCATGCACGATTATAAAATAGTTTGAAAATATGAAACAGCTACATTGAACCACAGTTTTACATAACTGGTGCTTGCTATTAAACAATTCAACACAAGAAGACTTCATAAAAAATAATTAATTCTGTTTTATCGCATGTACAGAAATTCAGAAAGTCATGGACTGCATTCAATAATACATACATTCATAAATACATAAATAATAAGACATAGTTCTAAAGGAAGTGTGAAAACTGCATGTCTGATTTACCTTAAGTTCACGCAGTTTGTAATTGAAATTCAATTTTGTTTAACTTTTTGGTTAAACTTGTGACCAGACACTTGTTTTGACCCCTTTCAAACATTCAGTTATGGTCAAGATTTTATTTGTATATTATCTACTTGGTGTTGTATTATATATAAATCATATATATAAAGCTGTGATCGTTGTTGCTACAATAATCATTATAATACAAAATGTGCAACAACTGAAATGAATACTCAGTGAGTGAGTGAGTGAGTGAGTGAGTGAGTGAGTGAGTGAGTATGCTTTTACGCAGCTTTCAGCAATATTCCAGCAATATCATGGCGGGGGATACCAGAAATGGGCTCCACACATTGTACCCATGTCGGGAAAAGAAACCGGGTCTTTGGCGAGACGAGAGAACGCTTTAACCACTATGCTACCCGACCGCCTCGAATACTAAGTAAATTGATGGGTATCTTAGATGATATTCGGTTACCAAATATAATCCATGCTTTGTTTGTCTCTGTGCCGGACTCGGTAATATCCAGCTATACCACGGCGGTCTGTAAATAACATATGTCTGGACCCGATAATGTAGTGATTGATACTATTAGCAACGCATCGCGCTGTCGGTACGATGACACACAATCAGCTAATATACCGAGCTAATTTGACCATAGGATTAATTAAGTCTCATACCACAGTCATAGGTAACTGGGGACCAATTCTCGGACAAATGGAGTATTTCTTTGCTCATGTCATGTGGCAGAGAAACGGATCTGAATACCCCCAAAGTCTTTACATTTTGGCACTGAAGAAATCCAAGGATCCATGTAGATTACTCACGGGAGCTCAAGTCTGAAGAAACATTTGAACTCAATGTTACTTTTGAGTTTACATGTTTACTTCTGCAAGGTGATGGTCTAGTTTTACCTTTCATACACAACTTTAACACACGACTGTTGCAAACAAAGCTTAAGAAAATTAACAGACCTTGCCCACCGGCTAGGATCACAAAAGCATAGTTGAATGCTTCGATCGGAAATAAGGATCCCAAAAGGCCAAACACCCACGACATAGAACTTACAGAGGCTATTTTTAACATATGAATGATAGTTCCTTGTTCTTTTTGTCCCGCCTGCACACGCTCTTTTGACAACCGTCTAAGAGAAGTGACTGTGGATATGAAGAACGCGAATGTACCCACAACAGTGACAAAGATGGGAATGCCGAACGATATCAGAGTGATAACGCCAGGATTGAGGAAACAGGCGGCTCCGCTGTCACTGTACCCAATTGACTTACCAGGTAGGTATAAATTCGTAAGAATGGTTAAGCCAACAATCACACCTGGGACCATGTAGACAAATGCTACATATTTACAAAAGATCTTCCGTTTATTGCCTGACAGGTTAACCGAAGACAAAATGTTTCGAAATACTCGGAAAACGTGAAAGGTGTTCACCCCCATCCATGCAAAAGTGACCATCCAGAAATAGTGTGTCAGTACGCCGATTATTTGGCATACCAGGAGATTATCATGAGCACCTGCTCCAAATAGAAATAGTCCTTGTGCGACGAAAAGCGAACCCATCAAACACATCAAGATGCACCCCGGTAGTGTATGTAACGTAGTCAGGGTTGCATACACCAAAAATGACAACGCAAGAAAGAACATACTAAAGGACAAACAAACAGTTGTAAGAATGGTAAGAATATCATAGCTTTGCTCTAGGCCAGACTTTTTATCAGGTCTGCTGTCATTGTTTAGGACGAGAGTGAAACTGTCGAGTGTAAAATTCTCAAGCGTATATAGGCAGACCAAAATACCTAAATCTTCAGTGAGCGTAAAGCTGTCTTCTGGAATAAGTGAACGGTTATTCCCCAGCAATGCACTTGCATTGGCCATCAGTGTGTAATCAGATTGAGAATACAAAATCTGAGGACAATTACGCTTGGTATACGTACTTGGAAAGGCTTCAAATGCATCTTCACCAATAACATCTGGGTCATATACTGAGGTATGATTTGTACTGTAATGTATAGTTGGCAACATATCTTTATAGAGAGCACGCAGAGTGATGTGCATTGCTTCGTCGGAAAGAAATACATCTCTGAAAAGAAGGTTTGATAAACGTTCAGCAAACACTGCAAAGGAATCTCCAATAGTAAAATTTACAGCAAAATATATCCTAATATCTATGTTAAAATTACCGAAAGCATTAATTTCACTATAATCATCGCCATCAGTATGGTTGTTCCAGGACAGGTCAGCATGTGATGAGTTGTTGAAATTAACGATGACAACCACCTTCTCAATTGCTGTGTCATTCCCGGGAATTTGTGAGATGTAATAATCGGTCAGAACACAGGTCAAATGGGTCAAATTGACTGTTTTAGAGGTTTTTGTTACTATAGGGACCAAAAAAATATCAATAAAATGCTTCGACATCCTAAAAAAAGGAGCGAAAATGTCTTTACATTCTCTATTCTTCAGTTGTTGAAACGGAGGGCAAAGTATTTCATGGCATCGGTCCTGCAAGGAAATAGAACGTATTATTTCATTGACCTTGGTCTTATATCCATTAATCATTTTGTTACTTTGTCGAAGGTTGCTGTTTCGTGAATATGTACATATGCAACATATTGATACAATAGTGGATCATACTAATATTATAAAGCAATATGTGTGTCATATTGATTAAGTGGGTGAATCGTCTTTCATTTATATCATAGCACGTCAGCTTAAAATAAAATTAAAATCAAATTAAAATCATAACTCTTACTCTGAATCAACTGCCCAAGCTAAATGAAGGATGCGTGGGTTCCTGAACCAATACGATGTCAGAATTCTAAAACGATTATGAAATTTCGAAAAAATCCACAAAAGCCGTAATATATAAACAACAATATACTGGCGCGTTCTTTTTTTCTACTTTTATTATATGCATTTGGAACTGGTAGTTTAATTCCTTGATGTATGAATCACATGCACAATAATATAATGGCACCGCCTTTTTTCTAGTTCGTTTTCGAGATACGGATATCATACATGCTGACATCGGTTCTTCGCTCACTTGTACCGAGAAGACGTTGATTGTTTGATGAGAAAGTTTACCTGACGGTATCCTATCACGAGATAGGGGGTTATCAGTTCCTTCACACACAGGGGTGGGGCATCGGTCTTGTATCGGAGTGTTAGAATACTCATCCTTGTCAACATCAACGATGCATACCCACGCTCATGTCAGATTCAGTGGACATACCTTTTGTAACAAATATCGAGTTACACACGGTCTCAACCACAACATCCATACCTACACTCACACCCACAACACCACATCTCAATTCACAACACCAACATCTCCACCAACGCCCACGCCCACATCTACATCTATACCCACAATTACATACACTTTGTACACATACATTCCACACTCACAACAACACACACACGAAAAAACGCCCACATCCACACTCACAACACCACCCAAATATACATCCAGTTACACAACACCCACATCTGCACCCACACCTACATGTACACCGACATCTACATCTATACCCACATTTACATACTTCAACAGCCACACCTACATTGACATCCACATCAACCGTACCCAGAAAACAACACACATGCACAACCACAACAACATCCACACCATCATCAACATATAGTTTTTATTATAGTCAACACCCACTTGTACATCTTCGTCTACATCCACACCCTCATCCACATTGCACACCGACTTCACATTGCACACCCATATCCACATTGCACACCCACATCCACATCCACCTTGCACATCCACATCCATCTTGCACACCCACATCACAATGCACACCAACATCCACAACCAAACCCACATCCACAACCACACCCACATCCATATCCACCTTGCACACCAACATCCACATCCACCGGGCACATCCACATCCACATCCACATCCACCTTGCACACCCAGATCACATTGCACACCCACATATACATTGCACACCTACACCCACAACCACGTTGCACACCCATACACACATCCAAATTGCACACCCACGTCCACCTTGCACATCCACATCCATCTTGCACACCCACATCCACATCGCACACACACATCCACATCGCACACACACATCCACATTGCACACACACATCCACATTGCACACACACATCCACATTGCACACACACATCCACATTGCACACCCATATCCACATCCACCTTGCACACCCACATCCACATTGCACACACACACACACATTGCACACCCACACCAACATTGCACACCCACATCAACATCCACATTGCACACCCACACCAACATTGCACACCCACATCAACATCCACATTGCACACCCACATCCACATCCACCTTGCACACCCACATCCATATCGCACACCCACACACACATCCACATTGCACACCAGTACCCACATCCACCTTGCACGCCCACATCGAAATTGCACACCCACATCCACATCCACCTTGCACACCGACATCCACAACCACATCCACATCGAAATTGCACACCCACATCCACATCCACCTTGCACACCCACACCTTCACCAACTCCCGCATTGACATCCTCCGTACCCAGAACACCACACACATACACAACCACAACAACATCCACACCATCATCAACATACGATTTTCATTATAGTCAAGACCCACTTGTACATCTTCGTCCACATCCACATCCAGATTGCACACCCACATCCACATCCACCTTACACATCCACATCCACCTTGCCAAACCACATCCACATCGACCTTACATACCCACATCCACATCCACCTTGCACACCCACATCCACGCCATCATCAACATATAATTTGTTATCATAGTCACACCCACTTGTACATCTACGTCCACAGTGCGCACCCACATCCACATCCACCTTACACACCCACACCCACATCCAAATCCACATCCACATTGCACACCCACACCCCCATCCACATTGCACACCCACACCCACATCCACATTGCACACCCACATCCACATCCACCTTGCACGCCCACACCCACACCCACATTGCACACCAACATCCGCATTGCACACCCACACCCACATTGCACACCCACATCCACTTGCACCTCCATTGCACACCCGTATCACATTGCACACCCACACCAACATCCACATTGCACACCCACATCCACAACCACCTTGCACACCCACATCCACATGGCATACCCACATCGACATGGCACACCCGCTTCCACATTGCACCCACACACACACATTGCACACCCACACCAACATTGCACACCCACATCCACATCCACATTGCACACCCACATCCAGATCCACCTTGCACACCCACATCCATATCGCACACCCACACACACATCCACATTGCACACCAGTACCCACATCCACCTTGCACACCCACATCCACATTGCACACCCACACACTCATCCACATTGCACACACACATCAACATTGCACACCCACATCAACATTGCACACCCACATCCATATCCACCTTGCACACCCACATCCATGTCGCACACCCACACACACATCCACATTGCACATCCAAAATGCACATCCACACCAACATCCACATTGCACACCCATATTCACACCCACACCAACCTTGCACACCCACATCACATTGCACATCCACATCCACCTTGCACACCGACATCCACACCCACATCCACACCAACCTTGCACACCCACATCCACATCCACACCCACATCGAAATTGCACGCCCACATCGAAATTGCACACCCACATCCACATCCACCTTGCACACCGACATCCACAACCACATCCACATCGAAATTGCACACCCACATCCACATCCACCTTGCACACCCACACCTTCACCAACTCCCGCATTGACATCCTCCGTACCCAGAACACCACACACATACACAACCACAACAACATCCACACCATCATCAACATACGATTTTCATTATAGTCAAGACCCACTTGTACATCTTCGTCCACATCCACATCCAGATTGCACACCCACATCCACATCCACCTTACACATCCACATCCACCTTGCCAAACCACATCCACATCGACCTTACATACCCACATCCACATCCACCTTGCACACCCACATCCACGCCATCATCAACATATAATTTGTTATCATAGTCACACCCACTTGTACATCTACGTCCACAGTGCGCACCCACATCCACATCCACCTTACACACCCACACCCACATCCAAATCCACATCCGCATTGCACACCCACACCCCCATCCACATTGCACACCCACACCCACATCCACATTGCACACCCACATCCACATCCACCTTGCACGCCCACACCCACACCCACATTGCACACCAACATCCGCATTGCACACCCACACCCACATTGCACACCCACATCCACTTGCACCTCCATTGCACACCCGTATCACATTGCACACCCACACCAACATCCACATTGCACACCCACATCCACAACCACCTTGCACACCCACATCCACATGGCATACCCACATCGACATGGCACACCCGCTTCCACATTGCACCCACACACACACATTGCACACCCACACCCACATTGCACACCCACATCCACATCCACATTGCACACCCACATCCAGATCCACCTTGCACACCCACATCCATATCGCACACCCACAACCACATCCACAACCACCTTGCACGCCCACACCCACACCCACATTGCACACCCACATCCACATCCACATTGCACACCCACACCCACATCCACATTGCACACCCACATCCACCTTGCACACCCACATCCACCTTGCACACCCATATCACATTGCACACCCACACCCACATCCACATTGCACACCCACATCCACATCCACTTTGCACACCCACATCCACATCCACATGGCATACCCACATCCACATGGCACACCCGCATCCACCTTGCACACCCACATCACATTGCACACCCACATCCACATTGCGCACCAAGATCGACATCAACCTTGCACACACACACACACACACATCCACATGGCACATCCACCTTGCACACACACATCCACCTTTCACATCCATATCACATTGCACACCCACACTCACATCCACATTGCACATCCACACCTTGCACGCCCACATCCACCTTACACGCCCACGCCCACGCCCACGCCCACGCCCACGCCCACGCCCACACCCACAGTCACGCCAAACTTTCAAAACAATCAGAACTAACCGTGAGTCTGTCGTGGTATTCTTTCCCCAGACATGTCTTCTCGCTGTGTGGCAAGTCCATATGTTCCTCTTCAAACTGTAACAACCCCGTCAGTGCCATGAACCTCACCGGACGAGTCTGGGGTTGACCACAGCACGAGGTAGATATGACACCTTCATTGCAAATGTGGCAGAATATATTCTGATAACCCCAATTAGTGACGTGGCTGTAGGCATGACAGGCGGCCTCGATAGAAGCATTGTACGTCTCCCAAATACCTGTCACATTGCACTCAGAAATTGGTGACATTTCATGACATTTTCGGGTCGAAATGTTTTGTGGCACACGGTATTCAAAGATACACAAAGGTGATTTTTCTAACAAGTCAAATATAGCCACTGGATCAGAAATGTGGCTGATTTCCTCTGGAAACTGTTCACATGCAACACCTATGTCCCATGTTTGAAAATCTTCATAACCATGGCACTGTGCACAATATTTATTTCTAAATGTTAAGGACGTCACATTTTCTCTTCGAAGGGAAACTGGCAGCCGGGTGGAAGTGTTGCATTTGCTGGAAAGTTCTTCCGAATAATGTTTATCACCAAGCGAACACTGTGTCACCACATAGATCTGTATAGCCTGAGAATTGCCTTGAGAAAACTCTACACATTCTAGGTCGTGCTTGCCTTTGCCAATGTACAGATCGGGGCAACAGTCGCCGAAGTCCCTACACTCAGCGTCACAGGAACAATTTGTGCAGATGCTATCGTTTGCTGGAAACGGGGCCATGATATCGGTTTCAAGGGTCGGCAAACATCTTGATTCACAATACTCTGTTTCGTAGCTCAGAATGAGTGATTTGAGATTTTCACCAATATCAGCTGAAATTCCCTGGGTGTTCTGAAAATATAAACACAGCAAATATAGTCAATGGTCGAGCGAATACAGCCAGTTGAGGAAACCGTAATATTTAAGTGAGTTTTGTTTAACGCCGATTTGAACAGTACTTCAGTAACATCACGGAATGACAGCTTAACGTGGGAGGAAAGCCCGAAATGATGCAGGTCTTCGACATTTACCACTTTGGTGAAACCCACAATATGGTTCTGACAAACCTAAAAACATATTCAGGGCGAATCTTGGATTCAAACTTAGATCCAAAGGATTACTTGGACTTCTGTTTGATTTGAATGGCGACGTCAACCGGAAGTTGGCTACATTTTCCTGAATGCTGCACTCCCAGTATTATAAACATAACACAGCATGGTCACTACTACCAATGTTTGTTGTCACGCGATGCCGGGGCGAGATGTAAGAAATGTATTGCGAAGTAATTTGTGAACAGAGATCAGCAAAAAATTTAAAAACTTTGTCATCCTTTGTCATGGAAGGATTTTGGAAATATAAGCGTCTTCGCGGGGTCACATCATCAATGTTAACGAAGGTTTGGAAGCCATTGCTAGGCATTTTACGTTTACGCTTTTGTGCCTTGGTGCACAAACTCGAGATTTCACCTGAGAAGTGCTTATCATAACGTGTGTTTACACACCTACAAACGAAAAGTCTTGTGAAGACAATGACTTAGTGTGGTCTAACTCGAAAACAGAAAAAAATTCCAAATATATCGTAAATGAACTAGAAATGATTCTGTTCAATGCTACAGCAAATAAATGAGAAAAAAAATTGCAAATACATGTATCGTATTTACAACCGATAAACGTTATATGTATAAGAATAGGCGATATAGCCATTAAATAGTATCCATTCACAGAGAATCTAGAACAGGAATATATCCATTAATATCAACATAAATGAGCATCGTGCCATAAATATACTGATGTACAAGAAACGTGTTCCATGTGTTGTGTATTTGAAATATTCCAATATTTAAATAATTTATACAGCATCTCGGGATATAATCCTTCGTGTCTGCTTCTCAACTGAGCACGTGAATTTTTCTTTCGGGTGTTTCAGATTGGTGTCAAGTCTGATTGTCAACTGAGCTAGCACACATGATGTCAACCGAAACTTATGTCCAAACGAACAATGCCTCCTTGCCGAATGGCCACGCATTCCCGCCAACGTCATCGGCCCGTGCTGCCGTACATTAATGCTCAAGGTGGACATACCCGATATCAACATGACATTATGATGAGTATTCTGACACTCTGACATCGCACACTTGCCTGGTTATGTGTTATGACCGTTACTTTCATTGTTGACCCCGCGTGTCTTTATTGGCCTGTCCGTCTCCATGTCAAAGTTTGATGGTAATGACTTTTTGTACACATGATGTTAAAAGATTGCTTTAATGAAATATACCAATATGAATTTTCTGTATGGTTATATTTTTCTTCCATAACCTTTTAAACACTTGGTATAGTTTCTTTTGGACATGAGTGTGTGTTTTAAAATTCCAGTGAGTCAGAAGTATTCCCTCACTTCGCCTAATTTACACCTACGATAGGTACAAGTAATTAGGCGATGTGAGGTTTCTGTGTTTGACAAATTAGGCGATATGGGTATGGAAGAGCCAATTTCCGAATTCTTGAGAGTTTTCCTTATTCATTAACATGAGGTATAAAATTAGCAATGTGAGTATTTCCAGTCCCGAAAACTGAACAAAGACATAGACATTGATCACCATTTCGAAATACTTTATCATTTGTACACAATAGTCATATTCGCAGAGTTTACTTTTTTATTTTAACAATACAATCAATCTTAGTATGATTTACTTTGTACAGTTAGCATTATTTTCATTGTTACAATGCAATCCCTTTCATATACTTTGTCTCATGAAGCATTATATAGTCTCAATCACCACGTGAGTTCAGCTCAAAGTGCCAGCCGACCATGTGGTTGTTGGATCTGTGGCTGTTATTCGCGAAGTGGTTCCAGTCTAACGAATCCTAGCAGCCTTCTACCCAGGTTTCAGTTGTCAATCTGACTGAGGGGCGCCAGGGGGAGGGAACTGGCTCTGAGGGAAAGCTGTCTACCCAGGTATTCAATTATCAATCTGATCCAGGGGCGCCAGGAGAAGGAAACTGGCTCTGTGGGAAAGCTGTCTACCCAGGTATGTCAATTGTCAATCTGATCCAGGGCCGCCAGGAGAAGGGAACTGGCTCTGTTGGAAAGCTGTCTACCCAGGTATGTCAATTGTCAATCTGATCCAGGGCCGCCAGGAGAAGGGAACTGGCTCTGTGGGAAAACAGTCTACCCAGGTGTGTCAATTGTCAATCTGACCCAGGGCCTCAAGGAGAAGGAAACTGGCTCTGCGGTAAAGCTGTCTACCCAGGTATGTCAATTGTCAATCTGACCCAGGGCCGCCAGGAGAAGGAAACTGGCTCTGTGGAAAAACTCTCTACCCAGGTATGTCAATTGTCAATCTGACCCAGGGCCGCCAGGAGAAGGGAACTGGCTCTGTGGGAAAACTGTCTGAAATCGGCATCCTCCTTGTTGCGAGATCAAGTTGCTGAATCTTCATCCATAAGACCCGAGTTCAGTGAAAGAACTCTACAAGGACAGGACTAGTCCTGCGCCATGACTGTGGAATATATATTTTTTACTGAAAGCCCAGGCAAGTCTAGATCTTACTAAACCAATTCTAGTTTCTTTGATAGAGAGGAAAGGTTCTTTATAAGAACAAAATATATTTGAAAGAAATGTTTTCATTGATTAAGTGTTTGAGGATTGGGGACAGCTCTTTCTAGCCTATGTGGAAAGTCTGAGGCTTCAGGTTCAGATTGGCTTTTTCTGCTTCAGCTTCCGGGAGTTGTAATACCGTGAGGTATGTTGTCTGAGACTTGTTAGCTCGAGAGAAGCAAGTTTTCGAAAGGATACGTAAAACATTGTACTTAGGGATGTATGGTGTAAATCTGAAGAAAGGGTGGAGGGGAAGAGTACAATGTGTCCTCTGCATACAAGGATGTCTGCTTCTAGATTCTCTTTCGTGGTGAAGATCATATTTCTTGTCGTTACCTCTATGGTCAGCCGCCAGACATGGCTGGCCTGTGTCAGTAAATAAGTTTAGATCTACTCTTAGGAATGCTGGTAATCGTCTTCTGGCGTCGCGTGGACTCGAATGTTGGAAAGTACAAGAAGTATTTCTCAGGAATCACGTTCCTCCTCAGAGTTTTTTGAATTGATGTTGTCTGGGTCCCAGGACGGTGAAGACGTCTGGACTTGGAAGATAACCACATCATACAGATACGCAGCTGAAGGATGGTTGTGTTCTGGTCCAGTCATCAACATCCGATCGTCTACGGTCTGGATAGTCCGTTTCAAGAGAGCTTCAGAGCACCGCCAGTAGGCCATCTCTTCTTACAGCCTGATGACCCTGTATCTGTTCCAGCCATTGTAAGCGTGACTGCCACTCGCATCAGATAAGAAAGACACTCCTATAACAGCGTTCGTCATTCCAGAAAATGTCATGTCTCATTATGAGTGAGTGAATATGGTTTTTCACCGCTTTTAGCAATATTCCAGCAATATCACGGCGGGGGACACCAGAAATGGGCTTCACACATTGTACCCATGTCGGGAATCGAACCCGGTTCTTCGGCATGACGATTGAACGCTTTAACCACTAGGCTACCCGACCGGCCCCTGTCTCATTATGAAAGTACCCCATCTAGTTACTTGGCCTGTCGGAGAGAGGGGTTGTGATCCAGCTGGACCCAAGTAAAGCTGTGCCCAATTTAGCTTAGTGGCGTAATATTTTAGTTGTTAGATTCACTTACGTGGTTCATGCCGTCTAAATTCAGGATCACCAGCAATTGCAGCAGGATAGTCACCAACATTGTGTTTTTCACCAGTATTTGTCTGAATATTCTGAAATATAAGTAAAAGAAAATGCAGTCAAAATTGCTGAAGGAAGCATCATTTTGAAAGAGTTTTGAGTCAATTGGTAGTCATATCATGTTTGAATCATGCTATTCCTACAACACTGTACTCGTTATGTAAACATCATGAAAGAGCGTCTGCCCTGAGAGCGGAATGTCGGTGGTTCGATCCCCGGCCGCGTCTTACCAAAAGACGTTATATGATGGTACTTGTTGTTACCCTGCCAGGCACCCGGCATTAATTGGATAAAACAAGGACTGGTCGGCCCAGTCAGTAAACTGTGTTAAACAGCGCGCCGAATGGTATCTAAGTGGGCAACCACAAACACGCACATGGATGCACGTCGCTTTGTAAGTGCAATAAACTTGAACCGACATTCAACCCCATTTCACATTTCACCTTGGTCACTCGTGCTAGATCTTGTCTGGAGACTAGATATTCAGCTACAGATGCAAAACCAGATATTTTTAAATTAAAACTATGATACTAAATTAAAAAATTAAAAACGCCGTTTCATCTATGAAATTTTAAACAAATTTCCAACGATATGAAAGATAATTATTTTCGAAACAAAGTTTCTCCTACCCCTCTTATATTATTGATGTGCCACACTTAAACGATCACTCTGTGGATACGTTCCTCATTAAATAACTGAACGTCCACAACAAAATATTTCCCTGAAAGGCAATTCCTTCTCTGTGAAGCTTTAAACGTGTGCCAATCAACCCTCGTATTTAAAGAGTATAATGATGGGTAAGAGAAGATACGGGTTATAATTGGTCTTCAGCAACCCATGCTTGTCGGAAGAGGCAGCTAACGGTATCGGATGGTCAGGTTCGCTGACTTGGTTCATGAATATCATTGTATCCCAACTGCGTAGATCGTGATTATTTACTCGAATATTTACAGATCACCGTCACTGAGCTGGAATAGTGCTGCGTGCGGTGTTAAGCAGCAATGAAACTAACGCAGAAATAATTTAATACAGAGTACTCACTGAAATGTTGACAGGTGGTGAAATAAATGTCTTCTTTCACAGCACACAAACAAATGCCCTGACGCAGTAAGCTTGATACGTGAACCTCAACATGTCAAGTGCGTTATTCTATTTCCTTGACGCTATATCCCGTTGTCAGAATTTCGGGTCACGTTTATTGGTTAAAGAAGACAGAATTATATCCAGGAATCTATTCATATCATTTCGTTCTGACTTGTCTGTGTTACATAAAAATACCAGATATTTACCAATAATAGCGACAACACCCTTTATTTGCTAAAAGCAGGGTCGACTGTACGATTCTTATTGGTCGTGGTGGCATCTCTTGTCGATATAATATAACAAAAGTACATAGAAATGAATAAGTGTTCTTTTCTGTATTTGTGTATCGATAAGATTAATATCAGTCATACATCATCATCCATATTGATCTGCAATGGGACTAGTATGGCATTTAACGTCGCTCATAAAGAGATATTACATATGTTTTTGTACGACAGTTGGTGTTTTGGTTAGGGGAGGCTGGTATCACGGAGTAAATGCTGTGTGTGTGTGTGCGCGTGTGCGCGTGTGCGTGTATGTATATATGTATATATATATATATATTTACAAACATACATCTCATCTTTGGAATTTTGTATTTTATATGCGTGTGAGTGAGTGAGTGAGTGAGTGAGTGTGTGTGTGAGTGTGTGAGTGTGTGAGTGTGTGTGTGTATGCTGATGTCGCACTGATATTTAAGTGATATATAAGTGTTGAAACTGAAACAATGGGAGAAGACGGAAGCAAACCAGCGTTCATCCGGAGGAGAAGGAGGGAGGGGGTGGGTGGGTGTAGTGGGTCGAAAGCAATAGCGATTTCAAACACACCCGGCGCAGTGATGACTTAGCGTTACACAACTGTCACAAGACTTTTTGCATATCACGTGTGACCGGACGTTTTTCCTGTTTGTAAACAAATGCGCTTATCCTGACATCCGGTTTTATGTAGCCTTTCAGTGCGATTTACAGATTGTAAACATATAAAGATGTGCTACTACAATTGCGACAGTGACGTGTATACCTATACACATCAAAGTGACCGTGTCGCTAGCTGCCAATAGGGGTTGGATCTCTTCACGTGGATCCGTACCCCCATCGTAAACAAAGGATTCATCTGGAAATGGAAAAAAAGTTATTCATGTTAATGATATTTTCTCAATGAAACTTCACCATTTAATGATATACACCAAGAAATTAATTAAGCACCCCCTGGTTTTGCGACCATATCTATCCAACAAGTTATCATTCGCGTCAAGCCTGAGCTATGGTGGAGAATTAATAGTATTGTGTAAGATGAAACTTCACTTATGAAACCACAGAGAATGATGCAAATTCAATATTTTAATTGGAGTAATAACACAGTTGCCATGGCACTGTAATTGATCAAATTGATAACCACAAAAACTAAGGATTTGGGAAGTTCCATGATCAGTTATGCCATATATGAGTCATGCATGCCAATTATTTTCCAACAGAGTGCCTCTGACAGCCTCCTGCGTGCCATGGTTATTTGTGCTGACTAAACAATCGCATAATTGCTGCTTTATATACCCTTACTTGCATCAATACCAAAGTGCTTTTCTTGAAACTCAAGGGTACAGTAAACTACGGTTATAACGAACTCAAAGGGACTACTAATTTTAGTTCGTTATAACCGTTGTTCGTTATAAGTACATATACAGCATGACTACAGCAAGTAGTCGGGACCAAAAAGTAAGTTCGTTATATCCGTCAGTTCGTTATAAGCGTGTTCGTTATAACCATAGTTTACTGTATCATCCTTCACGTTCATATTCTGTGTTTGGGCGACACGGTCAGTTATTTTCATGACTGTACTCGAGATCGACAACCATTCTATGAATGACTAAATGAAACATCAATTTTCATAAACGGGTATATCACTGTTCTGTATTTTGTCAGGGGGTGCGTAATTAATTTCTAGGTATATATATTAATATATTAATGTGTAGAGCTTTGAAAAAGGAAACAATGAAAAATATATGGTAATATATTGAACAGCTGCGAAGAGGTACTAGGTTGACCGAAAGGAGGCTAAGCTTTAACATTATGACGATAATAGATGTATGTCGTGATAGGATGGTCATTTGTCAGGAATATGATTTACTGTGTGAGTGAGTTGGATTTTACGCCACTTTTAGCAATATTCCCGCAATATCAGAGAGGAGGACACCAGAAATCCTAAAAGTCCCCATGTGGATAATCGAAACCGGGCCTTGATCGATTGATTGATCGCTTTAACCACTAGGCGGTAATAATAATTTTACTAAAACATCGACACGAAGGGATTATTAAAATCTTATTCAATCCTTAATTTGTCGAACACAGCAAATTTTATTATATATTCTCTTTTATGTTTTCAGGACATTCGTGTGGCACAAGTTGCTTGAACAGATCACCGTCTCATGTTGTCAGTCACTAACAGTGTTCTTATTTCAATGGCTTGTGTTTCTTTTTCAACTTTAAGCTTTAAGTAAGCAGTATTTTTGGATTGAGGTGAGATGAGGTTAAATTGGGTTTAACGTCGCGTCCAAGATTATTGCACTTATATAGCGGCGTGCATGTACGTGAGTGTGTTTGTGTGGCTGCTTGTACTAGTCCGGACTGATGCCGATTTATAGTGCTAGCTCACTGAGATACCATGCCACAGTTTTAACATGAATACCCCACTCAGACACAGTATACTGACTCCGAGCCGACCAGTCCTTGTTTTAGCCCTTTAATGCCGAGCGCCAGACAGGCTAACAGAAAGTACCATCTTTTAACGTCTTTTGGTATGACGCGGCCAGGGATCGAACCCCGGACCTTCCGCTCTCTGGGCAGACGCTCTACCACAAACCACGGATGGCCATTTTCTTTGCGGTTGGTCTTTCCTTCTTTCATTGAAGTTATGTTTTCATGTAGACCTACCCTCAAAAGCAGCTCCATATGGAAAGGGGGATAACCCCTTGAGTAAATAATAAAACAGATTTTCATTCACATTACTTTATTTCATCCGATCAAAAAATCTTTTAAACAATTTACATTTCGTACAAAAGTCCATCAAGCGGGTGATAAACAAGAGAGGCCTCGGACACACACACGCCTCTCTACCTACATCAAACTGATGATATCAACATGCTAACCAATAAATGTGTGAAATACACACTACAGAATGGAAACATAAGTGAAGTAATGAAGTTATCTAAAGGGTTTTCGTCCCAACATAGTGGGCACAGGTGGCCCAGTCGCGTAAGGCGCCGCAATTCGCCGTGCTTGTGCACGCAAGGAACTTATGATCGTGGGTTCGAATCCCTGTTCAACCCGGTTTTGTTTCTAGGTTTCTCAGCACAATACCCAAGCTCGTAGGGTTCACCAAAGTGGTAAACGTCTGAGATCTGCTTCACTTCGGGCTTTCCTCCCACATTAAGCTGACACGCCGTGATATAACTGGAGTACTGTTCAAAGCGACGTCAACACCAACTCACTGACTCGAACAATAGACCCTCGATTATCCAGGCATTATGTCCTTTTATGTTATGAATACCCAGGACCCCATTCGCCACGAAAGCTTCGTTTCGGAAGTGACGTCACCGTCTGTATCTCTCTTATCACTTACTTTGCACAGGATTTCTCTCGATCATGACTGAAATCTTATTGGAAGGCTATCTTTAGCTGCGGGGGTTTCGAATACGGTTCAAACAAAGCAATGGCCGCGAATGGACTCAGCGTGTGTACCGTATGACTTATCACGCATTACACTGATGTGACGATTGAATCTGACGAGACTTTCGATGTCCCAGAAATAGTGTATGAAGTTGGCCTCTGCCGTTCTACTCGCTGTTTTGGACAACAACGACGAAGCATCATTTTATAAACACGCTTGTTTAACACAAAGCTCAGGAAGATGAGGACACCTTGTCCCGCTGCTAGGATCACAAATACGTATTGAAATGCTTCAACTGAAAATAATGAGCCCAAGAGGCCAAACACCCACGAGAGACCGGTGGCAGAGGATAACTTTACCAAATTAAGAATGACCTTTGTTTCTTTCTTTCCCACCCGGGCACGATCAGCTGACGCCCGTCTAAGAGCTGCGACTGTGCATACGAAGAACGCCCCCGTACAGACGACGGTAAAAACGGTTGGGATACCGAACGCAACCAGAGTGATGAGGCCAGGATTGAGGAAACAATTTGCATGGCTGTCACTGTACCCGATGGTGGACTTACGAGATAGGAAATAATTCGCAACAATGGTTATGGCAACAATAACAGCTGGGGTCAAGTAGGAAAATACACCATATTTCAATAAGATGATTCTTTTATCGTCTGATAGTTTAACCGATGACAAAATGTTGCGAAAAACACGAAAAACGTGAAATGTGCAGACATTCATCCACGCAAATGTGACCATCCAAAAATAGTGTATCAGTACGCCCATTATCTTGCATACGACGCGATTCTCAATTGCGCCTGCGCCGAAAAGAAATAGTCCCTGTGCGAGGAAAAGAGAACTCATCAAAAACATGAGGTTGCAACCTGGCAAGGTTCGTAACGCTGACAGCATGACGTAAACAAGAAATGATAAGGACAAGAAGAACATGCTAAAGACTAAAGAGATAACTGTTAGAATGGTAAGAATGTCATATCCTTGCTCAGCAGTTGATCGCTTTTCCCCCATGCGTTCTTCGTATCTCCTCCTTAGATCTTCAACTGTAGAGAGACATACCAAAATACCTAACTCTTCAGTAAGAGTATAATTGTCCCCTGATATAAAAATATTACTGTCTTCAAGCATAACACTGTTGTTTGAAAAGAGAGTGTAATTTGATTGAGGATACAACACCTGTGCACAGTTTCGCTTCACGTACTTAGGTGAGAAGGGTCTAGAAAAATTAAAATCATCTGCATCCTGAAACAAAAACTGAGTGGGAATTGTAGTATGGCGTGTCTGTGGTAGCATTGACTCATATACAGAACGGTAAGTGATATTACTACCCTCAACAGAAATAGAAAATTCTTCAAAAAGCAGATTTGAGAAGCTTTCAAAGAAATTAGCATAGTCTTCCCTTGAATAGGATGCGTAGAGATCAATGTCTATCCTGGAGATGATGTACTGTTCATCTGGGTGTGATATGTTCCCATGACGACCGTCGTCACAGACAACTTCATCATTTGTCGTATGATGAAGAACGTCTTCGGTCTTTGCTCCATGGACAAGCGATGAGTTCTCCCAGTACAATCTGACAACTAACTTGTGAAGATGCCAGCCGTTCAGCGTACCTTGCAATCTGTAGTAATTCTGAAGTTCCCCAGGCAACGGGTTCAATGTGTCATTTCTTAGGTGTAGATAATCACCGTGCATAGGAATGAGGTGTAACTGGACAAAATACTGCAGAGTAAAAGGACGGTCGAGCAGGCCCGTTGGAAATGTGCATTCTCTCTTGTGTAGCTGGTAGAATGGTGGACACAGGATCTTGAGACATCGGTCCTGAAATTTGGAATTAGGAATGTCAGACACCATTTCATTTAGTGTACCCATTTCATCGAATACCGTATTTTCTCGATTAAACTCAAATAAACGTCGGGGTCTCAATGAATCGCCGTGTACTTTTAATGCAAGGAATTCTCCCCATTATTTCCTTTGGAATTGAACGCCGTGGGTAAAGAGTTCCTGATAGAAATATGCGCCCGGGCATCTAATCGAGGAAATACAGTAGTTACGTAATGGACAAAATGTAACGACACATATTATTTCAACACAAAGTAGTGTAACGCCAGTGATGAAACCAGATTCTTAAATGTCAGCATCTTGGTATGATATTCCACCTGTACAGGTTCATTTGTTGTTGTTGTTGTTTTGTTGTTGTTTTTGTTGGGTTTTTTTGTTTTTTTTGTTTGTTTTTTTTTGGGGGGGGGGGGGGGGGGGCTGATTACATGCAGGGGGACGGGGACGAACTGTTTTATGTGATGAGACATCCATGTGGATATGTTGACTACTGAGCAGACACGTATCATGCACATGACACAGTAAATAACTAGTAATCGTCAGTTCTTTGTAAATATAGAACGCCAATGCAAGAGAATAAGCTGTCTTGATTATCTGCCGAAACAGATTCCATTTGACGTAAAGGGCAAAATAGCTGTGAACATTATATGAATTGACCACTGAATATCAATGACGACACCAGGTGTTCGCGAAAAGGGTACGCATGTCCTGTCCTACCGGTAGCCTCCGCCTTTTACACAATTTTCATTAAAAAATAACTAAATATTTATTGCCTGACGCCTCACATCCGTACTCCTGTCATGCGACGGTCGCCTGTAAATAAACCAGACACTCCAGTGACACGATAGTGCATTTACTGATTTTGTTGAAACTAATGTAAACGATCTATTAAATTTTGTACCAGTGCAGAGATTCTGCTGCTTAAACATGTCCATCGTGATCTCAATAAGATGGATCTCACTTTCATACAAACAACGCAGTACTGTTTAAGGAAATATTCAAGAGAAACAATTTCTTTCAACACATGTATGTTACAAAATACTGAACATTTTTCAAAGTATGTTTGACACGACTTTTGATTCAGAAACCAGAAAAAAACGATTAAAAGTGTTATCATAAACTTCAAGGGCACTTAGACAGCTTGTACGGACAGAAACCAGATTAAATACGATTTAGAGTATGTATCATAAACTTCAGTGACACCCAGTGAGCTGGTACGGACTGTTATTGTGTTGATATATTGCATAAGTTCCCCGGGGTATTCTGGAAGGTCCAAAGTAAACAATGTTTATCGTACGAGGCGACACGGTAACTCGTCGAACACCGAAGGCGTGGGACGTTGCTCATAGTATCCATCACTGGTTTATCAATTTACAGGCCGCTGTCATTTAACTGACATATTGCTGAGTGGTGTGTTGAATACAATGGTAGGTTTCTGTTTCTAAAATGCGACGTTATAACAGTGGGCGTGGATTTGGATGGTTCCCATAATTTGCTTGATGGGTCGCGGGCTGTCCGGTCGTCTAAATTGCCGCAATTCGCTGGGCAGAGTTGCGTCCCTTTGGAACATCAAATCTATGATCGTAGGCTCGAATCCCGGTTCGCCCTGATAATGTTTCTAGATTTGTCAGCACCATACCCGTGGTATGAGACCTACATCTCTTTAGGCTTTCCTCAGTTATAACAGTGGACTCGGACTTAAGATGGTTCCCATAATTTGCTTGATGGATCACGGGTTGTCCGGTCGTCTAAATTGCCGCAATTCGCTGTGCAGAGTTGCGTCCCTTTGGAACATCAAATCTATGATCGTAGGCTCGAATCCCGGTTCGCCCTGATAATGTTTCTAGATTTGTCAGCACCATACCCGTGGTATGAGACCTACATCACTTCAGGCTTTCTTCCTGCTTCTAGCTGATACGTCATGGTATTAATTTAAATGAAATACCATTCAAAGCAGCGTTAAACACAATTCACTCACTGATTTGTTTTTTAAGATGGCGATTACATTTTGCTCACATAATTGTGCGAGTTCCCTATTAATAAAAAAACGACTGTTTGAGCAACGCCAAAAATTACTTCAACTCAAGTCAATAAGTTCTCGGGTTTTTTTCAAGGAGGAAAAGAGAAGAACATGCTGTGTTTGAATTTCGAGGTATATTATCTTTCTTTATGCTTAAATAGCCTAAATTGTGTTTCCCTTTCACGCACTAGGTTTAAAAAGTATAATTTCTTATTTTGTTTTCCTTTTGCACGAGGATATTGGTTAAATAAGAGGCACGTTCTAGGGATTGAAATCACTGATTGACCTACTGGATTAGAGAACGCTCTTATTTATATTTCCTTCATTTCATTTTGTTTTCATCCTTCACACAGACCCATGTACATTATTCGTGATCTCTGTTGAATAATATTGATGCTTCAAACAATGGTGTCCCCAAATTCCAATCTTAATGGAAGTATGTCCTCCACGGCAGCCATATTGAAAATATCATCTGTACCCATTACCTTTCTTGTGTAATATTGATACAGTTGATACAGTATATGACATGTCAGATTTAACGATTTTTTGTTTGTCTTGAAATTTAGGACAACTTTGACCAATGACCTTCATGTAACGCAGTCGCTGACGAAAACATAATGCTGTCCCTTAGTACCCGGTAACTGAATATACATATAAAGGAGAATATATGTTGGGTAGAAACCTCTGTTATTGAATATTCTTGTTGACCTTTAGATCAAATTATGCAAATACTATAACTTAAGGTGAGCTATACAACCTCGTGGCTATAGGTGTATTTAATGCTGATGTTCTCTTTACGTTAGGGTTAATGAATGTCCAAGTGAAATTCTCCGAAACATAAAAAATATGAAAATACAATCGCTATCCCACTTGTCTGTTTTATGTAAGCGTGTTGTTTTTCAAACGTCTTCACAAATCTGGTCATGCATATATTTACACAAAATAATGTCATAGTCGGATGTTCTCAAGTCAAAACACACTACTTTTGTCTTAGAGTCGATCCCATATTTTAACGTAGTGACTTACTATATTAGGATGGAATCTTTCAAAGGCATTTAGAAGTGATACACATAAGGAAGAGAATTTATGAGAGCATTTATATACCTTGCTGAAGATAATCACCTATCAGCGCCAATTATCTGTTGGTTTCCCTTGTTAAGTTTCCACCTTTCGTTATCTTAGTACTTTTGTTGTTCTTACATGTACATATATATGCTCTCTGCTCTCGTAGCATCCATTCACCTGATGATATACTCTGAAACGTTGTGTTCCTCATAATAAAGAAGAAGTTGACATCCATAAATTCTCTTCTTTCCATAAATTCTCTTCCTTATATGAGGATGATTTTACAGTACTGCATCCGACATTTAAAGATATTCAATTGACCGGATTTGAACGAAAGAGTTTGTTCCCTTTGTCTTAGCAATGCCGTGGTCGTTGACAAGTTTTGAGAATTGGTACATTTCAAAATAAACTTTTGATGCTAAACCTTTTAGCATGATTGTACTTACTGTAAATATGTCATCATATTCTTCCCTCGGACATTTAGTCCTAGGCGTTGTTCTTTCAGCTTGGTCTTCCTCAAACTGCAGTATTCCCGTCAACGAAACTATTTGAAGAGAGCCTCCACCAAGATAGAACTCAAATTGCATATTTTCGTTCTCGTTACAAATATAGCAGAATACATTCCTGTATTGGCCGATGAAGACATGAGTATAAGCGTGACATGCAGCTTCAATATCAGAATCAGAATCTTGCCAGGCTCCTGTAACATTGCAATCTGATACCAGAGACTGCGCTGAACATGACCGAGTTGAAATGTCTTTGGGTTTCTTTTGACCAACCTTGCAAACTTGAGATTTCTGGAGCCTTGTAAAGATATCAGCTGGATCGGAAATGTCGCTTATCTCATCTGGTAAATCTTTACATGATATATCAACAGTCCATGGTTGAAAGTCTTCATATCCGTGACACCGTGCACAATATTTATTTCGAAACGTTAGTGATGTCCGATTTTCCCTCCCAGAAGAAACCAACACTTCTTCGTCGTAGTTTAGTCTGCTGTGGGTATTGCATTTGCTGGAAAGTTCCTCCGAGTACTTTTCATCGCGTGGCGAACATTTTGTCACTACAAATAATGATATTGATGTACCTGTTGCCGAAATGATCTCCTCACACTGAAACTCAAAGTCTCCCTTACCAATATACAGATCGGAACAACAGTCACCAAAGCGTCTGCACTCGGAATCACAAAAGCAAGTGCTGCACAAATAGTCAGGGGGAGGTGCAAGTGTGTCATTTGGAGAAGGTAGAAATGCTCTTGCTGGAATAGAGTTCGGGGAATCTTCAGAGCGGGGTGTTGTTGTTTCGAGGCAGCTTGATCCACAATACATTTCTTCGTATCTCAGGATAAGTGAGGTTATGTTTTCGTTGACGCTTGAATCACCAGCTCTTACAGAGGGGCACATAAGTATCCACAGTTGAAGTATGTTCAGCAGCATCTTCAGCGCCATTGTTGTCCAGGCTGGTACTGTCCTGCATAAGAAACAATGTTGTCAGAGGGTGATCTCTTTTCCTGGAGACAATATATAATGATTTCAGTTCTGCATTTTGTATACACATTTCTTCTTCTTTCACCATTCAAGATTAAGGGCGAGATGTAGTAAAGATATTTTTTCTGTGTTTAGTAATTTTAACCGTTCTTAACAAATCGCTCATTCTTTGATGAGGAGATATTTCATACTGTTTACATAAACATATGTTTTTGTGTAGTATTTTATAAGCTGTAACAACGAAGTCAGGGTTGACATGTGGATATCAACTTCTTTCTTTGAATTTCTTTCAGTGCGCTATGTCGGTGCATTTGCTGGTATATTTATCAAGCAATCAAGTATGAAGTTAGCTTGATAAAGGCCCAAGCATCTGTACCGACACATCGCACTGAAAGAAAGAAGTTGGAAGTCAACTCTGTATTCATTATAAATGACACCGTGCTGGGGGAATTAGCTCTTGTGTTGCCAATAGTCACTTTCCCTTCATGTCGAGCAATCTTCTAGCAGATCCAGTCTTTGACAACTTTTGAGATTTCAAGGAGCGTCATACGAGTCTTGTTCAGAAGTTGTTTAATCAAGGTTATACAGCATTCAATGCCTCAGTAAAGCTTTCAAAAAGGTTTATGGAGGACATTTCCAAATTTGACGCATCAGTGACATAAATTATGTCCGATGCCATTCCCCTTTTGAATTGTACCATATGTTCCCGTGTTTTTTTATGGGAACAATGAGTCTGAAATAGATTACATCTTAAACCCCCATTGTTTAATGGATTCTCCCGACTCACTGACCGTACTGTAACAATAGGGACCGACAAAGTGGACTATTCCACTACATCAATGGGTAAGGTGTTATTTATTTTATACGTGTACTGATTTTGGCATGCAGTTATTATGACATTTAGTTGTTTTAACAGGTAATCCCCACCACACATACTTTTACTCACTTTAAGAGATGGCTTATCATTGAACATATGGGAAACTGCGAACGATATTACAGGCTTTATGCTAAACATAAGATTTGGAGTAAGGATTAGAATTTATGGATGAACAACTTCTTTATTACAATTTAGAGCGACGTTTCGGTGTAGGTTCTTGTAATTAAGAAGTTGTTCATCCATAAATTCGTATCCTTACTTAGTACTCCAACTTCTAAATGCCTATCAAAGAAAATAAGATTTGGAGTTCTGGTTTTTCGGCATATTTGGCCGACTTAAACATCTTAAAATCTTAAAAATTAAAATCTTAAATCACCATTTTTGAACATTTCTTACAAAATGCAAAATGTTCGTATGGAAGAGTATCTGCCAATCTGGCAGGAATGTTTATTGGGAAATAATGTAAACGTACGTATTAAAGATTTGTATTGCTGCAAAAGCCGCATCTTCCCGAGGCAAGTGAGTTAACTGACTATAAAAGTCCAGTTTCCACCCTTGCCGAAATAGGCTGGTATTACTGAGTTACAATTTCGCTGAAATAACGGCTAAAATGTCCAACGAAGTAAACCTGTCAAAAAACGGCTTGTGTGTCCTTTTCAGGCATGAGGTATAAACCAGTTTTTATACTACAATGAAGAAAGCATTTGTTATATGGGTAAATGTTTTATCTGTTTACACCATTCAGTTTTGTATCGTCCCTCATAACTTTATATGAGTGGCGCTGAATGTTTTATGTATACACTTTTATTTTATGCATGTTTTTTTTATTTACAGCGGTGAGACGAAAATAAAAATTTCCGTCCTTCTGTCTGACAAATGTTGAGGCAGGATAAATATTGAACATTACCCTGTCATAACCATATGGGTCGTCAGTCCAGAAGTGAGTGTTTATGAAAAAAAGCTCTTTCAATTGAACGGTTTCTAATGTTAACGGTTTTGCCTCTATGCAGACGTATGTTGTGCCCTTAAACATACACTGGTCCTAAGTTTTACAATATTGATGAGTTATAATCAAATCAAGTGGTAATTAGGCCCACCATTTGATATGATTGGGTGCCTGGGACAATAAAATTATGTAATTTGTTTGTTTGTTGTTTAACGCCGCACTCAGCAATATTCCAGCTATATGACGGCGTGACATGTATCAACCAAGTCAACGAGCCTGACCACCCGATAAGATAAGCATGGTCGCCTTTTACGGCAAGCATGGGTGGCTGAGGACCTTTTCTACCCCGGATCTTCACGGGTCCGCCATCTATTGATAATTACAGCAGTATCATGTAGGGGGCACAAAGGGGGACACACTGTACCCGTGTGGAGGATTGGAACCAAACTAAAAAACTACCCTGACGCCAAACACTTTATCCACTGCACTGCCTCATCGCCAATATATAGTACAAGACAAAGCTACAACATCCATCAACACAGATGCTTCCTCAAAACAAAACAAAATGCTTTACACTAACCGAAAGGCCAGATTATATGTTCTAAATTTCCACAGAAAGAAATTTTGCTTAAAAAATATAATTAATTTGTAATACATCATACTTTTGAAACGACCTACCTTTATCTCCTAGTGAAGGACAGCGCGATTGCTCAGGTGCGGTCGGCGTTGTGCGTACTCCGTGCAGGATCTACTCCTATATACGTGTATATCCGCTGTCGGGAGTTTGCGGGAGTCTTCTTTGGTTCCCGCTATAATGCTGAAAGTCCGCTTCCAGTATGAATATAATATCACCCTAATCAATATTTAGCGTGTTCTTAACCGAACGTTTCTGCAATATAGCTTTCTTTGTTTCCTATATTGTACTCATTTGACAAAGAAGAACGTGTTCTGAGGAAGGTGTTTTATTACTAAATCGCATGGTAACCTCCAGTGCACGAGTGACATACGAGGTACCACTCACATCATTAATCACATCGGCCCAACTAAAACACTTATAGACTGCTAGACTCGGTGACGGCCCTGCTTCCAATATAAAATGATATAAAAAAATCCGAAATACATTTTCCACCGACACTGTTGTACTCACATAAACCCATTTTGGAACAATGTTGAAACATAATTCTTTTCTTGCGTCTTGTTCTCAAGGCTTGTTGGAGGTTATGCTAGACGTGCAAGGCGACCAAATCGTGACTTGGTTGTTTGGGTGGCTCGTTGACATAATCCTCTGGTTTGCTGTGCCTGACTCGATTATTACAGGTCGCCTACATATGATTGGTTCATTACCTTGAGATCGACCTTTGTGATGTTAGAAATAACAAAGCGGGTGATGCATATAAGGATTATCGGGCTGGTTACCTTTTCAGAACAAAAGAAGTTTAATGTGATAAAAAATTGTTTCCCAAAATAGGGAATGAAAAATAGACGAAATAGGCGTATCTCATGTTTATTCACATATGTATAACGATCTTTAACAATTTGTACCACAGTTTGAACATATTTTTTATACGTTTACAGTTATCACAGTTCATGACAATAAATCAGGTAGGAGCAAGATCTGCATAATGGAAGACATCCATGTCAGCAGTCTGTATTTTTCTTGCTTTTAAGAAACAACAGTTTTTTCAAATGTATGCAATAATTCAGTTATTTCACTATGTATATCACCTGTGATATCTGGCGCCTGCTATTGTTGTAATCCACTGTATCCATATTGTATAATGGGCCGGTGGCCTCTTTACTGAAATAAACTCATTAACTCATTCATTTATTCTTTCAGTCTGCAGTCTGGTGTCTGCTTTTAAGTAGATTCAGGCTTTTGTTAATATATGTGTATTTCTTTTTCTTTGATGGCAATGTTTGCCCGCCCCTGGATTAAACCAGTCGGAGCTCGTTTTATATCTGCTCTTCTTTGACGAAAGACGAACACGTTAGGGTGTGTCATTTTTTTTGTTAACTTCTTCAGTCGTCCATGCTGTTATTGGTGCTTGGTCTGAAAGGAAATCAAAGGCAGGCCACCCTCAAACCAAAAGGTTGTGACGTAATCAGCAAGCGGGACACATCGGGGGTCGTTCAATCTCATTAAAATCAGACCTTAGACTAAGGTCTGATTCTAATGAGATTGGGGGTCGTTTGGCATGCCCCCAAGGCGCTGAGCCATACATCTTCGACCTAAAAAGACAAACACAATATAAAAAAATAATGTTCCTTTGGGGGGGGGGGGTGGGGTAAAAGCATTACAATTTACAAGCATAAGCACTATTTTCTTATTTTAGGAGAAACTTTTACTTGTCTTATGGCTTGTGGCTCGTTGACCGTTGCTCTTTTCAACTAACCCAGTATTTTAATCCCTTATAACAGCATCACACTGCCTGCAGGCAGCATCAAAGCAGAGACAATATACCGGTATATGGTCTCTGATCAAAGCAATTTGTATACAGTAATCACAAAGGTCGAGACACCATATAATTCAAACAAACTTCATGTGTTCTTACGTACCGTAATTCGCCGTGCAGGGTTGAGTCCCATTGGTTTACCAGAAAACTATGATCGTGAATCACCCAGATTAGATTTCTTTTATTTATCAGAACCATGTCTGTGCTCGTAGGTTTCACCAAAATGATAAACGTCTCAGGCCTATATCACCTCGGGGCTTTTCGCCAACATCAAGTTGACACATCGTGATATAACTGAACGACACTAAACCAAGCTCTCAATCTAAAGCAGTCATATCGTATCAGGCTTTCACATGAGTATTCTTTACACTGACGAATTCAGTGTGCTGGTAGTGTTTTACCGACCGCTCTTTGCATCCGATATATCGTGTTTTGGGGATGCCAAAATACGCATATTTGGCCAGTATATAAGTTTCATCTTTACAATATGAATGGTTCACATCCATATAAATTATCTGTTGGAATGTTCAAGACAATGTAATAGTATTGATTATTAAATTGAAAGTGGAATAACATATAGTTCGGATGGTGCTATGAATTAATTTGTTATTGGGCGTTAATCTGATAATGTGTTTGTGGCAGCCACCTGCAATTGTAGGTTAACAACTTCGTGGGGATTCCGGGTTAGAATAGGTACCA